TGGACCACATGTGGTCGCGGAAGCCATCCCCCGCTGCTGGCGTGAGCCGACAACGCATCTTCGGAAATTTATGACAATTTTTTCGTTTGGGGAACAGCCGCAGGAGGTTATATGACAACGTCCTGGTATCACCCTAAAAAGAACTGTTTTGAAAGTAAAACATTTTATCACACTGTTAAAACTGCATTGGAACACCCTGAAAGATCGTTCGGAAGCTTCTCAGTGGATCTCCAAAGGCTTTGTGTTCCTACCAAAAAAAATTGTACTATACCTTTTAGAAACTCGTTCAAAATATAAACGTTCAAGGTTTTAGAATTTTGCGAGGATAGGAGCCACTTTTTACCCCCAACAAGTTTGCCTAAAATTCCCTCAATTTTTTATTTTTTGAACAGTGCATACCGCTGCCTTCCCCAAAGCGGGCGTTTTGTGGTCTGAATTTCTGAAGTGTTTATCGCAGCCACCTAGCGTGGGCGGCGCGCTCCCTAGATGCAGCCACGCGGAGCTGGGCTCTATTTTTATGAGACAGTCCGACGCCGCCGCAGTGCACCTAGAAGTGGCTTGCAGCCGTTTGCTGCCAGGCGTTGTCAAGCCTATAGCCAGCTTGGCCGGAGCCTGGACCGCTTTTTCAGCCCTTTATCACCGCCTAGCCTCGCGAGAGGGCGCGGCGCGGCCGCCCTCGCAGAACTTATCGTGGCGCGGAGGCCCGCAGTTTACGCTCCCGCTGGCCTGGATTGGCTGGGTCGCGAATAAAAAAAGGAAAGCTCAAATATGGCGAAGCCAGGAGTATCCAACGGACGCATGCCGCGCGCCACGGCGCACAGTGGGCCAGAAGACTGGTGGCCCCACGTTCGGTTCGAGTCCCATTTAGCGACTCTGGAGCTCAAATCGCGTCCGGCATTTTGACCGCCTCCACTAGTCTTCTGGCCCACTGTGCGGCGCAACTTCCAAGGGCGACTCCCTTCTGAAGGATGGTTTCGTCGCGCCGTCTCTCTCGCACTCGAAGGGGTGCCATGTGAGTGCGAGAGAGACAGGGATCCCCCGGAATCAGTCGGCCGACTGAGATTCGCCGCAGTCTTCAGTCATGGTCGGCTTAGCTTCAACTTGCGCCTCGGCTTGGCCCTCGAAAAGTAGTAAAATCGACCAAACTTTGGACCATATTTTAAAACGCCGTATTGGCGGGAGGGCCGGGGCTGCCCTGCGCTCCGAATGCGGGGCAGTAATGGCGGGCTGTGGGCCGGCAGCTCGAGGTGAGGGAAGGGTCTGGAAGGGCCTGGAAGGGCCGCCGACTCAGCGGGGCCGGGGCCCTGCAGGGACGGCCGGGCGAAGCGAGGCGGAGCGAGGCGTGGAATTTGGCCGAATTCTTCCCGGGCCGGAGGCCGGTGGGACCACCGCAACCCGACACTCTGGCCCGGCCCTAAGTTGCGCTTGTGAAATTGGCTACAGCTTAAGGGGTTGTCCTTGGTCTGCCTACCTCCTCCCTTACGCCTCCTCTCTCTCTCTTGCTCTCCCCCCCCCTCTCTCTCTCTCTCTCTCTCTCTCTCTCTCTCTCTCTCTCTCTCTCTCCCCCTCTCTCACTCTCTCTGTGGCGCCCACGAGCCCCGCCCCCCTCCTCTAGACCAACTCGGCGCCAAGTCGTCCCCTATCGCCCGCGATGGGTGTTCCACTCAAAAAGCCATTGCCAGGCTCGTTGTCTGCGGGCCACAAAGACACTGGGTCCACCGGATTCTTCCCTGGGACCCTTTACTTCAGAGTTCAGGGGCGTCGCACGCCGTGTTCAAACCACAGTTAACACCGAGGCTCCTCACTCACTGGGAATGAAAGAGCCTTGATCAGTACCCAAGTTTGGGCGAGGTATATTTTATCACCCGAATTTGGGTGAGGGAGGGTGTATTTCGTGTATTAGGTTAACGCGGCTTGGCTACGTAGTACTATCACCCAAGTTTGAGTGATAAAGAATTTCTCACCCAAAATTTGATCATGACTCCCTCATTCTCAGCGCTGAAGGGGAAATAACTCAGCCAAATTTGTACACCGAAATTCACCAAAAATTTAAAAGTTGCTGAAATTTATTGAAATGTATCAAAATTCTTCCCTGCCCTGACCGTCTTTGGTCCAGTCTGGCTTACTCTTGTGTAAATCTTGATCTTTTCTAAACAGCCCGGCCGGGTTCGCCGTTCGGTCGTTGCCTCCGGGGCGGTGATCTTGAGGGAGCAGCCTCGGGTTATGACCGCTGCGAGGCCGCCGGGCCGGGAGCCTTATAAAGAGTTCACGGCGTTCATGGCGGTGGCCGGCACGGCCGGCACGGCCGCGCGCCAAAATGATAATTCGCGCCAGAACTTATGGCTTTCGATATTATTTTATCCACCGCCTTTGGTGGCGGCGGCCGTCTGCGGGGCTTTGGTCGGCTCAGAGCAACAATGTTGTTCCTTGGCGTGCGCGGCGACGGCCTTCGCCAGGTCGGCGGTAAAGGGGCAACTTGGGGCGTTGTTTGCAGGCGGTGCAACACGGCTCGTAAAAAGAGCGTTAATGTATGACAGGCCGCGCGTCGGTTAGGTCAGTGGAGTAGCGGCTTGGAAGGAAACGCTGCCAGTGGCCACGCACTCACGACGCGCTCTCTCTCTCTCTCTCTCTCTCTCTCTCTCTCTCTCTCTCTCTCTCTCTCTCTCTCTCTCTGGCGGTCGATCTTTTAAATAAAACCCATCTAATAACGAAGTATTAATGAAGTTGCTTTTATTCGTAATGTCTAAAATGGATTGTAAGTTTTTGAGAGGGTGGACCTGGCGTTCCGATCCGATTCATGGTAGCCTTGAGAGTGATTGCCACGAAAGGCTGAGGCATTGAGAGAAACACCGGGTGAAGGTGGAGCCGCCCCTCGCTGCCCCCTGTCACGTGAGACGATAATTCGGTGCCGCGTTGAGTTTGATAAGTTGGGGACGCGCCAGTTCCTTCCGTGTCCTTTTTGCCCACTCGGATTGGTGTTAACAAGGACTCACTCCGTCGTCAAGTGAAGTGCCGCCAAGTATGTGCCCTGCGCGAAGTTACCCCGCACGTCTTGATGAGGAGAAGTTGGCCGCAAGTTTGTGTGGCGAGGTCTGGCAGTGGGGTGGGAGTGGGTGAGGCCCAGGCCGAAAACTGGCCAGCAGCACCACGGCCAGGCAGCCTCGTTTTCAAATGCCTTTCTCCTTTGTGGCCGTGTTTGTGCCGTTATGAAAAATTGCGCGGTAACGTTGCGGCCTCCTTGCCTCTTTCGGCGCGTCCACTTGATGTATGAGTCTGGGGCGGCCAGGCCGAGGGCGGCCGAGGGCCAGGCTGGACAGGGCCACTTATTGTCAACTCGATAATGAATGGCTGCGCGAAGATCTGGCGCCGGGCCAGGCGGTGATTCCGCGTACACCTAGCCGGGCTAGGCTGCAGAGTCGTCGCTCTGTCTCTCTCGCACCGACACGGGACGCCCCATGAGTGCGAGAGAGACAGAGCGAGGAAAACGACTCTGGCCTAGCTGGCCGGAGCACCAAGGATGGTCTTGCCTGGCCTTGCCGCAGCCCCCTCGCCCGGCAGCTTGTCCTACGCGCCAAAATTCAAGTTCCGTTCGGGAAGGCCGTTACTGGGTCAACCCGGAAACCAGGTCGATTCCACAGAAGCGAACCCGGTTGAGTCTCGGAGCCAGCGTGACGTCATTCTGAGGACCTGGGGGACGCATTGTTAACCCTTAGTTTTACCTATGGGTTCCTCACTGGAACAATCTGTGTGCGCGAGTCCACAGGTCCACATTTTGTAGGCCATCATTTCGGAAACTGTTTCCCCGCGTCGGAATGGAGCCAGACACGTTGTTCAAGGCCGGGAGAGCTCTGCTAGCAGCCCGGACAAGGCGGAGCGGAGATTCCGTGGCGCGGCAACGCGGCAGCTGTGTTTATTTCAAAGTCATCGAAATGTCCGGAATGCCCGGCCGATCCAAGGCGCCGCCTGCTGTGTCCTTCTTCGCCCGTTCGGTCCCACATTCCAGGCCCAAGCGCAGTGTGTTCTAATCCCCCGGAGTGATCACGCAGTGTAGTGGCTGTCGTGTAGCGGCCTCGTAAACGACTTTACTCGGGGCCCATCAAACAGGCTGCCCCTTTGACAAGATCACTCTTCGCAATCACCTTTTCAGGCAGGCTGCGCTGGTTGCCTAGAACACACACACACACAGAGAGAGAGAGAGAGAGAGAGAGAGAGAGAGAGAGAGAGAGAGAGAGAGAGACCGCTTTGCAGAGTATCCGTTGGGCCGCTGAATTCCCGTTTTCCAATAGCCGCCTCGCAAAAGCAACTTGACGAGGAAGTTGTCGAGGACACGTTATTTGCGACGGAACCTCGTCGGACCATGCAAATGGGTCGAGTCTGATTAAACAGTCCAATGAATGCTCGTTCTTCCGCTCTTATTTTTCTTGCCGGGGTCCGTCTAGACGGCGGAGGGCTTGTTACAGAGAAGAATGGAAGTTTAAAGTTGGCCCCTGCCTCATTGTCCTAACTTTTCTTTTCGCCTCATCTGCTGCCGCCACTGCATTTTGTTCCACCGATAATCTCGTTTCTCCCTGCTTGTCCGCTTTTACAAGACTGCACACGCGTGTCCCACGAACCGGCTGTCAGTATTCGAACCTGCAGCCAGCGACCAGAGCACTCTTCTGTAAACATAAAAACTTTGCGAAAAGTTGAACCCAGTTGTAATGTTCTTTTTTTTCTCGTTTGTTTCAGGTAAGAAAACGCCGAGCGGCGCTGACAGTGGAGTGGAGAGCGCCTGGCGCGTAGGCAACCCGCCAACAGCGAAGGCTGGCGGTACAGCCTACCCTTGACTCGTAAGGCGTTTTCAGCGCCCAGCCAATGAGACTGTTTTGAATCAAACGGGATTTTAATTTGTTTTGCCTTTGGTTTTCGGATAAGTTTTGCCTCTTGGGGAAAAATAAGAAAGCGCGTGGCAACTTATTTTTAAATATTTCACTTGTTTACAAGTGTCGAATTCGTTTCAGGCGTCTTCGTATTCCACCGCCTTGAAGACCCTCATCTCGGTGTCGACGGTGGTGCTCCTTGGCCTGATCGTGGCGTACCACGCTCTCGAAGTCCAGGTGAGTGCCCTAGAAGGGTATTTCCATAGAAGCCAGTTCTAAGGCATGGTGGCCTCATATTAAGTAATCCACTGACCCTGGCCCACTCAATGCTTCTCCAACCTCATACAACATTTTTGTTTAACAGGGACAACAATGTCCTTAGCCGATGGTCGTTTTTTCTTTTTAGATATTTTGTATTCTGTTTCCTGTTGTCACCTGACTGTGCCTTCGGAAACAGGGCTAACAAACTATGACTGCACACAATTTCAATGATAGTGTCCCCCGGTGCGCATCGCTTCGCATCGCTTACATCCCCCTTATCCCCCCGCTTTAGAGCCAGGCCGGAGCGGCGTGCATAGTCATTTATTGGAATATACGCGTCATCTATCTCCGTCAGGCACAAAGCAGGCGTCCCCCTCCCTTTGTACGGCCCCCCTCTCCCCTGCCAGCGATCGGTGCCCTTTGGTGCCGTTTCTTTCGGCCTGCAGTGAGGGATTGCGAGTAATTGGACGAACGAGGTGTTGAAATCAGACCTCCGTGGTGCTAAATGCCTTTTTTTTTTCAAAACTTAGCCAAAGATTTTGGAATGGTTATGGAGTGCACAATTTTCATGCAGTAACATGAAATCTACTTTGCATGCCCGAAAAAAAAATGCGCACCCTTGCCCATGTGGAAAAGACAACTTTATTTAGACGTGGCATTTTACAATCTCGAATCGAATCTCTATTTACTCATTTCAAATACGAATGAGATATGACATTTCATGCCTAAAACTGGTAAAATTGGCTCTTTTAGTGCTGTTTTAACCAATTTGCAGTCTATTTGTAAATTTTTATTCTCTGGCTTGTTTTTTCAACTGGTTTTAATTCGATTCGTTTTCAAACGATTCGCACACCTCTAATTACTGCCTTCGTTGTCAGCACACCCGCTAATCACAACGGGCAGCCACCCCACTGGCACAAGCCAGGTGGCTTTGCTTTGAGCGGCTCGTCCATTCCGTGTGAAAATTGGTTGCTTTCTGATGAGAAACCGCGGATGATGTTTTCATGACTTGAATATGATGACAGTCGCATCACAAATTAATGACATTCATCAATGCTCCTATCGCATGGGCGTGACAACAATGTCATCAGCAAGTTTGATGACATTCTTGTAACGAAAATGGCCCTTTGTCATCAAGTGATGACCGAAATGTTAACAACTGCACCTCGCCTGTTGCAGCTCTTCATGATCGACAATTGCGCGGACGACTGGCGGATCGCCATGACTTGGCAGCGCATCACGCAGATCACGGTGGAGCTGGTCATTTGCGCCGTGCACCCCATACCGGGCCAGTACTACTTCCTGTGGACCACCAAGCTGGCCAACAAGGGCGGGGACATCGGCAGCAAGTGGGTTCCTTACGACGTAACCCTATCGCTGCCCATGTTCCTCCGCCTGTACCTCATCTGCCGCGTGATGCTGCTGCACTCCAAGCTGTTCACCGACGCCAGCTCCAGGTGCGGGGGACGCCTTTCGCCGTGTTTTTTTCTGGGTGCCGCCAAGCCAACCATCAGGAGGTAGCCTTAATTCAGGATTAATATGTTCATGTACAGGAGCATCGGCGCGCTGAACCGCATCAACTTCAACACGAGGTTCGTCATCAAGACGCTCATGACGATTTGTCCTGGCACGGTTCTTCTCGTGTTCATGGTTTCGCTCTGGATCATCGCCAGTTGGACGCTGCGACAGTGCGAAAGGTGACTATGCGTACTCGACCTATCATAATCGACCCCCTTTTTTGAAAACGTTTTATTTTACCCTTTTTGGTCTTGTAATTATAATATTATAAAAATCACACTCGCTCTAGTAAAGAGCAAGTGATGGGCGTCTTAGACGAAAACTGCGATCCCCGAAATGTTTAGCACCAACACCAACCGCCGCCTCTCCAGAGGCACGTTGGCATATTCACATTCACAGCCAGGCAACTGCCTAAACGGAAAGCGTGTGATTCGTCCTTTTTAGTATGCATATAATGCTTTCTACCTTTAAAATTCTCAGAGGGGATTATTTGTTTGTCGCATTCGGTTAACTTTTTAAAGAATCGCGGGGGTGGCAGTGAATGTCAAACCAGAGTGCAATCTCTTTTGGCGCTTGTTAATTGTTTTTCAGGGCTGTAACTTATACGCCTTTAAAAGGAGTTTCTTCAAAATATGGGGGACCCTTTACTTCATTTTGGCCATGCGAATGATACCCATATTTGGGACGATAATTCTCAAAGTCTCAAATCATTCATGTAATTGTAGCTATGTTAAATTGGTGTAAGCTGCAAATAAGTAAAAGCAATCGCTAGCATAAGTGACGCACTGATAGTGATGTCCAAGTGCTATGTAGGTGTGTGAGTGTGTGTGTGTGTGTGTGCACGTGGACTGCACGTCCCTCTACCAAACTCTATCTCTCTTTTGCACGAAACTACTGCTTTTGGGTTGTTTTATATGTTCGCTGGATGTTTCTTTGTGTTTCTTCTAATGTCATTCTAACAATCTTTAGTTGCATTCAATTTACCAGGGGAGCAGTTTCTTGCCCTTCACTTTTCACGTTGGGAAGCATTATTGTAGCGAAAGAGTGGACAAATCCAGGTTGTCAAAGCTTGCCAACCGTGTCTGACCCCAATTCTAATTTTTCACATTTCATCACAAGTTTAAGTGTCTTTGAAGTCCAGAACCTACAAAACGTGTGAGAGAGTATTGTGCGACCAAACACCGTGTGACCTATACGCACAAACAGTTGGCACTGATCGCACACCAAGGGCACAATTAATTGCACCCAGTGTGCGCACACTGTGCGTCTCACGTACTTTGTAATGTCGTCTTGTGTAGTTACCTCGGTGTTGAGTAGCATGTCAGACATGGGCTATCGGTCTGCCAATGCTTCAAAATTAATTGTTGTTGACGATTTGGATCCTTTTAATCTTCGGACGGAATCTCTCTTTTACAATTTCTTCTCCAGACCGAACGCTCCTGTCTCTTGTTTCCTATTATTATCATTTTATGAGTGACAGATTCGTGTTTTTCTGTTTTCCCCCTGTTGCTGTTGAGATTGTTGCTGTTGTTGATGTTTTATTGGCGTGCCGTGCTGAGCCGAGCTCGGGTCCACCCACAATATCCCTCCCAATGCTTTTACCTTTACCTTCATCCTTTTCCTAACCGGCGGAATACTTATGACAAAATGTACCTGCCTCGTCTTTTTAGAACATTATTTCTGTTCTCAAGTTGTAGCTCCGTTTTTCTTAACCTTTAAATGAATGCCACCAGAAAATCAATGCGCGGAACAGTGTACCTAAACTATCCAGTCGTACGTAGCTAAACACACTTCCGGTCTAAACTATGAGTTAGTTTATTTCTAAACCATATCAAACGTGTACCACTAGTACGCCGTGGCATTGCAAAGACAGTAAAAGGTACCGAATAGAATGGAACTTTAGGTAAATAGTGCAATAGTTGAAGACGTAACTGGGTTGTATTGGCAAAAATAATTCGACGGACTAAAAGTAGTCTCATCTAAATCACGTATTTCTTCAGGCCATGTAAACTTTACTATTTAAAGAAAACAAAAACAACTACTTCCAAACTTGCTTTGGATTTTCCTTTATGATTCTAGAAATTTAAATGCACTGCTCCTGCGCCCAAACTACGACATGAATTTGTTTTTGTACCACATTGTACTGATCCATAGTGTGTAAGTTAAAACTCCAAGAATACTGTGAGAAGCGTCTCAGTTCTAAGCCAACGTTCTTGTGATAAGTCGGGGTACTTGGACATCAACTTAGTACGTACCTCCATTTTTATTATTATATAACCAGTGTATGGGAGCGGCTTCGGCCTCGTAATCATTGTGTCAAGAAAGGTGTCATGTAAAGAATTTCTTGGCGCTGTGGAATGTTCTTATTCTTTTTGTAACCTACGCTCTTAACAAGTTGTTAAATCATAGCTGCATGCCTCAGTATAATATAATTTACACAAATGCTCCTTTCTCTTAAGTAGCAGCGTTACGAAGTCACGACACATTGCCAACCTTGAATCCTTTTGTCACCCACAACACTTCCTAAAAAAGCGAACCCGAAACCTAGCTTACCAGCATTGCTAATTGTACACGCAGTTCCACTGGCACAGCTTTCCCCAACCCACTGTATGCCATGATCTGTGCTACTTTAAAAGAAAATCCTGCGTTGGAGACAGTTGGCATGCGTGTTCGTTACAAACATACAAGGGCAGAAGAATGAACCTGGAAGTCCGTCGTGGAAGGAAATTATCGGTTGCAATCGATAAGTGCATCCGATCTTGTAATCAAAATCATGAGCACATCATTTTTGGCATTGCACTGTAGACTTAAAGAGAGTTAAGCATTTTTTAGATCCACTAAAAGTACACGAGATGCCACTACAGCTTACATTTAAATGCATCGACGTATGCATTGACGTGGGAGGCGGCGCGATTTACTGAATAAAAGAACAGAAAAGTAACTTTTGTAGCTTCACACAAGTAATCCGCCATCCATTCTCTCCTTCCTTTTGCTGTTGAGCATGGTAGCTCCTCGATTAGTGTGAACTGCACCTCTTTTACTGTAGAAAATGTTTATGAATTTCCTAGTATTTTTCTAGTAATTAGACCAATTTTGTCTGGATTGGTTGAATATGTAGAGACTCGCTTTGTGCTGTTTAGTTGATTTCATTAGTGCCCTCTCACTGTTTGCTGTTTCACAGACAAACAAACCTTTGTTTAAATTAGCCGTCCGATTAAAAAGAAAGTGCGAAGCCGATTAAGAGATTACTTTGCTGGTCTGCTTTGTTTGGACTCACAACCGATGCCGATCACTGCGTCTCTCTAAACTTGTCATATCTTGTCAAAAAAATTTATGGTGGCTTTGTGTTTTCCCGCAATTTGGAAGGGGTGTAAAGGATTTAGTGACCTGTAAGTAGCGAGGCTGCAGCATCATTCGAGACTACGTGTAGTAGAAACATGCATTTGTACGTACATGATTCCTTCCTGGGGTTCACTGAGCACTGTACAGAGATACGTTGAATCCGAGGTTTGAATCACTGTAGTCAGGTAGATAGAACAAAATTAAATTGTAGCCTTCGTCATGAACAAAGCGGTAAATCGATTCAAAGAGAAACGGTCGAACATAGATACATACCTCCGGCTCTGACTCGAGCACCTCTACTGAAAGGTATTTTCTTATACGACAAACATACTTGCCACGGAACTTGTCACACGCGTTGAACTCGTCAGTCAAATTCTGATCGAGTTCATTCCATTCTGCCACTGCGTGCTGGCCTATAACATTGGGCGTGTTCTCTCTCTGCCTGTTAGATTCCATGACGAGGATCACGCCAACTTGTTAAACGCCATGTGGCTGGTAGCCATCACCCTTCTGAGCATAGGGTATGGAGACATTGTCCCGAACACGTACTGCGGCCGAGGCATCACCCTCACTGTCGGCACCATGGTAAGTTGTTGTGCGAAGTTCAGCCTGGTTTCATTCGTTGCGCCCAGGGTCCCGCGACGAACCTTTCCTGCCCTCCGAGCAAGTGGATATGCCTGCTTCGTTAGAAATTTGAAGTTTTTCAGTTTTTGTCGTTTCGAATTTCTTTTGAAGTGTGGCACCTTGCCCTCCATGGTCAGCTTATTGGGTTTGGTATTGGGTGGGAATGGAGGGCTGGTGGATGTCAAGCAAACCCAGCTCGGCTAGCAAGCAAAGATGACCACGGCGTTGTTGACTGGCATGGCGTGTGGTAAGCATGAACAGCAGCATGCGTTTTGCGTGGAAGTGACGGACATTGACGTGACGAGACGAAACAGACCTTCCCCATCCCGCTCCCACCACGCCCCTCCCGGCTCAGCACGGCACGCCGCGGCACGCAGTCTGACACTGCCACGGCCGTGACGCCATGCTCTGAACCAATCAGGTTCCACGATGAAGAGCACGCCAACCTGTTGAACTCGATGTGGCTCATCGCGATCACGTTCCTGAGTGTCGGCTTCGGTGACATCGTACCCAACACCTACTGCGGCCGAGGGATCGCGGTCAGTACGGGGGTCATGGTAAGTGTTTCGCCCAGTCGCCTCGGCGCGCCTCGCCGCGCCTCAGCGTCGGCCGCCGACCGGGACCCTGTCGGCGCACAGAATGAGACCAGGCTGTAGCCAGTTTTGGATCATACCACTTTCTCATTGCTTCACTGGTCATATTTTGGCGAAATGATCTCGCGAATCCGCTATTTTTATTCCTTTCTTGCAGTCAGATCCATTGCCACAATAATCAGCAGTTGCGACTTTAGTCATTTGCTTTGACGCGCGTTGATCGGAGGTGAATGAAAATAACCCCTTTTCCCAATATTCAAAGTTTCATGTTTTGTGAATGGTTCCTTCCAGTGCAAAGTGCGCTGTGTCTAGTTTCTCCTGGGGTTCATTTCACTTCCGGCATCGCGTTGTCACTATGCCGTTTTTCTCTGTGTTCAGAACAGGCTTTGCAACGATGTAATCGGTGTTTTCAGGGTGCTGGGTGTACGGCGTTGCTGGTAGCTGTCGTCTCGCGCAAGCTAGAACTGACGAGGGCCGAGAAGCACGTTCACAACTTTATGATGGACACGCAACTCACCAAACGAGTAGGTTCCCTTCACCATATGTTACCGATGGCCGGAATGCAGTGTGATAGCCCTGGTTCCTGTTTTAGCTGAAAAACGCCGCCGCCAACGTTCTTCGGGAAACATGGTTAATCTACAAGCACACACGCTTGGTAAAGCGCGTCCACGCCGGCCGCGTACGCACCCACCAGAGGAAGTTCCTCCTCGCTATTTATGCGTGAGTTTCCATTTTCTATTATTGTAATCAGTTGTGTGTGCGCGTGTGGTGACACTGCTTCATTCTATCTCTTTTTTCAGCTTGCGGAAAGTTAAGATGGACCAAAGGAAATTGATGGACAACGCTAATACAATAACAGACATGGCCAAGGTAAGAAGCAGTATTTATTTTATATTTCGGTCCGGTGCTTACCACTCTTAACCGGATGCTTTTTTTTCTCTTATTCAGACGCAGAACTCAGTTTACGAGATTGTCTCGGACATGAGCGGACGGCAGGATACTCTGGAGGAGCGCATCAACTCGATGGAGGAGCGCCTGCAGAACATCCAGGAGCAGATGGACCTGCTGCCGGAGCTGCTCTCACGCTGCATCGCTCAGCAGGCGGAGAAGGCTGAGCAAAGGCGCAACTTTTTGCACCCTGAGTCAGCCGCAGCCATCGCTCCCCTAACACCTAGCCACGGCCCAGGCCCCCCTGGCGGCGCGTCCGGCAGCGGGGGCGGACCAATGCCGGGGATGGGGGGAGGCCTTGGCGGGGGCCTGGGCGGCGCGTCTCCTGGTGGGGGGACTCTTGGTTCCCAAGGCGGGTGCTCCCTCGGGGGAACGGGATCCAACTCGATGAGTGGTTTCACGGTCCTCAGCTCGGGACCCAGTGGTTACATCCCCACCTCTGGGCCTCTAGGCCCTACCGGACATTTGGGGCCCACGATGTCTGGGCCGGGGCTTGGCCCGGGCTCTCTGGCGCTGACTCACTCCAGAAGTGTTCCTCATTCATCGGCTCCACACCCCTGGCCGGTGTCTCCCATACTGCCACCTATAAGCTCCCGAACACCCCATTTGGTTCCCGAACCACTAAAGCCCTGGACGCTGCCAGATGGCAACAACCCCGCAACCAGTACAAGCTGAGACCAGGCTTAAGAGCCCTTTTTTTAATGTAAGCAGTTAAGACCAGACCTGTGATAAAAGTCTGATTTCAAGGCGACAAATTACTTCAGATGAAACCATTATTTAGCGATATTAACAAAGTTTAAAAGTGATCTTTTTTTGTGACGAGTGTGTGAACCAACGTGGGAGACTTTGCTATTGAATGTTGCATTTATTTTGCACATTAAGTTAATGAATCTTCAATATTTTTGTTGAATGCGCGTGGAGAAGGGCCATACTGGTATTGGTTCTGACTTGGTGGGTTTTCTTATTTGACTCGGTATATTTCTATATTGAAACTGCTCCTATTGAAATTATGTTGAAAATATTACCTAGTTGTTTCATTACAATTACTTGCGCTCTGTAGGATCGTAAGTTACCCAGGCTTTGTCAAAACTTGTGGCAGGACCCCATTTTTACAACTTAAATATGACGTTCTGGATTTCTTTTTGAAACGTGTGTGAAACACTTAAATTTGCTTTGTGAACGAGAATTTAGAGCAGTTTTATTACGACTAAATATAAGTTGTACTTCTTAGCCAAACCAAGACACTTGTGACGAGGTTCACTTTCAGAACCAGGCTGTGCCTCTTTTCATACTTACTTCTTTGTTGGTGACTGACATGAAGAAATACTTATTTCGAAGACATTTTTGTATGTGTAAGTGTTTTAGAATAATGTGGCACTTGGGCGAACTTTTGCTCAGTAACGTTTCACTGTTCCAGTTCAAACGTTGTAGTGGGCGATCGAGCTGTCGAAACTGGTGCTAAACCATGTATCTTCTATTGATATCTATCGATTTAAAATGTGCTAAATGCCTGTAAGACGGAAAGAGCGTTATTCAACTTAACTCGCATGTGCCACAAAACGACGGCAACAATGACAAGAGAAATGTCATGCTTTCTGGGCTTTATAAAAATTACTTTTCCACTCTCCCTAATCAACAGTCACTTTTAAGTTACTGCGATTCACAAGCTCATACCACTGCCCGCAAGGAATTAAAAGCGCATCTAAAATGAACGCATTATATATCCTCCAGTCTAAACAAAAAGTGAATGTGCCTGCGTCACTTTCTAAAGAATACTCAAGTCTAGATGTTGTCCGTCTCGCGAAGGGCCTAAAACAACAGAAGTACTTATAAAGACGAAGGCATCAAAGTGATAAACTAAACAAATTTTTAAAAAACTAGGTTTTTTCTATAATTTTGTCGCGCCGATCCTAGCTTGCGATGCCCTCGATTCTAAAGGTGGAGTAAACCAATCAAGACCAAAATAAAATCCGTCACATTAGAAAAGATTCACTTGCTTTTTAGAACGCCTAGTTCATCGACCAAGATCGTTTTGTTTAGCTCTATTAACTCCATGCGAACGCGAGTTTTAGCTGCATTCTAACTATTTCAGCAACTTAGAAACACTGAGTTTACCCAGCTCTTGTGGATCTTAAATACTATTAAAATTAAATTTCATTACGTAGGATTTAGGTTTTCTCCAATGACAAGTGTGGTTAAATGGAACTCGAGAGAGAATAAAGTATTTGAAACATGGTGTTTGAAATTTTTACAAAAACACTAACTGATGACCAAGTGTATACAATTGACCTTCAACTTATGTAGACTTTGCAGGAACATTTATACTTTTCTTTATTTATGAAGATGTCGGACAGAAAAACTCATTTGTACATAAGAGTATTTATTATAAAAATTTGTAAATATTGTTGAGTAGTTTGTAAATGAAGTTGTTTGCATATCAGATATTTTCAAAATATTCATAGTTTATTTAAATTTGAAAATTAAGTTTATGCTATCATTTTGTGCGTAATAGGGTGAAAACATGCGTGATTATTCCAAATATTAGAAATTTCTCAATTTGTACCCCCAAAAATTATAACGCCCTAAGTTCTGAAAAAAACCTCTCTTATTCGACGATTTTGGTCCTTTAGCTTTCTTACTTCGCGTAAGACTTTAAGAACTTTGTTAAAATTTGTCATACATTAATGAATATTTCTTCTTTAGGAAGAAGCACGTGCCTTGAACCTGTTGACAGTTTCAGAAATGTATTACTTCAGGATCTGTCTTGTTTCATTCTTCTTTTAAAAGTTTTTATGTCTGAAAAAGTAAAACGTGTCCATAAAGACAATGCTAATTCGATTGCGTGGGCGTTATCACAGTTGTACATCGAATGATATGATTTGTGATAAGTAAAGTTTGGCCTTTTTTCTGCTCGTTTATGGGAGGAGGCGTGGAGTTAGCTTTGATCTCAGTTACAGTTCTTTCGCATAAAGATTAACTAATTCTGTATAAGGTCTGTTTTAGAGGATCGAGTTAGCTTCAGTTTCTGTCTTTTTCTCTCGGTTGTTTTCGTTGCTTGTTGACTGACGCATCTCCCGTTGCTGAAAATATATATGTATAATTAAAAGCCGTAATCTAGTATGTCACATAGCCTCGGGTTCCTTCTGAAGTTTAGAACAAAAACTTACTGCACACTGTATTGTGTCTCCATTGGTACCTTTTTTACCAGTTCTGTAAATTTAATTTTGTTTCAGATATAAATCGTGTAACAATTCTCCAATCCCATTTCGAATAGCATCTTTTAAGGAGAAAAAATTATGTCGTAAACAAACCTGTACTTAGTTCATCGTCAATCGAAATGCTTTCTAATGTTTTGGACAAATGTGTTGTTTTCCAGACAACTGTCGACAATTTGCCTAACCGTCGGCCAAACATTTGCTTGAACGAGTCATCTTATAAACTTGCCTTGACCTTTCTTTGGCTTGGCCAAAAGTACACAAATGTGCTCAAATGTCCCATACGTCAAATTATCTTTTAAGTTGTTTGGTTGTGTGATTAGAAATTGGGACATGACTGCACAGTTTCAAACCAAGTTAGATGATTTTTTTGTGAATGTGTGCTTCTATGATGTCGAACTCCTGTTGCATCCCGTAGGCAACATGCTTCCTTTATTTAATTTTCCCCAAAACATCATGTGCTCAGGTAAACATTTGTTTTCAGGATTTGGGTGTGAAGTGCATGGGGTTGTTATGATAACGTTTTAACTTACTTAATAAAAAGGCATGATAATGCCACCTTACTTCCTGTTAAACAGTTATTTTCTACGCCTCTTCGGACCAGTGTACGAATATGAGATTGCAGTGGTAGAGCCCCTCTGCAGCCATCACCATCACAAAAAGAACAGAGAAATTTGTTAAATTGACACAATTTATTAGCTGGGATCAGCTTGTGAGCTGACTTGCTGCTTGCAGCATGAGGGAAAAGATGCCATTGTCGAAGCGAAGCAACTGTGATGGAGATCCGTCTTCTGTGACTTTCCCATTTTCAAGGACTATGATTCTGTCACAATCCAGCAGCGTGGAAAGGCGGTGCTGGAATCAAAGAACGCGTGAAGTGTATCGTGTTAAAAAACAGTGGTGAAGGCAAGGCCTCTTGCGCTTGCCTGCGTAGCATTAAGGTGCTCACAAAACTCGTCTGTGGACCCAGTACACTACCCGAAGCACATGCTTGTAAGCACGCACTTCGAGGCGTGTACGAAGAGCGCTTTGTTGCAAAGTTTGTCAACTTACCGCTATGATGAGCACTGTCCGATGAGCAAAGGCGCTTAAAGCTACAGAGAGAAACGCGTTTTCAGTCGTTGGATCCACTGAACTTGTTGCTTCGTCCATTACAAGAACGGCTGCATTTTGCAGAATAGCTCTGGCCAGGCAAAATAGTTGGCGCGTCCCAACGCTCAGATTTTCGCCTCCTTCTTTTAATACAGCACCTAGACAGAAATTTTTAACTTAAAACTTGATAATTTATTTGCCTTTCTTTATGGCTTATAGAAATGCATACTTAGGCCCCCTGGAAGTGCCTCAACCATGCTCTTCAGCTGAGCTACAGCAAGGCTTTCCCATATTTTATCATCGGAGTAAAAACCGTTTGGATCCAAATTATCTCTGTGGGAGTAAAAAACTTTCATTAAAAATAATTAAATAATAAGATTGCTACGCTGTGAAATGCCTCACCTTATAGTCCCGCTGAACATAACTATGTCTTGCGGTATCACAGATAGTCTTGAACGAAGCAGCTGTAAAGGAAGTTTCGATATATCTACTCCGTCCATCGTTATACAGCCTTCCGAAACGTCAAGCATTCGGAAAAGTGACATCACAAGTGAGGATTTGCCACTCCCTGTGCGCCCACAAACGCCGACCTGCGTACAAATATTATTTTAAATAGAGTATTAAATTTGGAGAGAGTAAATAATCCATCCCTAGATACATTTAATACCTTTTGGCCCGCTGGAATATGCAGGTTTATATTCTTTACCACTGGATCTCGATTTTCGTCATATCGCAGACTGACCCCTTTGAATACGATGTCACCTCGCTCGGGCCATGTCGCGGAGACTTGTAAACCTAACAATGTAAAATTTCCCTTCAGCGTACTTAGCTACTCGTTGGCCACTTTTTCATTCCTATCGGGCATACCTTGGGTATTGTAGTCTTCCATTTCCATTTCTGCGTACTGCTGCACTCTTTCGACTGACCCCATGTACATCTCAACATCTGCAAGGAACTTGACGACCCAGTTCAGATAAATAGGAACCAACAAAGTGTAGTTTATTGCGAGTCCGACCAGCGATGGAGAGACAGCTTGAGGGTAGAAATGGGCTGCAGTCAATGAACCAATTATTGACACTAAAACTATGGTACCTCCCATGTAGTCCTGTTGATGATAAAAAAAAGTTAATTAATAGCAGGAGAGAGGCGATACCATGGAGCGCTTTTGACCCATCTCGTGCATTTTGAGTTTTCAGCATATTTTCTCGTCTCTATAGCATTTGAACCCCCGGTTGGGGTCTAAATGGATATCATTTCCAACGGACTATGCGCACGTACAACGGTTTTAATTCCATTAACACGAGACGGGCTAAAAGCACTCCGCTTTTGATTTCTTTGTTCGTTGGGTTGTTTCCTTACAAGAGCCACTCCCAACCATCTGTTTGCAGCACTAAGAACTAGGAAAGTGTTAGTATTGATGTCCATTCTTTCCAACATAAGCTCCATGAAACGAGACTTTTGGCCAAAGGCTCGAACGGTCGCAAGCCCGCCTAAAGTTTCCGAGAAGAATGAAGAAACCGGAGCACGCGTCATACTATCCAGTCGGTGAAGCTCTCTGAAAAGCATACAAAGGAAAGTCAAGTGCATTGTGCACGTTGTTATGTGTTCATTCTTACGGAAACTCATACCTGGTAGAGACACGATAGAAATGTTGAATAATGTAGTAAACAAGGCACATGGGTAGTGCCGGAAGCAGAAACCATGGCGACAGAATTGCATTTACTACTATCGCAGAAACACACAGCGACAAGAATTGCATTAATCGTTGAATAGATGTTGCTAATTTCTGTAAAGAATTGAGCGTTACTTTGCGACTGGAGGGAGATTCTCTATCACAGTGAACTCCATACTTACTTTATCGATCACGGCGATGTCTGTTGACAGGCGGTCAATGACTCGACCGATGGGTGTCATGTCGAAAAACTTGACTGGTGAGCGAAGTAGATTTGACAGCAAGTTTTGGTGCAACCAGTGGCGAGCCCGTGCTCCTGCCAGCTGGCCGACTAAATTTGACGACAGTGACAGCAGCATGGTCACCACGGACAGCGCCGAGTATATGAACAAATATTTAAGCATCTGGAAGCATGCCAAACATTTCAATGCAAAACATTGCAAATCAAATTTGGAGAACAAAAATTTGTCTGGAATAGAGGAACATTGGGAAAATCGGTCACCTCCATTTGGAAATGTTTCTTGTCTTGATTTGTGTCTGGCGTCGTTCCATTGTAGGCAGTCCAGTCACTGAGCCAGAAGTCAGTGCACACGCGCAGGCCTTGCCAAGACAACGTCGATAAGAAATAAGCGACAGCCACTGGAATGGTGCAGGCCTTTGCATACGTGTAGTAGACGCGCTGGGGAACTCGCCCGTTCTTTCTCCCTGCTTCTACTATGGACTGCCTGTCACCCTGTTCAACTGCACGTCATGTTTAGATGGACTCGTGTATGTTCACTCGTGATTTTTTTCGGTATCATGTTAACCTACTGGTAACTTCGGTGGCGCTGTCGTCGGCGTCCGTTTCTGCATAGTATGTGTACTCTGCAGTGTAGACTTGGGTCTCTGTTGCGCTGGAACTCCTGCAACAGTTTTAACCTCTTTTGAGAAACGGTCTTGGTCCAAAAGGGCTTTAATTTTGCTTGTAAAATAAGAACTTACCTTCGGGAACTGCTGACCAAACCCTCGGGTGCGGGTGGCAATGTCGAGCTAATTTTTCTCTCAACCAGGCTGAAACAAACCCGTGGTCCCAATAACACAAATTCAGTACCAACGTTTGTAAACATTCTATTAACTTAGAATTTTCACAGTCTTCCAGTCTGTCTTGCCTGGATTGGGTGGTCCAGGCGCGGCTGGGGCACTGGGCCATGTCGCGGGGCCTGAGCGACGCCACCCTGGTGACCTTGCGCCGCCAGGCGGCCGGCACGGTGGCGATGGTGCTCCTGGTGCGTCGGAGGGGCTTCTCCCACGCCACTGAGTCGTGCAGCGGGTTGGCGGGGGGCGCGGCGTACTCGGGCACGGGGAAGCTGTGCGTGCAGTGGTTGGTGCGGTACAGTGACCGCGACTGCCGCCTGCTGAAACGCTGTAACGAGTCACGTTATCACGCGAGGAACCTTGGCCTTTCACAGCAAATTACAGTGTAGTGTTTCGTAAGTTCCGCACAAAATTGAGCAAGCGTGTAGAAAATGCTTACCCGGAAGTGACGCTGGGGCGACACCACCTCGGTGCGCTGCAGGCCGATGCGGGAGACGAGGCGCACCAGCTGCCACCGCTCTCTGGCCGTGCGCTCGCCGCGCAGCACGACGTCGTGGGGCGAGTCCACGGCGGCGGCCTTGGGGTCGTCCAGGTCGTCCAGAGAGACGGTGAGCGCTTGCTGCCACGCCTGGCCCAGGTCGGGCCGCTCGGCCTGGATTTTGCTCAGAGTGCCCTGGGTGGACACTTTCCCGCTTTCCATCACAATTATCTGCGGTTTAAAAATGTTCTCACTTAATTACTTTGTAGTTTATTCGTGATGCCGCAGCAATGCAGTTTATCGCTTGGCTACGCACAAATTTGTGCATTTCAAAACGTTCGCTCAATTTTGGACTAAGCTACGGAGTTATTCGGTTTAAAAGCACTTGAATTGGATTCGCGCGCTGAAACCGCGGTTGACTTACGTAGTCCGCCTGGTTCAGAAGGGAGAGGCAGTGAGTGGCAAGAATGACAGTCCTGCCACGTTGCTTGAGAAGCTTCAGGAAGCCCTCTTGCACGAGGTGCTGCCCGACCTGGTGGTCCAGTGCTGACAGGGGGTCATCCTGCAAGCCAACACGTATTAGTTCTCGGATCATTGCAGTGAAAGGAATTGTTTCTCGGAACTTTACCATGAGCACGGTCGTCGCGTTGGAGTAGAGCGCTCGCGCGATGGCCACTCGGTGCTTTTGGCCTCCCGACAAGTTGATCCCCCTCTCACCGATTTCGGTAAGGTCTTGTGCCGGCAAGATGTCCAAGTCAGGCTGCAGGGCACATGCGGCGATCACTTCACCGTACCGACGCCTTCTCATTGGCTGCCCGAACAGTATGTTCTCTCTGACATTTGCGTTCAGCAGCCACGGTTTCTGGGAGCAGTACGCAACGGAGGAGTCTCTACAACAAGTTATACAAGTTCCAATTTTCCAATGTATTTTTTTTTTCAATGTGGCCAAGCATGCATTTGTAAGTGTGTACTTGGCCAAGCATGCGTTTGTAAGTGTGCACTTTGTAGACAGTTTGGTTCGTAGTGTGTACTTGTCCTACACTTGGACTAAGGCGTACTCACTGGCTCCACTTGACTGGGTATCTGCCGTCCGAGGAGCTCATCTCCCCCAAAAGTGCGAGCAGGAGCGATGTCTTGCCGCTGCCGATGGCCCCAACCACCAGTGTTATCACCCCTACAACAATGGAATGATTGGGACAAAGTGACGGACGCGTGTCGCGGGGGTCAACAGTGGCTCACCTTTTGGCACTGTCACGTCGTTTAAGTGGAGGACGTGCCCCGAGCTCCAAGAGAAATTGCCGTCGCTTATAGAGACGACGCTTCCTCTCCCTGCGGTCGAGATGGTGGCGGGAACTTTGGCCTCGGAGTCATGCTCTATCGCTGGACTCAGATAATCTCCAGTGGAGTTTGGTTCCCCTTCATGTCCATCTTTGTCTTCCTCTGGCTCTTTCATTCCACCCGCCGCGGAAGCCGCACAGCTGAATACGAAAGGATTGCCGTCGGTTTCGTACTCCAGGACGTTTGCTGTTTCTGGTTTTGAGAAAAATGCTTCCAATCTCTTTGTGCTGACCTTGAAATAATTATTCAACAAAATCCCACATTAGGGGAAACCTTAAAAATTACTTATTCTGGCACTTGTGGCGAAATTGTTGCAAATCGCATCTATATCTATTATTTACCATGGCGCTGATAATGATTGGCACCGTGATTGGAAAAATGAAGAGTGGAACAGTGAGCTGGTTGAACAGCGCCAGGCTGGCGAACACGTTGGCCGTGGGGAGGGGAGCCTTTTCCACCATCATGTAAATGCCGAATGTCACTAGAGTGACGATGGCCGAGGACGCGTGGGTCAAAAAGGCTGCAACAAGGGCTAATTGAGTGACAGCCAACTCCAGAGCCCTGCATGGGTAAACGCAACAGTGTGTGTTTCTGTCAGGCTTAACAGTTGGAGCGCGGACTTACTCATGACAGCCCAATGAAGGGAATCCACGTTCAACAGTCGCAGCTCTCTGTTCCTAGCGAGTTGGACCTTTTTCTCGTACTGCTCCTCCCAGCTGGACAGTTTGATGACCTTGATGCCGTGGACTACTTCGTTTATTCGCCGTAATCGTTCGTCGTTGGCCTCCTGCAAATATTCCACCGTGATTGCACATTGACTGCAACTTGAATGCACAGCCTTGAAAACAAAATTGCACGTACTGATATTGATTTGGAGTTGGCAGACATTTTCTTTCCTATGGCGAACTGCAGGGGGGTCATCACTGCTACGCACAGCACCGCACCAATGAGAGCACTGATACCAAGCTGGTAGTGCAACAGGAACATGAGAGCTGCTATCTGGACAAATGGAAAATGAAAAAGTCCATTAGTGCAATTAACACAATAATGACACTGTTATCGGATGTGAAGAGAAAACCTACCTTAACAGGAATAGCCCAAACGTAATGGCAAATCCATACAAATGACATGACGTTGTAGGTGTCTTCTGATATGAGATTGATTATTGTTCCGAAGTCTGTGTGAGAAGTTGATGCACTTTGTGGGCTCGACGTTGTGTCGTCTCCACTGGGAATGCTTTTCTCTCGTTTTTTCGTCGGTTGAACTTTCCCCAGAGGAGACTCATCCGAAGCGCAAGTGTCCTTCTGTAATTCATCACAATCCTCCTGTGAAAAACTCCACAAGGGGAGTCTCAACGATTTGTCGTAAATCATCGCCTGTTGAAGACATAATTATTGCAGCCTCCGCTTCTGAATAAACCGATTTTATTTCAAACAATGTGCATTTTACCTACTTGCAGTGCTGCTTTTATGCGAATGCCTTCAACATTTATGAGATGTGTGCAACTTTGGGAGAACGTTCCTTGGGCCAGGGCAGATAAAAATACCAAGACGCCCATCACGTAGCCATTGCTAAAGAATTCGGCCACGGAAACGTACGATCCTACCTGAAATTTGCAGAACACTCGCGACTTTCATTTGAATAATTCAATCGTCAAAGTAAGTGGCTTCGATAGCTTTTTTCTCTGAAAACTGGTACCTGTTCATCTGTCCCCTGGGTTGGTTTCGCGCCAGGCGGTTTCTGGACGTACGAAACAATGACAGAAATGCCCATCGGCCCAATGAACCCGACCATGTCTCCAGACAGTTTAAACACGCCACTCAGGGCCAGCATTTTCCAGGAGCCGTTGAAAAAACATCGCCACAGGGCGACAGGATCGCGTCTCGTCTCCTTGAATAACAGAGTTTGTTTTTAGAGAAGGGAAATCTGAGAGCGGTCTGAGGGCGGTCGCTCAAGTGCCTCACCTTGATGGAGTTATAAATGGTCTGGAATTTCTCGAAGTGAACAGCAGTGCTTTCCTGGTGCGGAATCCTTCCCAGGTCCTCGAGCTCCAGCGGACTGGTGTTGCCCAGACGCAGCAGCGGCGTCAACCACGAGAAGGTAGCCTTCGAATACAGACTCGCCTCGTCATAACGGTAGCTGGAAAACCCCGCACAGAATAAGTCCTCCTCTTCAAGGTGCTTTCCACTTTGCTAGAATCAGAGGGAAATCCATTGAAGCAACACCCGTCGCGCCCAGGCCTGGGCCCAGGCCGCACTCATAAGCTTGTTTTATTTCTCTTACCCGCAAAGCGGCGAGGTCGACGGCGGCGGCGAGGGCGTACAGCCCTCCACTGGCGCACCCAAGGAGCGGCCTCATGTATGCAAAGCTGGCCCCGCCCCAAACCACCATCTGCATCACTGTGAGAATCCTGGCAGCAAAATTTCCAAATTATTTTTCCGGAGTACCTGCCTTACAGCGGGGAAAAGGGGGACCGTCTCGTATGTGCTGTGGTCTTTGATTCTCCAAGTGTCTACCCAAATTTTGACAGTGTACTCGGGGTGCTTGGCGTCCTTGCCTACCTTGCGGCCGCCATGATGGCTCCACACGCGGCCAGGAAGGCCCTGGGCAGCCAGCCCTGGCCGGCGGCCTGGCCGCTGAGGTGCGCGTCGAGGAACTCGGCGGGGAACCAGAGCGCCACGGAGCAGGCCGCGGCCACGAGGGGCGAGGCCGCGGCGCCGGGCGAGGGGCCGGCCAGCGCCACCAGGGCCTCGGCCACCTCCCCGCACAGCGACAGCAGCAGCGACACCGACACCAGCGGACGCACCGTGCGCACCAGCAGGCCGCGGCGGCAATGCGTCCTGCAGGCCGGGAAGGGGACCGAGTTACAGTGGGCCAGGCGGACAAAACTCGAGTCGCGTTTCGAGCTCCAAAGACACTAAACAGGGCTCGAACCGAATGCGTGACTCCACCGATGGATTCCTCGTTCGGAGAGCAATCCATTGGTGGGGTCATACGTTCGGTTCGAGTCCCATTCAGCGCCTCTGGAGCTCGAAACGCGTCCGGGATTTCGACCGCCTCCGCCGGTCTTCTGACCCACTGTGCAGCGTCCCGCGTCACTCAGATGTCAGGAACGACAACTTATTTTCCGTTCTTTACGGGTGCACTGTCCTTCCCCTGCCTTGCCTGTGCGGGTCCTCGCGGCCGGAGCAGCGCAGACACATGAGGACGAGCAGCGCCAGGTAGGTGGCGGTGAGCGCGGTGACGGTGTTGACGACGTGGCCGTGGCACGCCGACTCCCAGGCAGTGGCGTTGCCGTGCGCCGCGCCGGCCGCGCCGCACAGAAGCTTCATGCTGCCACCTTATCCTTCCACACTCCGAGCGCTGCACTGGTTTCACATCCCACGACGCCGCGTCGTCACTCACAGGTGGGACTTGACTTCGAGTCTTTCCGGGTGGAACGGGCCGGCGTAACTCAAAGTCCGCCCCAGTCACTCCGAGTCCTCTTCAGCTGCAGGTGGAGCGGGGCGGCGTGACCCCAACCTCAGTCACAGGTGCGACAGGGTGACGTACTCCACGTCCTGCTCAGTCACAGTTGGAATGCCGATCCTTCCTCGGCCACGCGCTGGCGGGACAGGGCGACGGAGTCCTCAGTCACGGGCAGGACGTCGTCGGCGACGTCGGCGCGGCGGCTGCGCGCCAGCCGAGGCGGCGGAGGCCGCGACCGTGCAGGGAAAGCCATGAAGCGCTCAGTGCTGCCTCCGCCGGGCGACTGGGGCGGCCTGCTGGGGCCTGCAGTGGCCCCTCCCCCTTCCCCCTCCCCCTCCCCGCCTCGTCGTGGACCAGCGGCACGGCTCGGGGGACGCCGCACGCCGCGGGTCGTTGGAGAGTTAACACCCTTCCTCTTTTGAGAAGCCTCCCGCCCGGGAAGATAGAGCGCGATGAAAAGAAGTCGCTTTCGACGCCGTGTCGGGAAATTAGTGTGGGAAGCCGCCTTTCCTCCTCGTGGAGATTTTCCCGTTGTTTTGGTGAGAAAAGTCACCAACAGGGTTTCGGCCTGAATGCGGGAGGCGGACCGGCCACCGATTTGCCCCCTTCATGAATGGGGACCCAGCGCCACCGACGCTGATTCAGTATAAACGAGTCCTTACTTTCCTCTCGGTGCCCCGCTAAAAGAGAGAGAAAGAAGGGAACAGAAAAAGCCGAAAACGTCGCTCCACTTTGTGTTTTTGTTTCGTTTTTGTTTTCGTTACACACGCTAATTGCAGCGTGCAGATGGCGCCGTTCTCGTGATGCGCTCCAAATTACAATGCGCGGCCGGTTGCCAAGCTGCTGCGGAAAAAGGAAGGGCTCGGGGCGCTCTGTCTCTCTCGCGCCCTGGCGGATCGCGCGAACGCGTGGAACGCCCCGCGAGTGCGAGAGAGACGGAGAGCGCCGTGTTTCGGAATCAGCCCGCTCGTCGGCGCTGTGCGGGGGCGGAGGAGCCATGGCGGAGCCGTCTCGGCGTCTCCAGGGCTGGCTGGCTGGCTGGCTGCTTGGCTTGCTGGCTGGCTCCGCGTTTAGTGCCCGTACGTGCGCAATCTGGCCGCATCGCCGCCACGAATTGGTCTCCTTCCTGCTTTACATTGCTCCACGGTTTTCGGGACGGTCCCATCCAGGACTCTTCTTTCCCGCCCACTCCCTCTTTGCCCTTCTCTCTCTCTCCCTCTCTCTCACTCTCTCTCTCTCTCTCTCTCTCTCTCTCTCTCTCTCTCTCTCTCTCTCTCTCTCTCTCTCTCTCTCTCTCTCTCTCTCTCCTCTCTCTCTCTCTCTCTGCCCCCCTTTTCCCCGGCCTCGCTCCCCTCCAGTGCGTTCCATCTGCTCCGCTGCCTCGTCTGGCCGTCCCAGCGTGCGCGGGAAGACGATATGTTTAAACTAGTCGGCGAAAAGTTCAGTCCCTAAAATGTCATTAGAGAACTGAAAATTTACGGTGTCGTTCTTTCTCCGGCCTGGCGATAGATGGACCGGTAGGGGAACAACTCGGCTCGAGACATGGATGGCGCCTGTGAAGGTGCAGGTAGGCCGGCCCGCCACTCTCGGCTGGTCAACGGGTTGCCTACCCGTCGCCTGTCAGGCTGCAGGTAGGCCGGCCCGCCACGCTCGGCTGCTCGGCGGGTGGCCTACTCGCCAGCTGTCAGGCGCCTCCGGCTGCCCGGTTGGCTCGCTGTCTGTCCACCACTCAACGCCTCTCCCACTTCCACGGTCCGGCCGAAAAATGGACGTACAGTCACTGCGGGCGTTTCGAGTTACGCCCGCCGGAACGCCGTCGGCCCTTAGCGTCAGTCACTCACAGCGCTCAGTGGGCCAGGACTGTAGACGCGTTTTGAGCTCCAGAGTCGCTAAACAGGACTCGGGCCGAACGTGTGAGCCCGCCAATGGATCCCTCGTTCGGAGAGCAACCCATTGGTGGGGTCACACGTCCGGTTCGAGTCCCATTTAGCGACGCTGGAGCTCGAAACGCGTCCGGGATTTTGACCACCGGCGCCAGTCTTCTGGCCCACTGTGAGGCCAACTCCTCCCGGTTTGATCGCCTGCCGATACTCCGCGCGGGCAGATGCGCGCCGGGGCCCGGCCCGGCAAGGTCACGACGGCGACCTCAGCGCGCGCGTCATCGCGGCGGCCGGTCCGGGAACTACTCGCGAGTACAGTGACGTTCGTTGAAGAGACGCAGAATCTTCGGCGGCCGTCTGTCCGCGTGCCAGCGGCGGCGGGGCGGCCTGCGTCGGCCTGGCGTCGGCCTGGCGGACCACAGTCCCGGACCGCAGTCCCGGACCACAGCGCCCGCACCGGCCGCCCGGTTCGGATCCGCGTCATGCGCGTCGTGTGGCACTAGAACAAGTCTCTCTCTGTCTCTATCGCCGTGTGTGACTTCGGCTTCCAGTGGACTTGGACAAATTCTTCTCGCCATGCTGCGAGCAAGGCTGCGAGCCTGGGCCTCCGTCGGCGTGGTGCTTCTGCTGCTGTGGCGCCCCGGCGTCTCGTACAGAGGTGATGGTCATGAAGTTCGCTTCACTCGTGTAAATTTTGTCAGAATGTCTGAAACATGTCTGAAATCCTGATCAAAATTCGCGCACCTCTCAAAGCTGAAATTCTGAAAACTTACTCTGATATTGACGGTTTGAGTTCTAAAGACTTCCGGGAGATGTGTTCAGCTTTCAGAGGTGCGTGAATTTTGATCAGGTTTTCAGACAGGTTTTTGACATTCTGACCAGATTTACACGAGTGTTTCTCTCTCGCGGAATCGGCGGCCGCGGTTCGTCGTGACCCACGACGGCGGCGGCAAGCTCCTTGCGCGGAGGCCAGCACTCGCCGAACACTGTTTTCGTCGCTCTGTCTCTCTCGCACTCATGGGGCGCCCCGTAAGGGTGCGAGAGAGACAGCGGGCCGGTGGTTCCTAGAGCTGGCCGCCGTGCTTTTTATTATCGCCCGTCTGCCTGCAGAGAGCGATTCCGTCGTCGCGCTGTCTCTCTCGCTCGCGTGGGCCGTCCCCGTGCGCGTGCGAGAGAGACAGCGCGACGCGGCGTGCCCGGCGTGCCCGGCTCGACCACGACTTCCTCGCTCGTCCATAGATCACTGCCTCTCTTGTCCCGCGCGCCGGCCGCGGCCCTTACTCAATGGGGGGAACTTTAAATGGCGCTGGGGAATTTCGGCGACGCGCGCGCATTGTCGGCGCGAGATGGATGGCACTGTAGAGGTGTGTGTGTGTGCGTGTGTGTGTGTATTAGTCGGTGTATGACCTGAGGGCAAAACGACATTTGAGACACCTGAAAATGGCGTCACTTGTGTCAAAACACGCGAGAGCGAGACGGATGACGACGTGCTGCCGATCGGCCTTGACATATCGACTGTCCCAATTTGGATTCGAGAAAAGGGGGGGGGGGGATCTGAAGCGATAAGACAAGGCGGGACGGGCGGTTCAATATATTTCGGATATTTTTTATTTTTTTGCTATTGCTTCTTTTTTGCAGTGGACTTGTTATTGTTGCAGCGGCCCGGCACCAGCCCCCCGGCGGCGCCGTGTACGACGTGGAGGTGCGGGAGGTGGACTCCGAGACGCTCCGACAGCTTCTGGCCGGCCAGCGCGGCCAAGGTGATGCACAGTGGGCCAGAGGACCGGCGCGCAGGCGGCAAAAACTCCAGACGCGTTTTGAGCTGCAGAGTCGTTAAACAGGACTGGAACCGAGCGTGTGACCCCACCAGTGGATTCCTTGTTCGGAGAGCAATCCATTGGTGGGGTCACACGTTCGGTTTTCTTCCCAGTGTGCTCATCGCCTTCCCGTTCGCCTGCAGGCCAGGGCCACTACCCGCCGCAAAGCCCCAACCCCTACGGCCCCAACGGCCCGGGCCACTGGTACCAGCGGCCGCCGCAGCAGCAGCTGCCAGGGGCCGGGGCCGGCACCGGCCAGGCCAAGGCGCACTTCGTGTCGCCCAGCGGCCAGGTGTACTCGCTCAAGGAGATGAACGGCGTACAGGTGCTGGTGGGCCCGGACGGCCGCTGGTTCCCCTTGAACGGCAACAACATGAACGGGCCGCACCGTGGCGGTGACGGTGCTGATGGCGACCGCGACGACAACAGATATGACCTGCCGACAACCAGGGGTAAGGTCCGGAGAGAATCTTGAAGCGACCTGCAGATAGTGAGACGAATGAAAAGGATGCGGACCTTGACACGATTGCCCGGCAGGTCCGTCGCGCCATCCCCCAGGCCCGACGGGGCCGACGGGGCCGACCTTCGACGACGACGGCCCGTCCTACGACCGCAAGGGCGGCGACGGCCCCAAGGGCACCAGGGACGCCGAGGACTGCGTGGCCTCGCAGACGACGATCAACGGCGGCAGGAAGACGTGTCGCTACCAGCTGCTCATCGACGAGCACTTCGACGTGTTCAACCTGACGCTCTGGAAGCACGACGTGCTCATGCCCGACGAGCCGGTGAGTAGCAGTGCCGAGCATGCACGGGCCAGAAGACGCGTTTTGAGCTCCAGAGTCGATAAATGGGACTCGTACCGAACGTGTGCCCCACCAATGGATTGCTCTCCAAAAAACGAATCCATTGGTTAGGTCACACGTTCGGTTTGAGTCCCGCTTAGCGGCTGTGGAGCTCAAAACGTGTCTAAAATTTTTGCAAACTCCACCTTCTGGCATGAACACCGCCTCGGCCTGTTTTTTTTCTTTTTTTTTTGCCTTTTTCTGATTTGCATTTTCTTAGTGTAGGATTTCGAGTTCGTGGTGTACGACAAGGACCCCGACAACAGCTACGTGGATAAGAGTATCCTGCACATCAAGCCCACCCTCCTGGAGGACGCCTACGGCGCTGGCTTCGTCATGAACGGGACACTGAACCTTGAAGAGTAAGTCAGGAAGGTCCTTTGATTTCGCAGTGAATTCCGGTGCATTTTAGAGTTTGACACTCCCCGGCAGGTGCACCTCCCCGAAGCGCGAGGAGTGCTCGCGCACGGCCAGCACGTACAGGGTGCTGCCGGCGGTGCGGTCGGCGCGCCTCACCACCAGGGACTCGTTCACCTTCAAGTACGGCATCGTGGAGGCGCGCGTGCTGGTGCCGGAGGGCGACTGGATCTACCCCGGTAACGTACTCGAGTCTTAATTGTTTTTGATTGTACGCGCCAAGCGTGAAAGGCTACCCCAGCACCAGTGCCGCCACGCAGGCAAATACTTCCACGATGGACCACTGTTGAAATGGTTACCAACCTCAACTCGATTTAAATAACTGTTTTGAAATTCGATTTCGTTTGAGGACTTTTCTAGATTTTTCTAGATTTCATTCCATTTGGAGAATTCTTTTGAAGATATGATTCGATTTTATTAATTGATTCGGTCTGACTGTTCGGCTCTGGTCCGCAGCCATCACGCTGGACCCCGCGACACCGGTGTACGGCAAGTGGTACGCGGGCGGCCAGATCCGCCTGCCCTACACGTCGGGCAACCGCTTCCTCGCGCGGCGCGTCGACGGCGCCAAGACCGGGCTGCAGGTGATGCACGCCGGCGTGGCGCTGGGCAAGGCCACGGGGCAGGACATCCGGCCCACACTGCTGGAGAAGGAGGTGCGTGCCTCCAACGGCAGCAACTGGAGGAAGAAGCACTTCAGGGTGTACCGGGCCAAGTGGACGCCGGGTAAGACAACAAAACCCAATCAGCGCAAAGTTTCTATTTTTTACTACTATTTATTTTTAAAATTGGTTATTTCAGAGTACATCGAGTTCTCCCTGGACGGCAAGCCCATATACACGGTCCGGCCGCCCCCCAATGGCTTCGTTAGTATGACGGACAGCCCCGGAGACCACCCGTGGCGCACCGGCTCCAACATGGCCCCCTTCGACCAGGAGGTGAGGCAGCCATCACGTCTTTATTCACTTCTTCTTGGCGGTGCCGAAAAAATTGCTTCGATTCGTGTTGAAAGTGAAATTTGCCCACCTTTCCGGCGGCCTGCCTTGTAGGCCCCTGGATCCGCGCTGCGCGATAACTAAACAACACTTGTTTGCCGCAGTTCTTCCTGTCGCTGGGCGTGGGCGTCGGCGGCGTCAACCGTTTCCCGGACGGTGGAGCCAACGGCGAGTACAACGAGCACCCCAAGCCTTGGAAGAACAGCAGCCCCAAGGTGACCAACCTGACGAGACGCTACATTTAAGTTGAACAGTGTACCCACAACTATTCGCGTTCTTGCATGCAAACATACATGTCTGCTCGTTTGACTCAGTATCACACCCAGCTGAACGTCGTCTGTTATTTTGGGTTAGAAAATCCATCGGCTCACTGTCGCATTTCTATTGTGCTTTCATTCGTGTTTCAGGCTCTCCTGGACTTCTACAAGGCGCGCGACCACTGGTTCCCGACGTGGTCCAACCCCAGCCTGGAGATCGCGCACCTCAAGGTGTGGGCGCTCTGAGCCCCGTCTAGACAGGCAAAAGCTGGGCAGACAGGAATTTGTTGCGATGTCTGTCGTCCGAACTGGAAACCCCTGAAGGCTGTGAGAGTGAGAGGACGCATCGCTTAACGTATTTTTTTAAAAAATTTTAGGTTTAAGTGTATATTTGGTCTGGCGCCTCGTAACGAATTGCCATTGGCGTTTCTATGGTATTTCTAGGATTAGGTTGGCACACGTGTTCGCGGCAGAGGCATCGCGCGAGGCATCTCTGCCTCGCGCTAAGAGCATCGCGGCGTGTGCTTGTCTGTGATCACATGTAGTTTTACAGTGCGGGAAACTTTGGCGAGAAACAAAGGCAGTGGGTGGTAGGACAGTTGTTTTTTTTTTTATTGGTTAAATTAAATATAAAAATAAATAAACTTATCGTAAAAGTGCGATTTGCTTTTTGGCAGATTGGTGTCACAGTGCCCACACTTTGGCGTAGCTGACTTGCAGGAGGGGCAACTGCCACGTGGGGTACCACTGGTCTTTCGCCTTCCAAAAGTTGAGCATTGCCTGCAAGAAGGGAAATTCCTTTCTAAGTTCGCTCGTTACAAATTGTATAACTCACATAAGTGGCTCAAAAGGTCCTACAGTTCACCAGTGTCGAAAGGATTCCTTATCAGGCAAGTCCTCCGGCTGCTTAGACAGGCAACCCTTTCGACGCTGGTGCATTGTGGGAAGTTTCGCAAACGGTGGCAACGCTGCGCCACCACACTGGTGCGTCACGCACCTTGGGACTGGTGTTCTTCCAGGGCTTGGGGAACTCGGCGTTCTGTCCGTTGGTCACGTTGTCCGGGAATCTGTTGAGGCCCCCGACGCCGAGGCCGATGGACATGTAGAACTGCAGCACAAGGGTGCAATACTCAGGTCCAATTTATTACTATTTGAGTCTCAACAGCTCAGTGGATTTGCGTACCTCCTGGTCGAAGGGGGCGTTCTTTTCTCCGCCGGCCCAGGGACTCTTGGCCGGGTCGGGCGAGAGACTGGCGAAGCCTCCCTCGGGCACGGCGATCTTGCGCCCCATGGACTCGCCGTCCACCCAGTACTCGAAGCCGTCTGCGAGGGAAGGGCTTGTTAGTGGGCCAGAAGACCGGGGAAGCTGCTCAAAATTCCGGACGCTTTTTGAGCTCTAATGGGACCCGAACCGAACGTGTGACCCCACCAATGGATTGCTCTCCGAACGAGGAACCCATTGGTGGGGTCACACGTTCGGTTCGAGTCCACGGCCCGAGACTGCATCTGTCCGCACCTGGCGACCACTTCATCCGGACGACGTGGAAGACTCTGGACCAGTCGGCCACCTCCTGGGGGGCGCGCGCTTCGACGCTCAGCAGCTTGGCGTCGTTCTGGTCCTTGACGCCCAGCGCCACGCCCGCCCGCATCAGCTTGCGACCGCGCCAGCCGCGCTGCCCCGGGGACCCTCCGGCTTGCCCGCCGCCCGGGGAGTCCCTCAGGAACTTGTTGCCGAAGTGGGACGGCAGGCGGATCTCCCCCGAAGAGAAGTGGGGGCCGTAGCGGGACTCGGCCGGCTTCAGCGCCAGCTCTGCAAAATGACAAAATCCCCAAATCCCATTGCCATTCGCGCCAGCGGGACTCGGCGTGACGTCAAGTGTTTCTTGGCCCAATAGAATGTGCTTGCGACGAGTGGCAGGCGGTCTAAATCCCGGACGCGTTTTGAGCTCTAACTGGGACGCGAACCGAACGTGTGACCCCACCAATGGACTGCTCTCCGAGCGAGCAATCCATTGGTGGGGTCACACGTTCGGTTCGAGTCCCGTTTGGCGACTCTGGAGCTCAAATCGCGTCTTTGGCCGCCTGCGCCGGCCTTCTGGCCCACTGCATACGCACACTGTGCGCACACTGTGCACTCACGGGGGTACAGCCAGTCGCCGCGCGGGCCGCGGACGCGCATCTCCACGACGCCGTAGCGGAAGGCGAACGAGTTGGCAGTGTGCACGCGCGCGGACCGCACCGGCGGCAGGATGTTGTACGAGAAGGCGGTGCGCTCGCACAGGTCGCGGTCGCTGGCGGTGCACCTGCAAGCAGACGACGCGACGCGTGCACTGCTAAAGCTGGAGTAAAACTCCGTGGGACTTTCCTCGACAGTAGTCCAGAAGACCGGCGCTAGGGACGGGCGATTTTGCGATTAATCGCAGGTGCGATGCGATTTTTTCAAAAAATCGCGGTGCGATTTCGGTTTTTGAACCTCGGCGATTAATCGCAAAATCGCAAAAAATCGCTAAATCGCAAAAATCGCACCGTGCATGGATTTCGCGACCACTGCACCGAACGAGGTTGGCGCGTGTGGTCGGTGCCACTAGTCTGCCATTTGACCACTCAGGAATTTGTTTTTGCACTTTTTAAAAATATTTTGTGCCATAATGGGTGGTATATGAGTATTGTTGCGTTTGTTTGCGATTTTTGCGATTTTGCGATTCTTGCGATTCTTGCGATTTTTGCGATTTTTGCGATTCTTGCGATTTTGCGATTAATCGCATGAAATCGCGATATATGAGAAATCGCAATCGCGATACTAAAATTTGGAAATCGCCCGTCCCTAACCGGCGCCGGTCTTCTGGCCCACTGCGCCCCGCCTCGCCGTCATACGCACCTCTTGACGAACATGGTGCCGTTGGAGACGAAGCCGGGGCCGTACTTGTCCTCCGACAGGAAGGCCTTGATGGTCATGATGCCGTTGTCGATGTAGATGTTCCAGGGGCTGCTCTTGTACACGACGAACTCGTAGTCCTGCGCGGCGCGGGGAAACGGACGCACAGATTAGAGGGGAACTGCTCTGGAGTCATCATGCAAATGTGGGTGCTCTCGAAGAACGACCGTGCTAATTGCCGGCGCTAGTTTGAATCGAGCGGCACTGTCGCGGTCCACGCGCTCGTGTACACAGTGTGTACTTGGCTTTGCAGTGTGCTCGTTGCGTCAACGCGACAGCCCGCACTGCAGTTGGCGGTCGCGACAACATGTGCGCCTCCAGACGTCTAAAAATAAAGACGCCGCGATCGACTTTCGCAGAGCGAGATGCCGGATGCACGCTGCAAGGAGTCCGAGGTTCGCTAGCGAGGCGCAAGCCATACGCGTTTTGAGCTCCAGAGTCGCTAAACAGGACGCAAACCGAGCGTGTGACCCCACCAATGGATTTCTCGTGCGGAGAGCGATCCATTGGTGGGGTCACACGTTCGGTTCGAGTCCCATTTAGCGACTCTGGAGCCCCAAACGCGTCCGGGACTTTGACCGCCTCCAACGGTCTCCTGGCCCGCGGGGCGGCCACTGCAGTGCGTACCGGCGGCCCTGCCATGTGGATGTCGTTGCTCCACTGCTCCAGGTCGTTGAAGTTGTCCTCGAAGATGAGCTGGCCGCTGCAGGTGGGCTGGCCGCCGTTCATGGTCGTCAGGGACGGGGCGCAGTCCTGCTGCCTGGGCGCGCCGGCACCGCCCTCCTGCTTCCTGAAGCCCTCGCCTCCAGGCGCCCTGAAGCCCTCGCCTCCAGGCGCCCTGAAGCCCGGCTCGGCCTCGCCGTCCCGGAACCCCTGCTCGGCGCCCTGCTTCCTGAGGCCCGGCGGCGTCTGTTGGTGTCCCGGCGGCCCGTCCCTCCAGGGCCCCCCACGACGGAAGCCCGGAGGGCCCGGAGGACTCCGCCAAGGGCTCTGGCGGCGCGGCCGGACCTCACCTGGAACCAGCAGTGTCACTGTTACGCGCTGAAAACGGAACCTGGTTTTCCCAGGAGGCCAATGGTGAAGGCATAGGCGATTTCCAGGGAGTCCCTGGGAAAACCAGGAACAGTTTTTACCGTGTATACGTTGTTTGTAAATTTTTTGAGGTGCGCTTGAAACCACGCTCGAAGACATGCGTCATGGTACGCTTCAGTTCTATCAGTAATTCCTTATTTTAATTTTTTGCCGTGTTGTCTCGCATCATGTGTTGTGTTTTCTCAAGGTCGGGAGGCCGGCGGCCCGCCGGGCGAGCGCACTCACTCACTCACACGCGTAGATCACGATATTTAGAGGAAGATGCGCAGAAGCATTATCTTTGACGAACAAAACACGATGGGCCGCGTCCATCACTTTTCGGAGTTTTATTTTGATTCATGCTCTCGCTTCCACGGTAAAACCACTGAAAATCCAAGAGTGTACTCGGTACACAGTTTCGTTCGAAACGTGCGTGCATTGCGTTCTGGATAAAAGTGCTCTACCCCGTTCCCTGCACAAACTTCTCCGGTTCTGCCTGAACTTGAACTCCACTCGGGGAACTTGGCTCGCGGAGTTTCACCACTGACGTCAGTCGATGCGAGATCCTGCAGACCCATTCCGAGAGTCGTTTCAGCGTCGCTCTGTCTCTCTCGTTCCCGCAAGCGTCGCCCCGTGAGTGCGAGAGAGACAGAGCGACGATGGCGACTCCCGGAATCGGTCCGCTGGTCGTGGCGACAGAGAGGAGGACACGATTCCGCGCGCCTCGGCGCATTCGCCGCATTTTGATCAAACCCGGCCAAATATCGGGCCTCGTTCTTTTGTTGTTGTTCTTAGTGTTGCCTAGTGGGCCAGAAGACCGGTGGAGGCGGCCAAAACGCTAGACGCGTTTTGAGCTCCAGAGTCGCTAAATGGGACACCAACCGAACGTGTGACCCCACCAATGGATTCCCCGTTCGGAGAGCAATCCATTGGTGGGGTCACACGGTCGGTTCGAGTCCCATTTAGAGACTCTGGAGCTCAAAACGCGTGTAGAATTTTGGCCGCTCCACCGGTCTTCTGGCCCACTGTGTGTTGCTGCTGTTGTCGTTGCCGTCGACGCTCTTACCGTACGCCAGCGCGCAGCTCGCCAGCACCACGACGACGGCGACCTGGAGCGCGAGACGCCACCCCGCGCGGCCCAGGACGGCGACGTGGACGCGCGGCACGGACTCGACGGGCATGGCCATCGCGCAGGGCCCAGCCACCCGGACTGGCTGGCGGTGCCGGCGGTGTCGGCGGCCGTTGCTTGAACAGGGAACGCCGCCAAGGCGGCACGCCGGCTCCCCGCCCCTCTCCGCCGCCCCGCCGCCTCCTCCGCCACCGCCCCCCTGGTCTCCGAGACTCGGTCCGAGCGTTTCGATGTAATTGACCGCCGAGGTTGGATCCCCTATCGCATTTTCGCGGCTCTCTCGGCAAGGACGGATCCAGCAGATTGGTTCCGAGAGTCGTTTTCGTCGCTCTGCCTGTATGGGCCACCCTCTGGCCTGTCCTGCTGGCCCTCCTCAACCCCTCCAGACAAGCCAGGCCTTGTCGCCCTCTTCCAGTGCAGAGCGCCTCGTCTCCGCCCTTTGCTGGAAGCCACCTCGAATCGAAAACAATAATCCTCATTTATTTCGAGGATGTGTATACCAGCAGAAATACACTGAAAAACCAAACGTGGTCTAGACCGCACCAACTGGTGTGGTCAAATGGATGCCATTTTGACCGCATCAGTTGGTGTGGTCTAGACCACGTTTGGGGCGTTTGGTGTGGTCTAGACCACACCAAACGTGGCCAAACGTGGTCTAGACCACACCAAACGTGGCCAAACGTGGTCTACACCACACCAAACGTGGCCAAACGTGGTCTAGACCACACCAACTGATGCGGTCAAAATGGCATCCATTTGACCACACCAATGATGCGGTCTAGACCACGTTTGGTTTTTCAGTGTACACGGGATATTTGCCGCACAGCCAGCAACAGCCAGCTGCAGTGCAAGACCTGCAATTTGTGCGTGTTTGTGTGGTCACTTTCGTGCGTGTGTGTGTGTGCGTGCACGTGTGTGAGTGCCGCACCGCGGCCAGGGTCATGGTCCACAGACGCTGCGAATCACTGGTTGGTGGATTACGATGCCGCCGAACCGGTCTGCCGTACACTCCAGGACTCCGGGCACAGAGGTTCGGTCCTGCAGAAACCCAGCGACTCTTGGAGTAAGTCTGCTAGCCGGCGCGGGGGCCCCGGCGGCCTCGGCTCGGGCCCGGCGCTACCCCACGCCGGCAGTGGCGCTACCCGGCGGAGGCGTCTCGGGCGGCAGCGTGGAGTATCGTCGCCCAGAGAGACACCCTTCTCAAGACGCGGCCCAGTCGCCGGCAGCAGGAAGTCTCCTGTCTCTCTCGCACTCACGGGACGGGACGACCCGTGCGGAGGCGGCCAAAACTCCAGACGCGCTTCAAGCTCCAGAGTTGCTAAACGGGACTCGTACCGAACGTGTGACCCCATCAATGGATTGCTCTCCGAACGAGGAATCCATTGGTGGGGTCACACGTTCGGTTCGGGTCCTTTTTAGCGACTCTGGAGCTCAAAACGCGTCCGGAACTTTGACCGCCTCTCCCGGTCTTCTGGCCTACTGCGTCCTTGGCGTGTCCGGGGGCGGCCCGCCGCAGTCCGAAAGCCGAAAGCGTCGGCTTAACGGCTGGATTACGAGCGGTATCGAGACCCGCACATCGTGGCCGTCGCGCTGTCTCTCTCGCACTCGTGGGGCGTTCGGCGAGACTGCGCGGCGTCAGTCTGCTGCTCTCTTCACTGCCCACGAGGCGCACCCATAAAGCGAACCGTTGCGACGAGTGGAGGTTATTCGGAACACATTGTCGAAGTGTTCTCGGACTGTTGTGCTGTCAGAAAAGTATTATCAGGGCCAATTTTTTGTCCCCATTATAAATGTCCAAAAAGAAATTAGCAATGCCATTTTGCCACTTAAATATTTTGCCGAACCACTATAGTTTTCCAAACTGCCCGAGTTTCTCCAGAACAGGGAAGTCCAACACCGGAAGTAGAGAGTCCGTTCCCATGCGTTGGTTCCGGTCGGAGCAGCTGCCCGGCATCTGTCCTGCAGAGAGAGTCGTACTCGCCCTGCCCTCGCCTCGCCTGCGACTGTACGGAATACTGCAGTGTGGGAACAAGGACACGACAAGGGCGGCCGCACTGTCAAAAGAAAAATCTTGAAATTTTCCGGACAATTTTGTTGGAGAAAAACCTAACCCTTAGATAGACAGCCGCAAGGGTAGCAAAAAGCACCACTTTTCCCCAATAAGTAAGCAACGCGGGCTGCTGACTGCTGCCCCCTCCTCGTGCCGGCTCTGGACCCGCCTCTGGCGACCAGCGCTCTATCGATTCCCCGGCATGAATGAACCCGGGTGGGAAAGGGAGAGAGAGAGAGAGAGAGAGAGAGAGAGAGAGAGAGAGAGAGAGAGAGAGAAAGGGTGGCGAAATAGAGGGGAAGGTCGGGCTTGGGATTCTCCCCCGCCCCCTCGTTCTGGGAATGAAGTAAAAGGAACTGGGAGTCTGCGGGACTGCTGGGTGGAGGGGGCCGTGACCTCTTCACCCCCACCCCTCCCCCGCCCCAGGTGACCTACAGGAAGGCGCGCCCCATCTCTGTCACGACCCACCCCAGGCACGACGCGTGCTCCCCAGCGACTGTTTTTGTTTTTGCGTTTTTCAGACGCACCCTCTAGTGTTTGTTTTCTTTCCTCTCCCCCCCTCCCCCGAGCAAAAACAAGGAGTATGAAAGGTAAACTTGAAATATAACTGGCATATGATGATTCGATTTCTTCAGTCGGGATTGCCTTGCACCGGAGAGGGTTGTTTTGCGCAAGTTCTCTTTTCCCTGTTTCCCCGCCCCATTGCCTTGTTGTTGCCGAGCGACGTAGTCACGGCGCAGTCGGGACAGGGCAGCCATTTCAGCCATTGTGTGCTTGCAACTCGCTGCTTGGAGGCAGATCCAGGGAAAATGAAGCTTTGTCCCGCAGCCTCCCCACTCCCCGCCGCGTCCCCGTCCCCTCTGCGGAGCCGGAAACAACACACACCGGAAAAGTGGACCGTAATCGCAAACGGCGGTGAATCGCTTTTCGTGGAGCGGAAAAAAGGGAGCAATCCCTTCCTTTCCCGTTTTAGTTATCAATGTCGATGCGGATAAAAGGACCAGGGCGTCTTCGGCTGTGTTGGCCGTGACAGTGCCTCTCCGAGAGAGGGGGGGCGTGGCGTGGTGGCAGGCTGATTCCGAGAGTCGTTTTCGTCTCGTACAGGTGTACAGGTGCGAGGGAGACAGCGAAGAAAACGACTCTCAGAATCAGTCTGCGGACGGTTCTCAGGATACTCAGAACTTCCTGTGGTATTGTGGTGGGGTGGGGCGGGGTGGGGTGGGGGTCGAAGGTGCTCGCCGAGCTCAAGTAGGACTCCAAGTTGGCCGATTCGCGGGTCCGAGTTTGGCCAGACTGTCGACGAGGAGACTGATTTCCGCACATCGCTGCGTCGTCGCTCTGTCTCTCTCGCACTCATGACCGCCCCAGGCAGAGCAACAAAAACGACTCTCAGTCTGCAGACAAGGCGACCGGGCCGGACAAGCCTTCAGCCTCCGGGCAATGCGTTCCTTCCCTTTGGCGGCCCTTGCTACCCCTCCCCGGTTGTTCAACCCTCACCTACGCGGCCGGTCCGGGGGGTGGCGTGCGGGGCGGGGCGGGGCGGGGTGTGGGGGGTAAGGGGGTAAGGTTTGGCGCGAACCCGCACGCGGGGCGCGGCTGGTGAGAGAGAGAGAGAGAGAGAGAGAGAGAGCGCCCGCGGGATGGGGGCGGGTTGGGCCGGGCCGGGCCGGGTGGAGCTTGCTGAGCTAGCCGGGCGGAGGGCGGAGGGCGGTGGCGCTCTGCGCGCTGTGCGCTGCCGGCCCTGCCGGGGGCAGCAGCCAGGCAGCCAGGCACAGCAGCCAGGCACGGCCAGGAACATCGAAGCTGGGCAAATAGGCGGAGGCGGGCGGCGAGAGCACAGCGTCGTCGCGGCAGCACCGGGGGCTGCAGGGGCGCGGGGGCGTGGCGCGGCGCGTCACGGGGCCTGCCGGGGACAGTCGGACAGACAGACAGACAGACGGACGCGGCCCGGGCGGCGAGCGCGGGGTCCTCCAAGGGAGTCATTGGCGAGGCGATGCCGGGGCGATGAGCAAGGGCGGCCGGCAGCACCGCGACGACGACGACGACGGCGACCTCTCGGCCCACGGCGCGGCGCGGCAGCGCAGACAGCACCGGCCAGCCCAGCCGACCCAGCCACAGCGTCCCGGTCGTCCCGGTCCGCGCCGTCGCCGCATCTCCGCCATGGTCTCCACCGCCAGCACGCCCAGCTTGGCCAGCACCCTGACGACCGTTCTGCTCGCAGGTAAACACCGGCATGGCGCCGTAGCGCGTATTGGCACCGCGTCGGCACCGCGTCGGCACCGCCCTGGCCCTCACGGCACGGACCAACTCGCTCGCCGAACGAACGGCCGGCCGGGGCGGGGGCGGTTTGGTTTGACAGATAGGCACGGTAGCCCGGCCAGCCAGGCAGCCAGCCGGTCTCTGTCGACCTCAGTGCGTCTCCCCGCCCCGCCCCGCCCCGCCGCTCTCCCAGTCGGAACTATTGCCGGCCGCTGGCTCGGCTTGCTTTGCCTGGCTATGCCACTGGCAGGCGCGACACTGCAGACTGAGAGTCGTATTCGTCGCTCTGTCTCTCTCGCACCCATAGGACGTCCCGTGTAGGTGCGAGAGAGACAGAGCGACGAGAACGACTCTCGGAATCGGTCTGCTGCGACTGGCTCTGGCAGACGAGATAAAAAGAAACAACAAGGAAAAGCGGGTTTCCCGTCGTGTTTTTGGCAAGGTGGTCAAAGTACCGCTTTTCTAGGTTGTCGTCGGTATTGTTTCGATCGGTACACAGCGTGCCTTTTTTTCGCGTGATTTTTCGCAGTAAGAATCACAATTTTATCGCGTACCCAGTGGTGCACTATGAGCCTTCCGATCTTGTGTACAGAATGCAGTTCGGAAGTGTGACTCGTGTCGCGGGCGCACTGTAGGCTGCAGGTGAGGGTGGCCCTAGGGGAGACCAGGGAAGTCCGCTAGGACAGCGCGCCTACACTGGCAGAGCAGTCCCCCGCGTCTCACCCCTTCGCCGCCAGGGCGGATCCAGAGCGGGGCTCAGGGTGGGACGGGGTCCACTGGATGCGGCGTCGGGATGCTCTTGTTCGCGATGGCTACTCCGCAGGCCAGACTTCTGCGCGCCGCGCGCTCACATTCCCCCTGGAGTGTGTCACTCTTGTCGCCAGCAGCAAAGTCCCCTCGTCCACATTTAGCACGTCTGTCTGTCTCTCTCTCTCTATCTCTCTCTATCTCTCTCTCTCTCTCTCTCTCTCTCTCCCTCTCTCTCTCCCTCTCTCTCTCCCTCTCTCTCGCTCTCTCCCCTTCACCAGTTGAGTCGATGGGGCTATTACCTCGCACTTCCCTCTCGCTCCCGATCCCCCTTCCTCTCTCCAGAGGGAGATGCCTATTCAGGCACAATAACAGCACCATTCGCCCACCCTGCAAAAGTTTTACTGTCATTAAAGGAATCACACATGTCGTTGTTGTTTTGTTGTTGCTTTTGCGGGCATGTTTCGCTTTTTTATTTTCAGGTGTGTTTTTGTTGATGGGTTTTTTTTTCAAGTGTGCGTTTTTGCTGTTGGTTTTTATGCAAGTGGGTTTTTGTTGTTGGAGTTTGGCTAGTATGTTTGTTAACGTGCTGTTGCCGAAGGTCCGTTTCCCCGTCAAACTTTCTCCTCCGCGCGAGAACGCAGCCTAAGTCCGCCTAGATCCTGCATCGGTGGTCCCCTATCTAATCAGCTGCCGCCGTGTAGCAGCAGCGGCTGGACGGAAATGCAGCGCGACTTTGACCGTGATTTTACAAGCCAGTGGCGGATCGTCCCCCTCCCCTTTCACCCCCCCCCCCCACTTGGCCCATAGTGGCCCACTGGCCCATTGTGCGTCGGCTGCTAGAACCAATCAGGGACCTGCCGCCATGTTCGTAAAGATCCTCCTTCCTTCCTTCTACTTGTCTCGCCTGGTTCAAGTCCCCTGTTATGCTCACTGTGCTCACTCAAGGACCCGGCTGTGATTCCAGTTCACCGGGAGCCACCTCTCGGGAAAGCGGGAAGGCGATTTCGAGCGCGTTCCGTAAGGTCAGTGCAGCGCGGTGCAGCGGGCCACCCTGGCGGCGACGCGTTGGCCGAGTTCCAAGGCCGCCGCTTGCGCAGCTTGCTCACACTCAAGAACAATGTCAACGGGAATAAGAATACGAACGCGAAACGCGAGGTGCGCGCTAGTCTATACTTGCCGTGCTCGGTTGATAATGAGTCGGCGTCGCATCTGAAAATGACGTTACCCTGCTGCTGGCTGGGGGCGCTAGGACGGGGGAGGGGGGAGCTTGGGATGGGTCATTACCACGCTGCGACCCTGAGCCGCTGCAGCACTCAATCTTGACCCTACTCACGCCTCCCCCTCTCCCCCTCTCTCCCTCCCCCGCGTCGCGCCTCGGCCAAGCCGGGCCAAGCCGGGCCAAGCCCCGCCGAGAAACGAACGGGTGGCCAGCAGAGCGTCGCGTCGATTTCGCAGTTCGCACGCGCGATTATGATTCCACGCGTGCGCAAGATCATCGACTCGAAATAAAAGTGTCGTTTCTTTTTGGACCGCCACTCCGGGCACCCACTGCCCCACTCCCCCCTGGCAGACGCCCAACGAGGTCCACGCGGTCCGCCGCCCTTCCTGATTCCGCTTGATGAGCCTACACTGGGCGAAGGGCCGGCCGGCCGAAGGGTCCGCTAGCGGAGCTCCGCGGGGCCCGAAGGGCTTCAAAGACGTGATTCGCCGCCCGGACGCCCTTCAAGGACACACTCATTGCGTCTCTCTCGCACCTACACGCTCCAGTGCGACGAAAACGACTCCGCGGCTCCGCCACGCCGCCGTCGCGGCAACCTCATCGCCGCCGCGCATCCTAGAGTCCCAGACTAACATTTCTGTTTCTATTGGCACCCTAGAGTCCGCGACCAATGTTCCTGTTGCTGTTGGCACCGCGGCCAGCGCGGCCAGGACGGCCAGGACGTCGTCGCGACGCTCGCAAGCACTTGGTGGTTTCCATACGCGCCGCCGACTGATTCCCCAGAGTCGATTCGTCGCTCTGTCTCTCTCGCACTCGCAGGGCTTCCCGTCAAGACGTGAGAGAGACAGAGCGACGTGCCGCCGAGTGTCTTTGTGGTCGCGGGGGATGACTAAACCTTGGGGTCGGCGCGGCGCCCTTGCCGTGCACGCTGCAGTTAGCTGCGTTCTCGAATTAGTTCTGGCGAAGACCGCCACCTTCCACGCGGCAGAAGTCTCAGTAGTCTCTCTCTCTGGCGACTTGCACTGCACCGCGCAGCGCGCCGCGGGGGCGAGGCGCCTCGGCGACGCCTTGGCCTCGGCAGAGGACCCACAGGACAGTCCCGGCGCGGCACCGTCATGGCGACGCCGAGGCCGCCTAGCGCGAGTATTTCAGGACCGTCCATTTTACGTTAGACGCGGTGCACCGATAGTTTGGTGCAATTTGGATCCCGGGCGTCGCACAGTGGGTCAGAAGACCGGCGCAGGCGGCCAAGGCGGCTCCAGAGTCGCTAAACAGGACTCCAAACGAACGTGTGACCCTAGCAATAGATTCCTCGTTAGGAGAGCAATCCATTGGTGGGGTCTCACGTTCGTTTCGAGGCCCATTTAGCGACTCTGGAGCCCAAAACGCGTCCGGGATTTGGACCGCCTCCACCGGTTGGCCCACTGTGCACTGCGCATCCTTTGCCTCGCCACCGCCCCGCCAGTGCAGTGCGATGCAGTGCGATGCAGTGCCGCCACGCCGTCTCGCCGGAGCTTAGCCCCGCTAGGGTTTCCCTGACGGAGGCGGAGCTAGCGGAGCTGGCGGAGCTGGCGGAGCTGGCGGAGCTCCGCTAGCGACGGTAGTAAACCCGGACATGCAGGATCCACTTTGGAACACGCTGTCTGGGACGGCGTCTGGGGACGCCGCCGACGCCGGCCTGCCCAGGGCCTGCCGCCTCATGCCTGCTGTCTCGCTCGCACCCCGCCGGGACGCCCCGCGAGTGCGAGAGAGACGGAGCGACGCCGGCCTGGGGCGCCCTGGGGCCCAGACGTGTGGGTGCGTCGCGCGAATCCTTTTGCAAAGCGGATCCGCGCGCCGGGACGGGGATGGGGAAGGGGGCGCGGCATTTGAACCACACTCTGAAAGTACACTCTAAATGTTGTACAGTGAAGATTCTCCATATTATGGTGAAAATGTTCCATATTATATTATGGTGGTGCACTTTGGCGACTTTAATTCATGTTTTATCTGTTGCAGCCGCGTGGTGCTGCGCCCCAGTCAGCAGCTGGCGGTACCCTGAAACCGAAGGTGAGGCCGCCCCGCGGTTTCGTGTTGGCGCTGTGAGCTACAAAAAAATAAATTTAAAAAATATTGAAATACCAGTCACACTTTTTCCCCTTTTTTCTTTAAAATTGCGTTTATAATTTTCCCCTTTCTGTACACGCTTTGAAACGAAAAAAGGTATTTTCCTTTTTTGAACTGCTGGCTTTTTGACATGGTTTGCTTGTTCTTTGTCTAAACTTCTGTTGTTTTTTTTTGTTGTTTTAGCGAATGGGTGGACCGGAGCGTGCCGCAACGGCACCGAGCAGAGCCCCATCGACATCCCGACGGGAGACAAGGCGGCCACCAAGGCGTCCAACTTCGAGCCCCTCGTCCTGGTCAACTACGACAACCTCGTCAACTACAATATGACGAACAACGGCGAGACAGGTACTCTACGGTTACCGGTACCTGCCAACTTTTTAACGTGGCTGAATTCAGTGTTGTAATGAAATCTGGCAAAGTCCCAGAGAGCTTGTGGGAACCTTTGGAGAATTCCAGAACCTCAAATTTTGTACGATTTTCTACAAAAAAAAAAAATTCCCAATGGAGCTTCGGAACGCTCTTTCCGGGGTTCTCCCGTTTAATTTTAACAGTGTCTCTCTGTCGTGCAAATTGGTGCTAACACTACACTGTGCTGTGGGTGCGTAGCTCTGCGTGCCCGGCCCCGTGACCCCCTGGCCCTTGCCCTGGCCCTTGCCATGGCCCTCCAGCCTTTGGACGTGGACCGCGGCAGTGAAGTGAATGATTGCATGATTGCATCTGATGGCGCGAAGCGGTAGTCGCAGGGAGGGACAGGATGGGGTCCAATCATTGTGGGGCGCGAGTGACACTGCAAACCATAACAGTAACCGTTCTCACCAAATCGTCTCTTTGAAAAATAATTATCATAAATAATTGATTTTTTTTTTTTTGCAGTGGTGCTGACGGCCGACGGAGGCTGCAACGCCTACGTCACGGGCGGAGGGCTGAGGAAACTGTTCAAACTCGAGCAGATGCACTTCCACTGGGGGTCGGAGCACCTGGTCGGTGGACTCAGGTCAGTCGCAGTCTCTTTTACATTGCAGGTGTGCTTGAAGGCAAGCGTAAAAAACGGGGACGTTTGAGCTCTACCTGTGTATGAGACCGCTGTCTTGAGACTACTTTTTTTTCAAAAAATGTCCCGTTGAAAGTCGGTCTTTGGCGTCGCAGGTATCCTCTGGAGCTGCACTTGGTGCACTACGACGCCAACTACGGCAGCCTGCAGGAGGCCCTGGGCAAGAACGGCAGTCTGGCCGTCATCGCAGTGTTGTTCAGGGTAAGCAGCAGTGCAGAGCACACTGCAAAAAATGTTGTCCTTTCGTGGCAAAATAGGAGATGATATTTCCGCCTCTCTAAAATGATGTCACTTTCATCACAAATCGATGACATCATTGTCAGAGCTCCTTCACTTGCGTGACAACAAGTCTTCACCTGGTTTGATGACGTTTCCGGAAAGAAAATAGGCCTTGAAATTAATGTCATCAAGTGACAGCCAACTCACAGTGCAGGGCAGCGGAAGTGGTCGTCAGTATTGACGCACGCCTTTCATGTCACCCGAGTGGCCAACTGTTGCCTTTCCCCCCGGGAAGGCAAAAAAGGGGGCCCAACTCACGGGACGCGAAGGGGGTGAGGGCCCGGGGCGCGGCCGCCAGGCGCAGCCAGTCCGGACTGCAGAGTTGGGAGCCTTGACCGCCTGCGAGGTAGGCCACCGATCTGCCATGCAACACACCGGAGTGGAGACGGTGGCCTACCTCACCCCTGCGAACACGACAGGGGCAAGGTAGGCCACCGTCTCCACTCCGGTGTGTTGCGAGACAGGCCAGTGGCCTACCTCGCAGGCGCTACAGCCACAATGGTGCTCGTTCACCATTGTGGTGGTGCTGAGAAGTATCCAGCTGCTGCAAGCTGATTCACCCGGTCTCGGGGAGGGACAGCGGCGAATCGACTCTACGGAATCGCACAGATCCTCCCTTCATCGACATGCCTCCCTTTGCGTTGCAGTACGAGAAGAACGACGTCCCCAACTCCGAGCTGGGCCACGTGGTGGCGGGGCTGAAGCTGGTGAAGGAGGCCGGCCGGCAGGCCAAGCTGGGCGCGCGCCTCTCGCCGGGCAAGCTGCTGCCCACGGACACGGAGCGGTGGTGGCGCTACGCGGGCTCGCTCACCACCCCGGGCTGCGACCAGGTACAGCCACGCAAACGAAATTCAGAAACCTTATTGCGGTCATTTTCACTATTTTTTTAAATTCAATTTTGCACTACTTTAAAAAATATAGGCTTTTAACGCTTTCCCTGCAGGGCGTGGTGTGGACCGTGTTCCGAGACACCCTGCCGGCGGCGCGCAACCAGCTCAAGGAGTTCCAGACCCTGCAGCAGGACCACGGCGCGGGCGAGCCCGAGTACATCCTCAAGAACTTCCGCGCGCCGCAGCCCATCAAGCACCGCACCGTCTTCTACCAGGACCCCGCCAACAACGCCAAGTGCGGCGCCTCGGCGTCCGGCCCCCTGTCCGGCCCCGCCGCCGGCGCGGTCCTGGGACTCGTCCTAGCGGCCGCACTAGCGAACGTCTTCCAAAAGCACTAGGCAGAGACCTTTCTCTCTAGAAAAAAAAAATGTAAATTATTATAGATTATTACTACGGATCTATTCAATTGAATGACATTGTCATTTCCCTGCAGGGAATCTCAGGCATGAAAACGCCTGAATCAAGTTGTGGACTAGTTGACGGTCTGGCAACTTGCTTTGGAGTAGGTGTGGACTAATTTCTGGAGGTTTGTCAACCATACACTGTAAGCCTGAGTCAGGATCAGTTTCCCTCGGGATGTCTTGGGCGTGAGCTGACGCTTCTGTAGAAGGTCATCCTTCGGCATGCACCTTGGGCACATATCAGTCTCCTACGCTCTTGTAGAAACGGAACATGAAACAAGGGCAGTGGCATGAAAAATTTTGAATGCCACTTCTGTGACACTTTGTTGAAGCTCATCTGATGATGAAATTTGAGCTTGTGATGATCTCTATCACCCAGTGTCTTTCACCAATCTACTTCTAGTGTGGTTTACATTCCTTCCAGTGGTGACAGTCGACACGTATTTGTCACTGCCACTACAGTTTCTTAGCTGGGTTCCGTAATAAGATAAAATTTCTGGTTTTAGGATTTCTTGTCTTGAGCTACAAAAATACATAGGGCAACTCGTATTATTAATTACCATACAGTAAAAAAGTATATAATTTAGCTGTGTTGCAAACCCATGTTTCTTTGAGGACCTTCCAATGAACTGAGCATGTAATGTTTTACAGCATATGCCAAAGTTTCACCTCTTCCATTCCAAACATATATCAGTATTAAGGTTGTTTAAATTTTTGTTATTATTGAAAGTAAGTTGTATTGTAGCTGGGCATGAAGCTAGAGGCATGACGTGTTTATTGAATATGATTCTTTTCAAGTGTTGACTATTGACTGTTATGTTTTAAGAGATTTTACCATATGCAGCAAACGGACAAAAAGAGAAGATTGACTAATTGCTTGTTTGATTTGCTGTTATAAATCAAATTCCGTGTATTTCTAAAATACTTTGTTAATGCTACCTGTTCAAGTAATTTTATTTCTTAGTCTGAATGAATTTTTTTCTGCGAGCAGAACATGATTACCATATACAATGGGTAAATGTAGCGTTTAAATAGCCCGCATAGTAATTTGATTACATTTTGCTGCTGCTAGTCTAAGTACCACTGCTAGCCAAAGAACCTTTCCAAAGCATTCAAATGTACTTAATTGAGATTACACTAATAAAGTATGGTCATAATATAGTTTACATATTTATTTCTGTACTGCCCCACTAAATCCCTATTCCCTATTCCTGTCTCTCATAAAGCAGGTATTTCAAAGTCTTCCATGGAAATGAGTAGTGACATATAAGCGTTTCATTGTTCAAGGGTGCTTACAAAACGGAACTCCAATTTTTAAAGCTGAAAACAGGTGCGTTTAACATAGAGAAAGGTCCCCAGACTGTTGAGGCACAGGCTGAAGAAAACGTTTAATCTTTTTTAGTTCTTTTAATTCAATATTTCCTTGTCCCGAAAAGTAATGTCAGTCAAATGTGATTAAGCCAGCCGTTTCGTTCTAACCTATAAATAACTCTAAATCAAATAGGAACTTTCTACTGCGTATCATATGAATCGTTCAATGAATTAAATTAATCAACAATTTGGGAGAAAATTTAAATGACAATCATTCAAACAAATTTAAAGAGAGGTTTACGCCGTTGGCACGAGAGACTGTAGCAGAAGACGCTTGTTTTTATTTACTCAACTTAGCCAATGTACTGATGCAGAAAAGAAGCAAGATATTCAACAGACTGGTAGCGCTGGTAGCTTAGATGAACTATAAAAATTTGAGAGAATAAAATGAAAAATACTAAAAGAGGCCTTTATTGACACGCAAAGAAGTCTTAAATAAAAGGAAGAGTGCGACCATAGCTTTACACGTTGACTAACCTGCTTGAGAGATGAAGGCAGTGAGCGACGCGCTTTGAAGGCGGTGGAGCTTTCTGCTAGAGACAGAAACAAGTGTGACCGCGGCTGACCTTCATTTGAAACTTCAAAACAGCTGCATTTCGGAGTTTTGCGTTTGACGCGCACCGGGGACAGTGCGTGTGTCATGCGTGCAGAAGCCGGCAGTGTCTGCAGCTTGTCCTCATAACCTCCCGGCCACCTTCTCTCACATCCCGCACCCAATCAGGTACGTTTTGTCGAGGTTATAAATGAAGCTCTTGCCCGAGCGAATCGCTTCAAGAGGTTCTCCTCGGCCCTTTTGCGGCTGTTTCGCTCTCTGTCTCTCTCGCTCGTGACGAACTTGGTGCGGAGCAGACTCGTTCTGTCCCTGGCACCCTTGAGCCTTGAAAGGCGCGCCCTGTTTGTTGGCCCTTTGACTGCAGTGTGTCAAGCCAGCCCTGCGGACACCGTTGTCATAGTTTCGGCGAGCGTGACACTGTGACAGAGACGGGTTATTCGAGTAGTGCCACCGGTAGCGGCGCTGGAGGGAAGCAGGTGTGACGAGGTCCTGTTTCCACTCTGGGCGGCCAGTCCAGGGGGCAGTCCAGCCCATTCACTCTCTCCCTTCCTGCACCTTTGTTTACTTGCTGTCAACCACCAACTTCCTTTCCCTGTGTCTCTTCCACTTGCGGTTTTGTTTTACCATTGATTCCATGGCATGAGGGGAGTCTTTATCGGCAGACTAAATTTTATGTACAGTACTTCTTATGGTAGAGGTTGTCGGCAACCATTTCGTACATTAGTCAAGCATGTTTGCATAGCATGCCTGACAACAACGGAACCACTTTTTGTCAAAATTTCAAGTAGCTTTTTGCTGGTTTTGTCATGGTCCCGTTAACAATAATTTTTCTACCCATTAGATAGTGGTTCCAAGACACGTAGGACTGCCTGCCCTGCTTCCTAGTGTCTCACAACAACTCCTTGGCTGGGAGCCAGCAGACTGATTCTGAGAGTCGTCTTCGTCGCACTGTCTCTCTCGCACTCATGGGGCGTCCCGTGTAGGTGCGAGAGAGACAGGGCGACGAAGACGACTCTCGGAATGAGTCTCTGCAGCAAGGCTGAGGCTGCAGCTTGCACGTGGACCGTGAACTTGGGCGCTTTTCCGCGCTCCCATCGGCCTTGCGTGCTACTCCGTGGTCTCGCGGGGCGCCCCGTGTGGGTGCGAGAGAGACAGAGCGACTGCTGGGAATCAGCTTACAGGTGGACCCTAGTGGACCCCATGGCCGTGGCGCGCGTGGCGTGTCCTTGGAAGGGAGTGGCGGTCGTCGTGGACCCATTGTGGGTCCTGGCCATGACCGTAAACCCGTATCTCCCGGCAGAGTCGTGAAGAAGTTACAGCCGGCGGGGGTCCGATTTGAACCGAGTGCGTCCATCTGTCCTCTGCCGCCTTATTCCGATCGTTTCGTCGCTCTGTCTCTCTGGCGACGAAACTATCCTTCGGGACCAGCTGTCCCAGCGTCTTGGACGTGCCGCGGCACATCTCGCACGGACGGACAGCAGACTGGTTTTGTTGAGGCCGACGAAGGCGACTCTCGGAGTCAGTCTATGGCTCAACCGGCGCGCATCCAGGGGGAGGCGATTGTCCTTTTGCCCCCCACTGGATCCGCGCCTGACCGCGGCACTCGGTCAAGTTCGGGTCGCGGCCGGCCGGCGGTGCGCTACACTGTGCACGCACAGCCGTCTCGCGGGAACGCGGCGGTGACCCGACCGCGGCTCATTCCGAACAGTTCGCTCGTCGCGCTGTCTCGCTCGCACTCGCTCGCACTCGCCGGCCGCGAGAGAGACAGCCTGCTGGCGTCCCGCGACCCTCGCGCCTCGCGCCTCGCAGGCCCTAGGCAGGCCCGACCCGCGTGAGCCGCGCGAGGAGGTCCGCGTCGAACCGCGCCTTCCCAAATCGGGGCGCCCCGTCCGCCCGTCCGGCGGCGTGTCCCTGCAGTCCGGCCGCTCCACCGCGCCCGAGCACGCCGTCGAACGCATCGTCGAGCACGCCGTCGAACGCGTCGTCGAGCACGCCGTCGAGCACGCCGTCGAGCACGCCGTCGAGCACGCCGTCGAGCACGTCGTCGAGCACGTCACGGCGCCACGCCCGGCGGGCTGCAGCGCTGCACCGCGTGTCGAAACCGCGCCGCAAGTATCGAAACGAGGAAACGGGAATGATAACGAGATATAGCTGCTGACCTGGCCGATGGAGGACGACGGGGGTGACCACCAGGGCCGCGAGGGCCGCGAGGGCCGCGCGCTGGGGGAGCTGTGGCGGGCCTTGGCCGCCATTCGACAGACGCTCTTGAGGTCGGCGGCGCTGGTCGTCTTCTGGTCCAAGAGCCTGTACGCCATGGTGCACTACTCGGCCTCCGCGGGGGCTGTGGGCCCCGCCAGCTCCGCCCCCGACGCGGCCTCGCCTCCGCGCCCCGCCAGCCCCGCCGCCCCCGAGGAGTCGGTGAGTGAGGAGTGCGTGCCGCCACTCCGCGTTGCAGGTCTACTCCGATGTAGGCGTGGATCCAGGGTTGGGGAGAGCGTCGCCCTCGCAGTGGACCAGAAGACCAGTGGAGGCGACTTAGGTTGGTCATTTTCACCAACTTCCTGTCCGAATTCCGTGGCTTGGCTTGGCGTGGCCTGGCCACCTGAGCCGCCACAGAGTGACAGAGCAGCCACTCTTGCCAAATTTCGCCACCGTTTTATGCTTCCTCGGCGGTGGTGGTGTCGCTTACAGGTGCCAGTACACGTGTTCGCGGCCGTAACGCTATACTGAGGCCGCTGTCACGCTACGACGCCGTCCCCGTCGCACCCGCCTGCCGGCCGGAGTCGGTCGGGTGGCTGTCGCTGCAGACTGATTCCGAGAGTCGTTTACGTCGCTCTGTCTCTCTCGCACCTATGCGGGACGCCCCACGAGTGCGAGAGAGACAGAGCGACGGAAACGACTCTCGGAATGAGTCTGGTGCTGGCGGCGTCCTTGGGCGCGTAGGACGCCAGCAACGCCGTCGCGGCGTGGACACTGTCCGCGCCACTTGCACCGCGCACACCACTGAACCTGCCCAGGCCACTTTTCGAGAGCACGGCTTTGATATTGCCTAGTGGGCAGTCTGAGGTCGGCGACCCTTTCGACACTGGTGCGTCGTGGGAGTTTTTGCCTACTTGTGTGGCAACGCCGGGCACGCGGACTGTGGGGCGCCAGCGAGCGCCAGGCTGCGCTAGGCCGGGCTGGGTCGCGTATCGATGGTATTGGCTGCCTGTGCCTGGCTTGCCATAGGTCAAGGCGTCAAGGCTGGCCAGTCTTATCGCGAGGGGACACTTGCCGGGACCTTGAGGCTCGCCTTGCGGCGTGACGCGGCGCGGACGCGGTGACATCGGTGTGCACGACGGCCGCGGCTGCCCAGCCCACGCCACGGCCGGCCAACCTGTCGAGTCCGCGCCGTGCCAAATAAGTAGGCAAACAATCCCACGATGCACTGAGAGCGCCGTGCAGCTAGGCAACATCTCGCTGTGCGGTGCAGCGGTGAGCGGCGGGCGTGCCTACCTGGAGCCGCTCAGGCGCTCAGCCCGTCCCGGTCGTCCCTTTTACGGCGACTAGATTGGACACAGTGGCCGCCCAAAGTCAGCAAAATCAGCAAATTTCCGAGATTCGACCACTTTTTGACCAACTTGGTCGGAAAATCGTTGCGGTCAAAGCCAAAATCGTTGTGGTCAACGTCTTCCCGATACAGGGCATGAAAGAGTAGGGTCTTAAGAATACTAGGACGTCGAGGGAGGCCTTTTACGGCGACTAGATTGGACACAGTGGCCGCCCAAAGTCAGCAAAATCAGCAAATTTCCGAGATTCGACCACTTTTTGACCAACTTGGTCGGAAAATCGTTGCGGTCAAAGCCAAAATCGTTGTGGTCAACGTCTTCCCGATCCAGGGCATGAAAGAGTAGGGTCTTAAGAATACTAGGACGTCGAGGGAGGCCACTAAAAATTTGTTGTTTTTTATTTGAAATATTTAACTCGTGTTGGGCGGTGCAGCCGCCGTCTAGGTTTCATGTACACGCGAGAAGTGGCGGCGGCGTTGTGTTTCGCTTTGTGTCGTCGGCTGCCTTGGCCCACCCCGCCCCTGCAGCCTGCCTGCAGCTCGGCCTGCCCCGGGGAAGGTCGGCGTGACCCTGCCGTCTCTCTCGCACCCTTTAGGGACGCCCCATGAGTGCGAGAGAGACGGAGCGACGGAAGCAGAGCTCGGAATGAGTCTCGCGGGCTGGTGGTGCCTGGTGGGCAGGTGGCCGTCCTGCGCGCCCTCCGCGCCCTGTCAGTCCGCCAGTGTCCAGCGAGACGCGCCCGACGCGCCACTGCCAAGGCAAGCCGCGGACGACATGGACTTTGTAAGTCGCACCACACGCGTAGTTCAGTGTTATTAGTACTGCTCCGCCCAGAGTATGATCCGCGTGGATCATCGCCGCTTTGTTGTTGTTGTTGCTGCTGCGGCTTTGCGCCACGCGGATGTTACATGTGCGGCGCCGATAGCATTCGCTGTCGTTACAGCACCGCGGTGGACTGCTTCACGCTTTATGTGTGCCGAGTGCTGCGACGGGCGTATCGCATTCAGCGCGCGACGCACGGAGATCGGAAGTCGGTTTCAAAGTTGAGCTACCTTACTGCTCTGAGCGTGTGCCTCCAAATTCGGGCATGCACTCCAACAGGCGCAGAGGGCTGGGCGTCCCGTAGGTGCGAGAGCGAGTGCGAGAGAGATGGAGCTTCCGAACTGACCCGCACGCCGCGGGCTCAATCGCCGTGTCTCCCCCAGCAGGCTGATTCCTAACGGCACCACGTCGCTCTGCCTCTCTCTCACTCACTCATGGGGCGTTCCGCATGGGTGCGAGAGAGACGAGAGCACTATTTGGGATCGGCTCACAGGCCCGGAGGAGCCCGGAGATAAGCCAGTCCGAGAGCGGCGGCCGTACATTGGCTGGATAGAGATAGAAGTGGGCTGGATAGAGATAGAAGCGGTGCAAGACGGACACGACCCAATATAATGTGATAGGGTTTTGGTCGGATAGAGGCCTCTATGCTTCGAGATGCGCCCAATGCCACCCCTCGGCAGGTCGTGGGCAATCACAGTGTGTGGCCCGCCAGCTCGATTGCCGGGCCACTGGAACATAAAGTCGGGGCGGGTTGCCGCCTCGAGCAGTCGTGGACGGGTGACTGTCCGCTGCGCTCCTCTGCGTCCGCAGTGGTTAGTTCCTTAGTGGTTCCTGTCGGACTCTGAGGCGTGCGTCGGATATCTGTGTGGAGAACGAACTGTGTCTGTGAGTTTGTGATTTTGCGACGAAAACTATTCATAAATTTGTCACCAGCTTGTCAGCCTGTTCAAAGAGGTGTACGAGTGGCGCAGCCGGGGGCCTCGGTGGGTGGTTTGGTGAAACAACGCATTTTGCCTACCTTCCCGGCGGCTACTTAGGAAGCCAGAGGAGGTCCATTGTGTCCGTGGTCCCGCGATAGAACTTTACAGACTTGTTTGGAGGTTACTTGAACGTACCCGTGGTGCCCTGTGCACTCACGCCGCAGCCAGTGTTGTCCATTTTCCATGTCCTTTTTTGACGGTGGTCCTGCTTGTGTTGCAGCCCGTGAGGAGGATGTCGCTGCGCAAGGCGAGCACCCCGTCGGCCGTGGGCCCCGTCGGGGCTGTGGTGGGGGCGCTGGGCGCCGGGAGCAGCCCCCAGGGCCGGCCGGAGGTCCGCGTCCTCACCCTCAACGACGGCGAGCACCAGGACTCGACGCTGTACCGCCTGCAGAAAGGTAGGGCCACTACGCCACTACGTCTCTCAACAAGGCGGATGCATAGACGGGTTCTGGGGGGCGGTCCAGCAGGCTGGAGGTAGACGCGTGTTTAGAGCTCCAGAGTCGCAAAATGGGACTCGAACCGAACGTGTGACCCCACCAATGGATCGGTCTCCGAACGAGGAATCCTTTGGTGGGGTCACACGTTCGATTCGAGTCCCATTTAGCGACTCTGGAGCTCTAAACACGCGTTGCTGGTGTCTGAGGGAAGTCCCGCCGCAGGATGGCTGCTGCAGTTCCGGCTCGGCCCGTCCCTGCTGGGCCGGCGCGTGACGCTGCACTGCAACCACCCCGCCAGCGCCGACGAGGACTTCAGCCGCACGCGCTACCGCGTGGTGCAGTGGCAGAGCGACTCCGCCAACGCGTCCAAGGACGACACGGCCAAGTACGGCGAGGTGCCCATCCGCAGGGCGGGCTCCTTCCGCTACTACTTCACCTACGACGAGGGGTAAGTCATCGCCAGTCATCGCCATTGTGCGCTGGAAGCAAGTGTCAAAGTGTAAAAGTTCCAGCAGTGTACCTGCTTCAACTTGTAGGAAAGACGCGGACCGCAAGGGCTCCGGCTACTTCACCGTGGACCCCGTGCTGACGTGCGGGCCGGACCTGGAGACGCCCTTGCCGCTGGACAGCGTGCAGTGCCAGACCGTGCTGTCCAAGCTGCTGGGGCCCATCCCCACCTGGGAGGCCAAGCTGCGCGTCGCCAAGGAGAGCGGCTACAACATGGTGCACTTCACCCCCATCCAGGTAAGGCTGGCCCGGCTGGACCGGGTGGACAAGCAGCGGTGGATCCAGTTTCTATTTTTTTGTTGAGCACTCATGGGACCCTCTTTGCCGCAGGAACTGGGGGGCTCCAACTCTGCATACAGTCTCAGCGACCAGCTCAAGCTGAATCCCAAGTTTGATTTCGATGGCAAGACTGCAGACATAAGTGATGTGGAAGCCATCACTGACAAGATGCGTCGCGACTGGAAGGTTTTGAGCATCTGTGATATTGTTTTGAATCACACTGCCAATGAAAGTCAGTGGCTTCAGATCCACCCAGAAAGCACATACAACCTGATAAACTGCCCTCACCTTCGCCCGGCCTACCTCCTGGATGCTGCCCTTCATCAACTTACTCTTGAGGTGGCTGCTGGCAAGTGGGAACATTCAGGCATCCCTAAGGAAGTCTACACAGAGGATCACCTCCAGGCCATTCGGAGTGCTCTGCATGGCACCTTTCTACCTCGACTGAGGCTCGATGAGTTGTTCTTGATTGACACGAACACTGCAGTCGCTCAGTTTTTGGATGTCGCTCGTACCACTCCTCCATCCCCAAATCCATCTTCATACGAAGATAAACAGAAGGTTCAGATTGAACGTGATGCCCAGTGGACACGCCGCAAGAGCTCTGTCAACATGCAACTGGCTCAGAAGTATTTTAACACGTACCGGTCAGTACATTGAAACCATCCATATTCAGCACCTTTTTATTGTGTTTTACACACTGTGCAATAATTTATTTTCAACTTTTTAGAGGTGACTGCTTTGATGAAGATTCAAGGCTTCGTCGCTGTGGAGAAGACTTCAAGCAGCACATTGAGGGCTTGAACAACATCTGCAAAGAAGCTCTTCACAACCATATCAACTCTGCCATTGAAAATTGCATTGCTGGTATGCGGTACTTCCGTGTGCAGGCTAATGGCCCTCACATTCGTGAAGTTTCTGTAAAAAAACCACTTATAGATAGGTATGTACCAGCAATTTTTGAATTCCATGTTGTTGTTTTTTTGTTTTGTTTTTCGTTTTATGGTTGCAAAACAATAATACTCAATGTCTATTTTTACATTAGGTACTTTACCGACTTTGGAGAACCGAAAAGCTTAGAAGAGCATGAACAACTCATGTATTCAGACAAAGCTTGCTTTATGATGGCTCACAATGGTTGGGTCATGAGCGATGATCCTCTTCGGAACTTTGCTGGACCTGATTCCAATGTGTATCTTCGAAGAGAGTTAATTGCATGGGGAGACAGTGTAAAGCTCAGGTTGAGAGAATATTTTTTTGTCTTGATTTTATATAAAATGTTCATTGAAGAAGCATTACAAATATCTTGTTATTAACAGATTTGGTGAAAAGCCTGAAGATAGTCCATATTTATGGGAGCACATGAAGGCTTACGTTGAGCAAACAGCAAGAGTTTTTGATGGAATTCGCTTGGATAACTGCCATTCTACTCCGATTCCCGTAGCTGAGGTACAGTTAACTTAATTGGGGAAACTTGTTTCTTTAAATGTTGAAACCTGTTCTCATGCGAAAACTTTTTACTTCCCCCAGTACTTACTTGATGCTGCCAGGAAAATTCGACCAGACCTATATGTGGTGGCTGAGCTTTTCACCAACTCAGATGACAAAGACAATACTTTTGTCAACCGTCTTGGAATAACTTCTTTAATTAGAGGTAACTTCTTTAATTTTCATTTTTCATTTGCTTTACTGTTATTTATTTCATATGACACTTAATTTTTGTGCTTTGCAGAGGCAATGTCAGCTTGGGATTCTCATGAGCTAGGCAGGTTGGTGTATCGCTATGGTGGAGAACCTGTTGGCGCCTTCTTGCAGCCTGTGGCTAGGCCCTTGGTCCCTTCCGTGGCACACGCATTGTTCCTTGACTTGTCACATGACAATCCTAGCCCTGTTGACAAGCGCTGTGTGTTTGATCTTCTCCCATCAGCTGCTCTGGTATCAATGGCTTGTTGTGGGAGTGGAAGCAACAGGGGTTATGATCAGCTGGTTCCCCATCACGTAAGTGTAGATAGCTGTAATTTTTGTTTTGAATCCACCTACTCTATTCTGAAGCCGTAACTTTGACTTATTCAATTTACAGATTCATGTTGTTGACGAAAGTCGAGAGTACACTTCATGGACTGATGGGGAAGCCAAAACTCCAGATGAAGTTAATCTGCAGACAGGAATAACAGCAGGAAAGCGAGCTCTGAATAAATTACATTTTGAGCTTGGTCAAGATGGTTTCAGTCAGGTTTGTAGACCTCTGTATTCACAAACTTGCACAAAAATTTCTCTTTCTTTTTTCTATTTTCCTCTTTACAATTTTAGGTGTTTGTGGATCAAATGGATGCTGATGTGGTAGCTGTCACACGCCACAACCCTTCAACCCACCAGTCCGTTATATTAGTAGCCTATACAGCTTTCCACCTACCTGACCCATATTTCTCTCGGAATGGAATGAAGCCACTTACAGTGGAGGGCACAGTCGATGAAGTGATTTTGGAAACAAGCCTAACTCACATTGGCTTCAAGTATGTTATCACCTCTCTATAACTGAGTTCTTTGGTATATCAATTTGTCAACATGTTTAAAATATGGTTTTATTTTATATTTTCTTAAGGGTCAACAATGGGCCAAGGTATGGGCGTCAAGAAAATTTCAAGAAAGACCCTAATAAAATTAATGGATTGAGTGAATATGTTTTGAATCTGAGAGAAAATTTCCCTCTTGGAGAATCAAATGCATTGTCTTTGGGCCACTCTTCTGATCCTGGCATGACTGTTTTGAACTTCAAAGATTTCCAGCCTGGCTCTGTTGTTGCTATCAGGTATGTATATAAAGTGTACTGATACTCTAAGTATAATTTTTGCTTTGTTGGAAGATTTATTACTTATGTATTACCCACAGAGTATCACTGAATGAAAAGGTTCGCCCGGCTATGGACAAACTTCGCAGAATTACATCTGCCTTGTGCTCCTCATCTGGTGACTTTGATTTAGACACAGTAGTTTCTCGCCTGTCTCTTTCTGATTTGAACCGTGCCTTGTATCGGTGCTCAGAAGAGGAGAGAGATGAACCACCCCATGCAGGAACATATGATATTCCTGGCTTTGCTCCTATGGTTTATGCAGGGCTTCAAGGTCTGTTCACAATCGAAATCATTTCCCTCAAGTGCTACTCCCTGGCTTTATTTAATAATTTTTTGCTTGCAGGAATTATGTCTTTGCTCAGTGACATCAGGCCCAAAAATGACCTGGGTCATCCAGTTTGTGGAAATCTTCGCATGGGCAATTGGATGATTGGTGCGTATTACCGTAACAGTTCATCAATTCAGTATATTGCAGATAAAGTAATAATTTTTAATTTTTTTTAAATTTCAGACTTTATGCACGAGCGTTTAAAGCGAAATGCTGGCACTAATGAGTTAGGGCTGTGGTTGGAACGAGCACTTCAACCTGTGAAAGAAATTCCGAGATATCTTGTCCCCCGATATTTTGACGTGATTATTACTAACACCTATCTTGCTCTTATCCAACATGCCTGGAACTCCATGTCAGAGTAAGGTTTTGCCTGTATTGTGCGAAATTGGGGATGACACTTTGATTGACTTTACTTGATTACCTTCTTTTGTGTTTGGCAGCTTTGTGAAGGATGGAAGTACATTCTTGCGCAGTCTTGCCATGGGTTCACTTCAGTGTGGTGGAGTAGTCTACAGTGCACAACTTCCTCAGCTTAGTCCCAATTTATCTCCACCTTTGCCAAATATTCGCAACGGTGACAACCCTCAGCAAGTTTTCACAACTCTCTCAGCAGGTACATTTTAAAGAACTCTTTCTCAATTCAAAAATGTGTGGTAAAAAAAAAAGAATGTTAATTACATTTTTCCATTATCAGGGCTTCCTCACTTTTCCACTGGGTACATGAGGAATTGGGGAAGAGATACTTTCATTGCCCTGAGAGGTCTCTTCCTGTTGACTGGACGGTATCAAGAAACAAGGTATCATATCTTAGGATATGCAGCTTGTTTGAGGCATGGACTTCTTCCCAACTTGTTGGATGGTGGCAAAAATGCCAGGTATAGTGTCTTTCTTTCTCCATTATGTTTTGGTTTTTGGTTTCACTACTTTATAATTTATTTTTTTTCTAATTTCAAGGTTTAACTGTCGTGATGCTCTTTGGTGGTGGATGTACACTCTGATTTCTTACATTGATCTTGCACCAGATGGTGTGAGTATTTTGAAAGACAAAGTGTCTAGAATTTTCCCCAAAGATGACAGTGAACCACAGGAGCCTGGCAAACATGTAAGTTTACTGTTAAGTTTATACCGTCTTACAAGCTATGAATGCTAGGAAAATAACTTGAATTTTATACGCTTGTACCCTCACAGGATCAGCCACTTCATGACGTAATTCAGGAAGCCATGCAAACCCATTTCCAAGGTCTCATTTTCCGTGAGCGTAATGCTGGCACACGAATTGATGCTCACATGACTGACGAAGGATTCAACAACCAAATTGGAGTTAACCCTGAAAATGGTTTAGTAAAAGTTTCTAGCTGAGCTCATTATATATTAATGCTTTTTTTCTTATTCAAACTAATTAATTTTTTTTTTTTTTTTTAAATGGCAGGTTTTGTTTTTGGTGGAAATGAGTGGAACTGTGGTACATGGATGGATAAAATGGGCTCGAGTGAGAAAGCTCACAATCGTGGCAAGCCTGCAACACCCAGAGATGGAAGTGCGGTTGAACTTGTTGGTCTTAGTAAGATGACAGTCAGATGGCTTGCCAACATGCATGCTCAAGGACACTTCCCATATGAGTCTGTGAACCACACCAACAAAGATGGTTAGTTTACCCTTTGATTCTTCTGTTGATAAACTTGTCCATTTTACTGTAATTATTTTTATTTTCTTATCTTCATATTCATAATTGTGCTCCTCTACAGGCACAGTCACCACTTGGACCTACAAGCAATGGGAGGAGAAAATTTCTCAGAACTTTGAAAAATTCTTCTGGGTGCCTGAAGCACCATGTGCAGGAGAACAAAGACCAGATTTAGTGAACAGGCGTGGTATTTACAAGGATACTTTTGGTGCCTCTCAGCCTTGGACGGATTACCAACTTCGTTGCAACTTCCCAATCGCTTTAGTTGTTGTAAGTCTTTAATTTCCTTTTAAAGCAAGCCTTATCCCCTTTTTTAACTGAACTTGTGCCAATAAAATTAATTTTATTCAGGCACCTGAGATGGTTGATCCAAACCATGCCTGGAAAGCTCTTCAACTGGCAGAAAAGTACTTAATTGGACCACTTGGTATGAAGACTCTGGACCCTAGTGACTGGTCCTATCGTCCAGACTATGATAATAGCAATAGCTCTGAAGATTCTTCTGTAGCTGATGGATTCAACTACCACCAAGGACCGGTAGGTGCCTCTTGAAAATAATATGGATTTATTTTCAAGGTCCCCATGTATTTATTTTGGCTGAACCAAGGTATCTATTCAATGAATGTTTTCCTTCCAGGAATGGGTTTGGCCTGTTGGTTTCTTCTTGAGGGCAAGGTTGCACTTTGCATCTATTGTTGATGGAGGATCACAGTTAGCCCAAACCTTAGCAAACACACGTGCCCTGATGGCCAAGCACTTCTCCGAAATTCAGTCATCACCATGGCGTGGATTACCTGAACTTACCAATCATAATGGCGCATACTGCAAGGACAGCTGTCGAACTCAAGCATGGAGTATGAGTACTTTAATTGAGGTAAGATATCAATCAATATGTTTGTCAAACGTCTTGTCACGGTTGTATTACCAATATATTAAACTAATGTCATTGTTTAATTCTAGGTGTTGTATGATATGGAGAAGCTTGAACAGAAGTCTGAGAACTGACCCTGCTATAAGACGCGTGATGCAGGCTGTCGGTACTTAGGGCATCTCGCGTCTAGCAACCATTGCAGACTTGTCAACTCGCTGCCATTCATCCACCAGAGCTCCTTGGCTGACAACAACTGCCATGTTGCTACCAATGAAAATCATGTAAAAACAAATATTGTTTGCAGAAGTATTCCTCCTGTTCAAGGTAATACTGCTGAAACTGCTGGCACCACACTCTTGTCATTCTGTGAAGCTCTGGCTAGTGACACTCTCAAGCAAGGCCTGAAAGAAGGGCTTAGTCGGACCAATGATTCCTTTTTACTGAAAGTCAAGGTCCCAAAACCTCCACGGCGTCAGAGCCTTTTGCATGGACGTTCAATCAAACAATTTGAACCTAACTGCTGCATAAGTCTTAAAACATCCATCACAGAGGACAGTCATGAGTGTAAGCCACATGTTGAAGAGCTGTCTGCTGGTAAGGGCTTCCGTAATGTAGAAAACGCAAATACTGTAAACACGAAGGGTAATATTGAGTTTGTTGCCTTGAATGTACAAGCCCTCGAACAAATTAATGTTTCGTGTCCCTCTGACATTTTTTATTGTAATGATTGTGATGAGACACCCTCTACAAAAGTGGCTAATGAGATTGTGAGATCTGCCACAGATTTTGATATTAAGTCTAAGAGAAATGGTAATGGGTATAGAAGACCTGGTTATGACCCCTGCAGCATATATGATATAACTGAGTTTCCTTCTGAGGTCACTAATGAACCCTTGACGAGCACTATGCGAAGTGCAAGTGCATCAGGGCATCTCTTGAGTGCCACACCTGCTCCCCAGGTACCTATGGAAATGGTGTCCTTTTTAGAAGAACCTTTACTCCTTGTTGGTCCTAAGCTAGAGTGGGAAGGTCATGTTAATGCAAGAAAAATAAGTAGTGCTAAGAGACGAAAAAGGCAGCATCAAATGACACCACAAGAGCAGAAAAAACTTACACGGGTTGTTATAGGCTATACACTTGCTTTTTTTCTTCTAGTCATTGTCACTTTCTACATAGTGTATTTTGTTTAAATAATTTTATTTGCAAGGTGTTTTGGACAGTGAAAATTTTTACCTTTGTTGTTAAAGATTGTTGCTCTATTTTTGTTCTTGTTGTTAGATTGCTTTGTTGATTGTATTGATCTCCCTCTCTGATTTTAATTCACAAATGTATTTTCTAATGTTGAGAACACTTTTTCAATCGTTTAATTTTTAAAATGTTTCTCCATGGTCAATTGTAATCTTTTTAGTGCCATATTAGAAAATTCTGTTTAAGCTTTTGAAAATTTAATGAAATTCTTCTTCTTCCAGGAATAAGTGTCTTCTCTCACATAAACTATAGCACATTGTTGGCTGTGTTCTACTGCTGTTTTCTAGTGCCATATATTAGTTTTCCCTTTATTAACATTGTCATAAATTGGATGCGGTTTAAATAAGATTCACTGCATCACTCCTTTGGCGCAGTGCAGCAATATGGAGCTTTGTAGTGATTGGTCAAAGGAAAACTTCCTTCATATTTATCATTATTTTTTAATCTGAGAGGCAGCAATACTACAGCTTCTAGATGTTGTTTGTATTTCTGGCGGGTAATAAGTGATATTTTAACTATGTGCCTTAATAGTGCTGACGCCTACTTTTAATTGTCATCTTTTGTATCTTTTTATTATTTATGCTACTAACAGCTATTTGCTCAGTGGCTTTTGCCCATGATCATTATGATTTTGTTTTCATGTTATGTCTGTCTTCTATCCACTGATTTTTCATTTTTGGTTGACAAAGGTCTTGTTTTTCTTGGTCAAAATGTCAGTAATTACTGTGATACTTATACGCAATAATGTTTCATCCCTTCCAGATGATTTAAGCACAAAATTACAATGGAATCAATAATAAACTAATCTGTAATATTTAAACTGTTTTATCCTCAATATTTTACCAGACCCTTATCACAACATGCACTGCACATGTCTTTGAGTGAACGCAGGGACTAGTCAAAACGGTGCGCGACTGGAATGCGTTGACATGCGCCGTGTAGGTAGGCAACCCACCGTCCACACCTCCTTCAACTCAACAAGTGTCACGGAGAAAGTCACTTTCGCCCCCAATAAAATGCACTAAAGACAATTGGGCATGGGGCATCTGTTTCTTAGACCCATAGCAATAAAAAAAAACATTCTAAAGAACTTTAATGATTTTTTTTTTGAGTTCTTTTGCCTGTGTTCAAACATTCACCCAATTGGAGACCATCATAGTGGCATACCAAAGGAGAAAGGGAGGAGAAGGAAAACACATTCAATTTGTTTCAGCATTTTCAATACTACGTTTATTATACATGCAAAAAAATGAGACTTGTCTAATGCACATGATAAACAATTCGCAGTTCATTTGGTACAGAGATGCAGAAAGTAAGTAGCAAGGTGTAACGTGTGTGCATTAGTTGTCAACACCTTTTGCAAGTGTACAAAAATTTGAGTTCACAAATACTATCTATACATAACAAAATGAATAAACAGTTTAAATTTTCATTCATTATTATTATTTGAACAGAATAAGTCCAGCTGCCTTTGCAGGTACAAATTAGATAAGGAGACAAATTTTAACTTCGCAAATGCAGGAAATGATTTATTTTATTTCCTTATCCAGCCAAAGACCGCAGGAGCAATTCACATGGGAGGTTATAGCTTGCCACCAGTCTCAAACACCTTTCCAAAGGCACCTAAGAAAGCAGGACAGTAAAAATCCTTCACGATGATAGGAACTGACAGGACTTGTAACAAATAAGGTACCGGTACTTTTCAATACTTTTTCCAAGAAATAAGATACACCACATTTTCAGATAGATTTAGAAAATATATGTAACAGCAAATACTCACTTTGCTGGGAATCAAAACATAACAATGATTGAAGCAATGTACTACAAAAGGAATACTAGGCCTACATTCATTCTACAGCAAAATCAGCAAAGAAAAAGAGTATGATTTTCATCTACTTAATATAATATCATTCAATGTGTTACCATCACTTATCAATGAGACCTTGGGTAAAGTATTGTTAAAGTACCAAACCAATCAACAAAAAGAAAAACATCTACACAGCACTTTCTGCAAGACAATAATGAAATAACAGCCCAAGAGCCTGAGAACATCTTAATAAATACCAAGAATGACTATCGTGAGATCCCATTCCTTTGTATTCACAAGGAAATTAATGGCTGTGAACTGAAGCAATAATAACATTTAAGAAATTGCATTAATTGTATAAAAATAAATGTGGGAAATACCAGTCTTTAGTATAAATTAATTCTTGCATTTGTGTGAGCAAAATGAAGTCTTACGTAAAACTTGTGCTCAACTAAAGTCTTAAACCATAAATAAAGATCCATTTTCACACTGTGAAAAGAAAAACATAAATGCTCTCAACTGTACCAGACGCAAAACATCTCAAGGAACATAACTAGGGCATATAAAAAGCGCACTGATTTATCTGGCAGGGTTTTGTTTCAACATTGATTCTAGTCGTCTCACAACAATTCATATAGGTGTAAAAAGCTCCAATTAAGACACAAATAAAATTTTCTAAGTCAATTAACAATGTCTTATGTATGCAAACCAGCCAAAATGTAAAGATCATAACATTATTTTTAAGGTTTAAAAAAGTCATCTCAATTCTTTTAATTACTGTACAAGTACTATCAACAATTTGCACTCCTAATGAGGCAAATGGAGCACAATTGGTCATGAGCAAAGTGCGTGGCAGAAAAGCATAACTGTAAGTCAAGTGTAACTGCACCACAAGCACATTCATTACTCACTCATACTCATAATAACACATTTATGCTTACACATACATACACACACTCACTGAGATATCACAGAACAGGTCAAACCTGGACAATCAACGATGCACCATCTGTCAAAAGATTTATGCCAAGGTATGCTTGCTTTAACTAAAATTCCTTGTCTCTCCACATTGAACCCAAGTGTCTTGTCTAATTAACATAGAGAGCTTCACAAGGAGTTACCTAAACTCAATCCTCAATAGCAAGTTCATGAGTGCACAGCACAAACACTAGAAAACTCAGTAGATAACTTCATAGACTGTTGCTTTCTTGTCTCCTGAACCAGTGACAATATACTTGTCATCAGCAGATATGTCACAGCTCAGCACAGATGATGACTCCTTTGACTAAACAGAGAAAAAGAAACAAGGAATAATCATTAGTAAAGTTCATAAAAAAACAAAACATTGACGTTAGAGAGGATTTTATTAGAAGTCGTAAGAAACAAACCTGGAAAATGGAAGCACCGTATGGTGTTCTCCACGCATTGAGAAGGTTGTCCTTTCCAGTTGAAACAAACCACTTTCCGCAGGCAGCGAACCGGAGAGACAGTACACAAGACTCATGCAAATGCAACTGGTACTTGTCCGGTTTAGCAGCATGTAGGACCTCCACATTGGAGTTTTCCATACCAACTGCCAACCACTCTCCACTTGGACAGAACCCTAATGAGAAGATCTGAAACACAGACAAGAAGGACATTGATTTATTTTCGTTCAAAAGTCAGATGTAAAAGTCTAAACAAGAGTGGTGCAAGTCAATACCTGAGAGGAGAAGTCATGCTGCTGCAATTGACGTCCTTCCCGCAAATCCCATGATCGAACAGTATTGTCTAGCCCTCCAGTCCATAACTTTGTACCATCAGGCGATATGTCAATACATGAAGCACCATCTGTGTGTCCTTGGAATTGTCGCACCAGAGACTGATTGTTCAAGTCCCACACTGCAATATTACCGTCAGAGCAACAACTGAAGCAAACCTGGAAATAAAAAGTCATGTGTTAATTACAAGCAGGTTTCCTCAGTTTTCTGATTGACTTGCATCAGGAAAAACATACCTTAGAATCTGGACTAATAGCTAGGGCATAGCAGGCTGGAGCACTGGAGGTGAGTTCAGCCTTAATCCTTGGTGTAGGCGATGCAAGGTCCCATATGCTGAGATTACTTGCCTCACCTCCAACAATCAAAGTTCTTCCGTCCGGCAGAAGTTTTACTGAACGGATATAATTATCTCTTTGCTGTTTCAAAATTTAAAAAAATAAAAGGTAAGTTAAAATCGCTGTGGCATTTCACTTTCATCAGAATACTTCTGTCTCAGATATATCTTACCAAGCAGTCTAATTGTGAAACAGCTGATTTGGAGCCAGGCTGGCTGATGTCCCAGACTTTTACACAACCTTTGCCTCCAGTGTACACATACTTGGTAGGATTTGAGATGGTCACAGCACACACCACCTCTCCATGAGTGAGAGTGTTGATTTGCCTAGCATGTCTAGGAATCCCAGGGCCAATCAAGGCATCAGGGGGAAAAGGAACGGGCTGCATTTGACCTTCCGCACTAACATGGAAGGAGTATGCTCTGGAAAAAAAAAAGAAGCCACATTTAGGTTAAGCACAAAGAGATATTTCCCTCTCGTAATGAAAAGGTTTCATTTTCTTTCTTTTAGGTACTTACGGTTTGCCCCCAGGAATGCCTCCCAGGCCAGGCCCCAGTGGTGCTCTCATTTGTGCATGGGGGTCATAGCCGACAAGGGGAGGGCGGGGGTAATTGTTGAGGGATGGTGGCAGGTTGTTGTGTAGGCCATATGGGGCGCCAGGTCCCTGAAGTACATCATGAGGTCCAGCACCGCCAAGGTAGTGAGGGTATTGACCTGAAAACGCAAATAAATCCATAGAATCGTCTCATCACAAATGATCGGCAACAGTGCACTCTATGTTTGATTGGTCTTGCGCAGAAACTTACCCAGAGCAGAGGGTGGTTTAAGGGGCTTCATTCCTCCAGCCGCAGAGTTGTTGGCACTTCCTGCACTGGTGGGAGTCACTGACTTAGAGATAGGAGTCGAGGGTTTCTCATTGTCCATTTTCTTGGTGGAGGGAGTGCTTGCATTTGAAGATGTGCCACTGCGAGGACTGTGAAAGGAATTCAAAATAGGAAGTTTAGTTACAGACATCCAATTTGTCAATGTGTTAAGTTTGAAGTAAAGAATACCCAGGGCAGATAAACATGAGGGTGACCTACCTGTGTGGCCCCACATGTTCCTTCTTTGGTGCTAGTTTGTCAATTCCATTCTCTCTAGGTGAAGTGGTTCCATTAGGGGGTGACACAGGGTCCTGCAAATCCAAAAAATTGCAAAGTTAATTTCCTGGACAGCTAATGGCTAAATAGAGAATGAAATATATCTAAAATGGTTGCCAACACAAAATATTCTATGTTATTTACCTCATTAGCATCATCAACTACGAGATCTTGATCACTCTTCTCTCCGTCACTGGCCTGTTAATCAAAAAATAATAATACTATTAGTATAAACGAAATTTTGAGCTAAATTAAAATAAATAAATTCAGCCTCGCGTCACAATGAAAGTTAGGTTTGTTAATCAGATGACCAATGCATAATTTTGCAAAGCAGCTCATGAGTTCAGAGCTCGGGTCATATATGAATGAGCAATCAGCTAAGTGGAAGTCCTCTCACATTAGTTATGATAATTGAATAACCAGTGTAACATCCACTCTGAAGCTAGCAAAACAGGGCACCTCCCTGTCAGTAACTTTTTGTGCATGTAATGTTTGGGCAGAAGCGGCTTGGTGCGAAACAAAAATAAAAAGCAACCATGTAAAATATGCTTTTATTGTTTAAAAAAAAAAAAAAAAACTTAACAAGTATCACCAACGAACAAAACTTACATGACCATCTTTCTCTTCCTTTTTCATCTTCTTGTGCTCTGGCTCCACAGGACTTCTTGGTCTGTACTTTTCCCTCTCGGCAGGAGAGATTGAGTTACGCTGCAACAGACAAGGCAAACACAAATTTAGAAAAATGAAGCATGGGTGTGTCTCAGAAAGGGGACAGAGCGGAGAGTCGTTCCTCTCTCTCCCTCTTGCACGGTACGCATCATGAGTGCGAGAGAGACAGAGCAACGACAGGACGGCTCCGAGTCCGTCTCCCAAGCTGGCCGCCGCCCCGCCACTGCCGAAGTCCCGAGGGGTGCCTCGCTACTCGCGAACGGACCGTTCTGCGTGATTGCATGCCCTATGCCCTCGTCGGGGCCCTCGTCGGGGCCCTCGTCGGGGCCCTCGTCGGGGCCCTCGTCGGGGCCCTCGTGGAGGCCCTCGTGGAGGCCCTCGTCGACCGGGGCGAGCTTGGCGAGCGCCGAGCACGCCCATCAGCACTTGCTCCATTTGCTGCTCAAGCGGCGCCGAAGGGACGAAGGGGGCGGGGGCAGGGAAAGGGGGTGGGGGCGTGAAAAGCGGCTGGAGAGGGGGAGGGGGGGGGGAGGGGCGTTCAAAGGGGTGGCGAGGCGCGGCCGCACAGGGCACAACGCCGCACCGCGCCGCACCGCGCGAAACCACCCCAAGCAATAAAGCTCTCACTGACTGCGGTGGCGCTGGCTGCCCAGTGGGGTGGGGGCGCCAAAGGGGTGGGGGGAGCGTGGCGAGCAGCCCTATCTGATTAACAATAAATCCCCATTCACTAACAGCGCGCAGCAGCACCACTATCCAAGGGCACGCGGGCGGGCGGGCCGGCCGGACGGACGGCAAAACACACTGACTGGGGCGCCCGGCTAAAACACCCCCCCGAAAAAATGGGAGAGAAAGGCAAAGAAACCAAGAGCGACTTATTCCCCCGTCGGCGACCAAAGTTTATGTAGTAAAACGACGGCCGATCGGCCGAATCGAAGGGAGAAAACGAAAAGGGACGAGGTATAAAAACGACAAAACGCCAGTGTTTGTGACCACAGGGGGGTGGCGCCGCGGCGCCGCGGCGCGGTGGCGGGGGTGGAAGTGGTTGCTCTCGCCCCCGGGGTCTGGCCCCTCACCCCTCGCCCCGCCAGGACCGTCATATATTTTATTCAGTGCCGGTACGCCCCCCCCCCCTTCCCCCACCTCCGGGCTACTCCTCGCCGATCTGCAGTTGCTCCCCTTCCACCCCCAGGCCATGCCCAGGCCCCAGGCAGCCCCGGCAGCGCCAGGCCCGGGGGAGCCAAATTTCAACCAGGACCATTTTTCAAGTCACTGCCGCTGGTGGGGTGGGCCTTGGGTGGGGCCGAGGCGGGGGCCTTGCTAGCCTTGCTAGACCTGGCTGCTGTAAGCTGCCTCGGCTCCAGGCTCCCCCGGGGAAAGAAAGGTGGAGACGCGTGGGCATGGCAGAGAGGGAGGGAGGGGGAGGGAGGGGGAGAGAGGGGGTCAAACGGGGAGCAGGGAAATGGAGAATAAGGAGGCGGAGTGGCAGCCGCCCGACTCGCCCTACTCCACTCCCGCACTCCACTCCGCCCTCTCCACCCGATCGCCGTCTTTCCATTTTATTTCACAATAGATTACACGTTTTCATGGAGGGAAAAGAATTGGGTGCGCTGGGGCGGAGGAGGGTTGGCTAGAGCCGGGCGCGGCCGAGCCGAGCGCAGCAACTCGAGCGAGGAACGGGGTGGAACGGGGCGGAGCGGGGCTGGCGGGCTGGCTGGCGGGGCTTCGTGGCCTGCTAAATTGATTATAAGGCATCGGCAGACTGCAGGGGCGGCGAGGCGAGGCGAGGCGAGGTCGGGGCGAGGCCGTCCGTTCCGTCCAAGGGGCTCTCGGACGTCTGTCGCAATCTATTAGGCATGCGGGGCGAGCGAAGGCAGACCGCACACCCACGCCCCGCGACGCGCCGCCACGCCCCGCCACATCATCAACCGCACCGGGACAGCTAACACGCACACGCCGCCGCGCCAGAGTCCGGACGGTCCGGCCGGACACAACCCCTCTGGTACCCTTTCCGCCACGATCGCCAGCGGAGCGTGTCGCTGACGGCCTGCGGGGGAGTTCCGAGAAACGCGACCTCGTTCCGTCTCTCTCGCACTCATGGGGCGTGCCCGAGGGCGTGCCGGTAGGTGCGACAGAGACGGAGTGGCGAAGTGACGAAGCCCTTGTTCGGAATCGGCCCGCCTCGCCACGAGCATGAGCGGCTCGCTGCGGTCGAGTGGTCGCGCCCCGCCGCCGCGCGCCACCCTCACCTGCAGGCCACCCCACCCCGCCCCACCCCGCCGCACCCTCTAATTGCACCAATCAGGCGGGCCCGGGCGGGCCGACCGGATCGCCGGGGCGAGTCAACAAACGCACCGTCATCGAGAGGGGGAGAAGCTGCGTATACTTTCAATTTTTCGTAAACACCGTGTCAAGTCGAGAAAACAGACACGAAAAAAAAACCCACCCACACACAAACTGTCGTTCATGTCTTTCTTTTCAATCGTAATCGAATTTACTTCGCGATTTTGATCAAATTTCCCAGGGATTTCTTACGTAAAATTTAAATTAAGAAAAGCTAAATTTTATTGTTTCAGAATGCAACGAAAATTAGTTGTTGTTGCTTTCCCTGGCGATTCTGAACCAAGCGGCAGCGACCGCCGTGGTGTCCAATCCAACAGCAGGCCAAACAGGCCAAGCTGACCCTTCATTCAGTCCAGCGGTCCTTTCATGGCTCGACCCTTTTCAAGGCCCTTTTCAAGGCGCCGTTCCAGGCAGGGGGGCCTTTTGACTCGCACTGTACCTCCGGGGCGACCTCACCACCGCCCCCACCGCCTCACCTCCGGCGTGCCTCCGGGAGCCTCGGGGCGGGCTGGCGGGGCGGGGCGGGGCGGGCAGGGCGGGCAGGGCGCCGCCAGCCCCGCAAGCCAGCCACCCCCTATGCTAATTACCAGCCAGCGGGAGATAATTACGGAAAGGGGGAGTGCCCTGGGCGGGGCGGGGTGGGGCGGGGTGGGGCGGGGTGGGGCGGGGCGAGGCGGGAACAAGGTGTGAAAGAGGATATCGCGGGGCGGGCAGGCAGCCAGGCAGCGTCGAGATTGGGGAATAAAAATTCCTCACAATCGACGGAGACTGACGGGGGCCGCGCCATTGGCTTTCTGTCTCTCTCGCACTCATGGGGCGTCCCGTGGGTTCCGCACACGTGCGAGAGAGACAGCACAGAGGCACAGCCACTGCAGCAGCCCCACAGGTCGTCGACTCTCGGCCGCCCGCCGCACCAGACATATTGCCGTCGCGTCGCGAAAGAGGTCGACAAGAGGGGGGGGGGGGGGGGGAGAGGAGGGGAGAGAGAGAGAGAGAGAGAGAGAGAGAGGAGAGAGAGAGAGAGAGAGAGAGAGAGAGAGAGAGACGAAGGCGGAAGACCTGCTGGCGCTGGCGCCCCATCCCCCTCCTTTCAAAGGAAAAAAAAGAAGAAGACAACAAGGAAGACAAAGGGGAGAGACAACACGGCCGGAAAACTATAAAGTGGGACGTCACGCCCGGGGCGGGGCGGGGCGGGGCGGGGCGGGGCGGGGCCGCGAAGCGACGGGCAAAATTATGCAAAAGGCTACAGCGACGCGACGGCGGTGGTGAAAAGCTCTCCCCGCGGCTCCGCTCGCTGTGCTCTCCCCCGCGGAGGCGTCGGCCGGGGATTTCCGCGAGGAAAAAACAAATGAAAAGGAAAAACTCGAGCGGGGCAAACGGTGGGCAAAGAAACACGGCTCTGGAGCAGGGGGAGGTCTCCCTCTCGCACTCAAGGGGCGAGGGGGAGGGAGAGAGAGAGAGACTCCTCTCGGGTTCAGCCGGCAGCGTAACTGGATGGAATAAGGGAGGCCGCCGCGACAGCATGTGTAAAGTACTCGGCGCCAGACGCAAAGCCTTTTTAATAAAACCGTCGGGGCGGCGAGGGGGAGGGGGAGAGGGGCTGATGGAGCGCCGTCCCTTTCACAGAGATGCAGGCGCCCACAACCAAACCCCCGCAAGCCAGCTCGCTTCTGCCTCCCCCCTCCATTCCTCTCTCTTTTTATTTCGCATTCATTTTTGTCGCTTTTGCTGCTGGGGGCTGCCGCTGCCGCCGCCACCGCCTCGGAGATTGCTGACAGGGAAGAAGCTGACTTTAAAATTCATTTCATTTAAGGCAGATTAGGAGCGGGGGGTGCCGGCGACGGCAGGGGGGCGGAGGCGTCAACCAGAGCGAGAGCGAGAGAGGGGGAGAGAGAGACGGGCCATCAGGCAGAGTGAGCGAGCGAGACGGGTCAAATTATTCCGGCGACAGGGCCATGCCATGAGATTAAGGCCCGAGCGCGAACGGGCCGGAACGGGCCCCGGGGCGGGTGAAGTAAAGCGAGGCGGCCTTCTTCATCGCGTGCAGTGTACTCACATGTCTCTCCTCCACCGAGTTGAGTCCTGCAACAGAGAAACGAGTCCGGGTTAAAACCACTCAGTCGGCCACAGACCACACGGCCGGGTTCAGATTGTAGAGCCCGGCCCTCCCTTCGGCTGGTTGCATGCGGTAATTTTCAGAGAGCCCACGCAAGATGAGCGCCGGAGAGACCCCAAGCCTTTCCTTTCACACACACAGGTTCGAGGTGGAACGCCAAAATGTCTCTTTTTGCCGCCCCGGCGCCCTCCCCTCGCGAGTCGTCCAGAAGCCCGTCCTCGGCGTGCTCTGCCGTGCCTGCGTTGCTCTGCGGCGCGAAGAGACACCGCGACGAGCACACTGCCAACTGCAGCCATTACACGGCGTAAAGGCCGGGCGGACAGACAGACAGACAGACAGCGAGGGGCGACGGCCGCGAATGAAAGCGGCGGCGAGGGTGGCGAGCCCCTCCACTACTGTTTATACAAAGAAATCTGTCGTCGTTTGTTTTTTTTTTCGCGCCGCCAATTTGCAGAAGAGGCGGGGGGCTGTACAATGGCGGCGCGCTGCCGCGACTCGCTGACTCGCTCGCGATTCTCGCTCTCGCTTCTGGCTTTGCCCCCGCAGCGACCCGGCGACAGGGAGGGCCCACAGGGAGGGCCCACAGGGAGGGCCCACAGGGAGGGCCCACAGGGAGGGCCCACAGGGAGGGCCCACAGGGAGGGCCCACAGGGAGGGCCCACAGGGAGGGCCCACAGGGAGGGCCACAGGAGGGCCACAGGGAGGGCCCAACCCCGGGGGGGCCCACAGGGAGGGCCCACAGGGAGGGCCCACAGGGAGGGTCCACAGGGAGGGCCCACAGGGAGGGCCCACAGGGAGGGCCCACAGGGAGGGCCCACAGGGAGGGCCCACAGGGAGGGCCCACAGGGAGGGCCCACAGGGAGGGCCCACAGGGAGGGCCCACAGGGAGGGCCCACAGGGAGGGTCCACAGGGAGGGCCCACAGGGAGGGCCCACAGGGAGGGCCCACAGGGAGGGCCCACAGGGAGGGCCCACAGGGAGGGCCCACGGGGAGGGCCCACAGGGAGGGTCCACAGGGAGGGCCACAGGGAGGGCCACAGGGAGGGCCCACAGGGAGGGCCCACAGGGAGGGCCCACAGGGAGGGCCACAGGGAGGGCCCACAGGGAGGGCCCACAGGGAGGGCCCACAGGGAGGGCCCACAGGGAGGGCCCACAGGGAGGGCCCACAGGGAGGGCCCACAGGGAGGGCCCACAGGGAGGGCCCACAGGGAGGGCCCACAGGGAGGGTCCACAGGGAGGGCGCGGGGGGATACGGACCGCGTGTCAACTTTCATAAAACGCAATAACATCTCCATTTTCAGTGAGGCAGCTTGAGCGGCGCGGCGCGCCTCCCCTCGCGTCTACTCCTTCTCGCTCTCATCCCATCAGTCGAATCTCCCCCTCCTCCCAGAGGGTCTCGAGGACCTGCAGCAGCCGGAAGAAAGTCCGCGCGCCGCCGCTGTCGCCGCCGAAGCCGCCGACGCGAAGAGGCGGAAACGTATCGACCGCGGCGCACTCCTCTCCTCCTCGCCGACAACGAGGCCCTCGCCGTCAACCCCTCCGACAACACAATCTAATTGTTGTCCCCCGGCAAGCCGACACGTCCGCGAGGCCCCCGTCGTGCCAACAGCGCCGAGTCCCATGAGGGGAGGCCGGGAGGCCGACAACTTGGCAAATAATCACTTGTAAAACTCGGTCGACATGAGCCGCTGGCTGCCGCCGGGCAGGCCGCCGTCGCGGAGGAAAGGGGAGCGGGGAGAGGGGGGCGTGCGCACGGGAGCGAGGCAGCGCGGCTGCGCGCGGCGAGCCCTGGGCGAGGCCTGGGCGAGGCCCTGCAGAGAGTGGTGGCGCACCAGGCGCACGGCGCGCGGAGCCGGCTAACGACCCTATTACGGTAATTACCGCGTGAAAAGCACTTCCGCAACTAACGCAGTGTGGGGGACGCGGTGCAGGCGGGGCAGGCCGCGCTCGCCGAGCACGCCGCACCTGCCCCCCGGCCGTCCCGGCCGTCCCGGCGCGCTCAAGTAACCCTCCTAGAAGAACCGCGCGCGCCGGGACGCTGGGACCAGGGCCATGCCCGCGCAGGCCGCTCCCACGGCGCCGAAGAGTCCCGGACACCCTCATCAACGGCCATTTCCCCGACGCCGTCGTCGGCGACCCGCTCCGGCCCGCCGGCGCGCACTTAGGCCGTCCACGGACCGTCGTTAGCGTTCCGTTTCGGCAATTCATCGCGCCGGGTCGTCGTCGTCGGGGACCCCCGCCCCACAGTGGGCCAGAAGACCGCTGAAGGCGGCCCAAACTCCAGACGCGTTTCGAGCTGCAGAGTCGCTAAATGGGACTCGAACCGAACGTGTGACCCCACCAATGGAATCCTCGTTCGAAGAGCAATCCATTGGTGGGGTCACACGTTCGGTACGAGTCCTGTTTAGCGACTCTGCAGCTCAAAACGCGTCTAGAGTTTTGGTCGCCTCCACCGGTCTTCTGGCCCACTGTGCGCCCCTACCGCCCAAACAAAGTGGCTGGAAACTATGAGTGCACTATATTGTTTACTCCTTACCTGGAGGCGGCTTGGCGTCGGGGTCCCGGTGCTCGGGCTTGGCGGCCTGCAGCATGGACAGCGGGTGCGAGAGCCCCGCCAGCGGCCCGGGCAGGCCGGGCAGGCCGGGGTGCGTCGGGAAGGGCGGCGCGTGCGCGGCGTGCGGCGGCATCTGCTGGGCGTGCATCTGTTGCTGCAACAAAACGGGCGCCAAATTAATCATCGACACCCGCACGGCGCGGACCTCGGCAAGGTCCTCGGCAAACAAGCAAAACAAACACACGACAGAAATTGGCGCGGTAATTCAGACACATTTTCGCTTCCGTTTCGGCGCTGCAGCGCGGACACACACCATGACGCGCAAGCGAAGAGCTCCGCTGTTATGCCTGTCCCCTCGCGCAACACGGACGAACAGACAGACAGCAGGCAGGCAGGCAGGCAGGCAGGCAGACAGACAGACAGACAGACAGACAGACAGACAGACAGACAGACAGACAGACAGACAGGACAGGCAGGCAGGCGCCTCCGCATCCTCCTTTTGTCCCGCCACGGTTGTCGCGCACGCAAAACACCAGTTCCGTCAAACTAAATGCCGGCCGCCACAGAAAAGCCAGGAGCGGGAGGGGAAGGGGTCGAGGAGCGCCTCGCCCGACGCGACTCGAGTCGTTTCCGTCGCTCCGTCTCTCTCGCACTCGTGGCGCGTCCCGTCCAGGTGCGACAGAGACAGAGCCCGCAGGCAGGCAGGCAGGCAGCGGCAGACTAATTATGACGAAAATATGACGGGCAAGTCGTTTCGGCGGCGCGGCAGCCATGCGAGGCGTGTGGCGCCGGTGAGGTGTGAGTGAGTGAGTGAGCGCGTGCGTGCGTGTGAGAGTGTGCGAGAGAGAGGGTGGAGGGGCGCTCGAAAGCGCAGGGAAGTGAAGGAGAGTTATTAGCAGGCCGCGTTTAATTGCATTAGCCTCTCGCTAGTGCTGCCGGCGCTGCCGGCGCTCCGGGCGGGTAAGCTCGCGGAGTTGAAGTGAGGGGGAGACGACAGAGAGAGTCTACTTGGCGGCGGCGAGCTGCAGCCCGCAAGGCGCGCAAGGCCCACGACGACGACGTTCCAATTTGCCCGAGTTGCTGTGCTTTGAGTATTGCTTTCGGGAGGGGAGAGAGAGCGCGGCGACGGCGAAGGCAGGCACTGCAGGCACAGCGCCACAGCCCGAACCTTTCATTAAAACATCTCCTTTCACTGCGAGCTCCATCGATCCGCGCCAAGACTCCCCTCTAACTCGTCGCCCGGCAAAATTGGACAAACTGCATCAGCAAACTGATGAGGTAATCTCGAAGAACGTACACTGCAAACAGGCGTCGCGCACCGCGCACTGGGGAGCGCCGGGGGCGGGTCAGGGGGGGCGGCCCAGGGGGCGGGCCGCCTTTTCCTCCTTCCCTCGTTTTTCTCAAACAATATTCAGTTTGTTTGACAAGACAACCTGGCGGGGCGGGGGTGGCTTCGCAAGCGTGGGCGTGTAGTGTGTGTGTGCGCTTGCGTGCCGAAGGAAAGGGGGGGGGGGGGTAGACCAGCCATCACAGGCGACCGACGAGGGCGAGGCGCGCGAAGGGGCGACCGGGGCGACCCGGCACAGCGGCCAAGACACACACCGAAAGCAATTCAGGAGCGAGCTGCACGACGAAGGGGGGAGGGAGCCTTAGGGCGACAACCACCCCGTCGGCGGCGTGGCGGCGTGGCGGCGTGGCGGCGTGGCGGCGTCCGGGCCCCGGCGGGGCGGCAAGGCGTCGCCAGTAAGTGAGTTGGGGCCTCTGGAGGGGGGCGGCCCAATCAACATTCCAATCAGGGACTCCCTTATCCGCACTTTTCCCCCCGTTTCCCGGCACGGCCAGGCACGGCCAGGCACGGCCTCGGCGCACAAATTGCGGCAGCGGGACAGACAATGCCTTTCCGCCCTGCCTGCCTCCAGCCTCCAGTCCGCAGAGAGTTGGTCGTCGGCGAGACTCGGCGAGACGCGCGCGGCGCGGGTTCAACCCCCGCCCGCCCCCGGCCTCCTCTTTTCTTTTCTCGCCCCTTCCCCCGCTTGCAGGGGCGCGCTTTCACAGACCAAGTTGTCGGCGCGGCGGGGCGGGGCAGGCAAAGCAGCGGCGTCACCTCCGGGACGGCAAGGAATTGCTTTGACGGGCGGGGCGGGGTGCGGCGCCGGGGGACGAGTCGGGTCGGCGAGGCGAGATAGGGAACCGCCACCACAAGGGCCTGCAGGAGGTCCTCGACCCAAACCCCCTCCGGACGCGCGACCCCGCCACCCCGCCACGCCGAGCCGCCGCCGGCAAAAGACATCCCCTCTCGCCGACATGGACCGTTATCAGCTGTCGGCGAGGCCACCACCATGGTGAAGGCCACCGCCATGGTGAAGGCCACCACCGTGGTGAAGGCCACCGCCATGGTGAGGCCACCGCCATGGTGAAGGCCACCACCATGGTGAAGGCCACCACCATGGTGAAGGCCACCACCGTGGTGAAGGCCACCGGCACCACAGCGTCGCTTCGAATCGGCGAGACGGCAGCACGGCCCAACACGTGGTGCCCCGCCAGACGACTCGCTTACTCGGCAAAGGGCGCGGACCACCGCACAACAGCGGCACGCAAAAAAAAGAAGAGAAAAGAATAAAAGAAAAACGAAAAAAAAAGCAGCGACCGCCAAGGAAAACGGAGCAGGGAGAAGCGACAACACACAGAAAGCGCGAACGCTGCGGAAGGCAGAAAGAAAAAGAGAGGGGGAGGGGGGGGGGCTATACGGTAGCAGAGGGGTAGGGACGGGGACGTGTTGTGAACCATGTACATATGTGTGTGTGGCTGTGTGTACAGTCCTCTCAACACACACACACACACGCACACACATGCACACACGTACGCGGCGCGGAGGAGCAAGGAACGTAACATGACGGCGAGGCATTGACAAATACAGCGAGCAGCACCGCTTGCTCGAAACAGCGCGCAGCATGCAAGCGCGCGCGCACACACACACACACACACACACAATACCCTCACAGATCAACGCTCCAGCACCCCCATCCCCCTCCCCCCGCCTCAATCTTGCAGTCTGCCAATATTGACTCGCCCACTATGCTAATGTAAAGTCAGCATCACCCTGCCAAACAAAGCGCGCTGCTGCTGCTGCTGCTAGGACCTGCGGTACCGGCCTACGTAATTAGGGGGGTAAACACGTCGGGGCGGAGCGGGGCGGGGCGGGGTGGGGCGGAGCGAGGCGGGCCGTCCCCTCCCCCATTTCCAGACACACAAGGGGTACAAACTCTCCTACTCAAACATTGCAGAGTTACAATTACCCCCTCCCTCCCCCTCCCCCCCACCTCACCTTTCCACACAAACACATACACACACACCAACTCAAACCGCGCTCACGATTTAGTCGCCTTTCTACCACTCAAAATACACACACACACACACACACACACACACACATGCACAGCCACACACACACACTCGGTCAAAGTAAAACAGCCGACGCGGCGCCAAAAGGGAACCCGTCCACTAAACCCCATTCCATTGCTGTCCGCAGCCACGCGGCGGCCGCGGCGGCCGTAAGGACGGATATCGACCGAGGAAACCACTAAATAAACCGCGCGGCCCCGCGCGCCTCGCGCACGCATTGACCGCGCTCAAAATAAAAAGCCAGCCAGCCGTCTGCTAATAGCCCTCGACGCGCTGGCCTGGCCGGCCTGCCTGGCCTGGCTATGGCCTGCCTGGCCATCGGGCCGCGATCGCAACACCTCGTTCCGTTTTAATCACACCCCGCTACGCCACGGCCTCTGCGCAAAAAGCAGGAAAAAGTGCGCCACACACACACACACACACACGCAGTGAATGGAATGGAACTACCCCCTCGACTGCAATCGTCAACGCAATAGGAACATCCACCTCCCCCACCCTCGCATCGACCAAATAGACAACAACAAATACCAACAGCAGAACGGTAAATACGAAAAAAAAAGAGAACCCCCTTTTCTTTATGTAAAAATAAAAAGGTGGTAGTTGGAAAAAAATATGGTGGGTTACTTACACTTACCCCGATAATGGCGTTCAATTCGGGCATAGTGACTTGTTTCGCTCTTTCGACGGCTGTTGCCACCTGTTGTTGGTGCTGTGCGGGACACACGCGTGTTAATTACAACCAAACACAACAAAAACAACAACAACAACATGGCTAGATTAAAAGGCCACTACAAAGCAGCGGGTGGTTCCGAGACCACGACACGCGCGCCGTCACACAGTGGAGGTGGCCAAAATCCCGGAAGCGTTTTCAGCACTAGAGTCGCTAATTGGGACTCGAACCGAACGTGTGATCCCACCAATGGATTGCTCTTCGAACGAGGAATCCATTGGTGGGGTCACACGTTCGGTTCGACACCTGTTTAGCGACTGTGGAGCTCAAAACGCGTCTAGAGTTTAGTCCGCCTCCACCGGTCCTCTGGTCCACTGTGCGTGCAGGCCGTCGGGGCGGCACTTACCTCTTGCGATAAAAAGGGCAGAATCTGGGCTATGATGGCGTTGAGTCGCTTCGCAATCTCCGTCTGCAACAAGAAACGAACGCGTTAGAAAGAGCGAGAGAGAGGTCGAGAGAACACGGGGGGACACAGCAGGAGCGCCTGCGGAAGGCGGGGTAGGCCACCGCGCGACACACCAGTCGAACGGGCGGCCTACTCGCCGGGCGGCCCCCGCCGCCGCTAGACCCCCGTCAGTCAGTCAGTCAGTCAGTCCAGCGAATCAGTCAGCGAGTCTGTCAGTCAGCCAGTCTGTCTGTCGGTCAACCTGTCGCCACCTGTCCGTCCGTCCGACCGCCATGCGCGTAACGTGGCCGTTTAATACCCCTCCGAGTCGGCCTGACTAGCGGTCGCCCCGTCGCCCCGCCGCCTCGTTCGGAGAGCAATCCATTGATGGGGTCACACGTTCGGTTCGCGTCCCATTTAGCGACTCTGGAGCTCAAAACGCGTCTAGAGGTTTGGCCGCCTCCACCGGTCTTCTGGCCCACTGTGCATTTGCCGCCGTGGTGTCGGCCGTGTCGGCGCTACCGGTACCGCCGTACGGCCGCGCCCCGACATGTGGCGCGCTAAGCGGATTACCAGCAAGCGGCTTTGCAGCGAGGCGCCCCGCAATCGCTGTCCGTCTGTCTGTCTGTCTGATCGAAGGGCCGTGCAATGCAATAAAAGCCAATCCGCATCGGCGGCTCCGCTCCGAGACAGACAGACAGACAGACAGACAGACACAGACAGCTTTAGCAAGAGGGGAGCGTCCTGTACAACTTCGTCCGCTCCCCGACGGCCACACGGGTTATCGGTTCCAGAATAAAATCAGGGCGGAGCGTGTGTACTGGAAAATGTCAAGGGGGAACTTCCAAAACGTATAAATTTGTCGTCGCTGCGCTTTGCGCGAAACGCGTGCACGGCTGGCCGGCCACAGCGGGACACGGCAGGACACCGCAGGCCGCACTGCCGACAAGGATGACAATGCACGTGGCGAGGGGCGAGAGGGAGAGGGGAAACACGTGTAACGGCGGCCACGGCCAGAGTGACCGCATTATAGCGTCCCGGTGCCCTGACACTGCCACACACGCACACACACGCACACAAACACGCACACACACGCGCACGCGCGCACACACACACACACACAGAGCGCGCCACTGACAATCCCCGAAGCCCCGAATCTACTCCCCGCCCTCGGCAGGATGATTCGGCCGCTGTCTCTCTCGCACGCCAACGGGTGAAGGGACGACCCATGGAGGGAGAGAGGGAGGGAGAGAGAGAGAGAGAGGGAGGGAGGAGGGAGGGAGGAGAGGAGAGAGAGAGAGAGAGAGAGAGAGAGAGAGAGAGAGAGAGAGAGAGAGAGAGAGAGAGAGAGAGAGAGAGCCTCCCACTCGGAAATAGTCCTCCGCGCCGGCAAATCCATTCGGAGGGGCGCGGTGGGGCGCGGTGCGGTGGGTATAGACTACGCGCACCACCACTACGGCGCGGGGGCCGCCAGGGCCGCCAGGGCGTTGATGTGCGAGGAGAGGGCTGCGGTGGCACTCGACCGCCCCGCGGCGCCCCGCGGCCCGAGGGGCCCCCCGAGGGGCTCGGGGCTCGGGGGGTGGAGGGCGACCGCAGATTGGAACTCGGCGCCCCCGGGGCCCCCGCGCCACGCCCCGCGCCACGCCGCAGCCCGGGGGAGGGAGGGGAAGACCAACAAACTAGCGGACACGGCGCAGCACGACTAATCCGACACAGGCTGCCCCGCAAATTAGGCGGGGCGACCTGACCCAATCCGGGGGCTGCCTCGGCAGTGCCTCGTCTCCACGCCAAAGCGCGTCTTGCAGTGTTTTGGGGCCCTGCAGAGCCACGGCCAGAGCCACGAGAGGCGAGGGATCGAATCTCGGCGGGGGTAAGTATGTGTTCGCATTATCGTCCCCGGGCTGCACTCACTCCGACGGGGGCTCCGGGGAACGCCCCGCCCCGCCCCCGCGCCACTTGGTATGCGCTGCATGGCGTGGCGGGGCGGGGCGGGGCGGGGCGGGGCGGGCCTTCATTAAGTATTCACACCGGCGGTGCGACAACCCTTCCGCTCGCCGTGCTCCGCCGTGCTCCCACCTGGCGTGCCGGGTCAGTATTCGGCGCGCGCCGCCTTGCCTCCACCCTCCACAGGAACAAGGAAACCCCTCCAACAAAAATGGGTCGGTGGGGTGTGTGGGTCGGAATCGAGTTGCCTAAACCCATTGGGCCGAATCCATCCGGCCATAAAAGAGCCGTGTGCTCCACTCCAGTTGCGTTATTCACACACCAGGAGGCGCCCTGTGGTATCTCTGGGCGGGGCGGGGCGCCAACTTTACATCCCCTCCCCCTCCCCCGGGCGCTGCGGTCGCTGAGCAGACTCGAGCAAACCGCAGCACACTGGGGCCCGGGGCCCAGAGGGTGGGCGGCCCACCGTGGGGCCGTGGTGGGGCCGTGGTGGGGCCCACCCCGCCACAAGCCAGCCAGCCCCAGCCCTGCCCCGCGGCCTGGCGGTTCCCCGGTCCCCCTACCCTTGCGGCCGGCGTCGCTGCAGCGCGGAAGAGAGAGAGAGGTCGACGCGTTCGCCAGCTTGCCGCACTTCCCGCCGGCTGGCTTGCACCGTCGCACAGTGGGCCAGAAGACCGGTGGAGGCGGCCAAAACTGCAGACGCCTTTTGAGCTCCAGAGTCGGTATACACAGCTCGAACCGAACGTGTGACCCCACCAATGGATTCCTCGTTCGGAGAGCAATCCAATGGTGGGGTCACACGTTCTGTTCGAGTCCCCTTTAGCGACTCTGGAGCTCAAAACGCGTCTACGTAGAATTTTTGCCGCCTCCGCCGGTCTTCTGGCCCACTGTATGAGGCCTAGTCCCCGTGAACGGACTTTACTTCCGCCGCCCAGGCTCTGCGGATTGACACTGTCTCGTCCCCCACGCGAATCAAAGCCCTCGGCAGAGTGGCGGCGTGGTCTGGCGGGGTGTGGGGTGGGGGGCCCTCGACTCGAGTGCTGCCGCCGTAGCGCCCCTCGCCTAATCGACTCGGGGATCATCTCCACCCAGACGCCCTCCTCGACGTCGAGGAGGAGGTGTTTGGTTCTCACGGACAAAGGGGAGGGGGAGGCCGCGCGGCGTAGCGCGGCGCGGGGCGGAGGACGAGCAAGGGTGCCTCTCTCTCTCTCTCTCTCTCTCTCTCTCTCTCTCTCTCTCTCTCTCCCACACGAAGAGGCAGAGAAAGAGAACGCGTCGGGGGAGGCCCTTCGCAATCCGAACGACGTCTCCTTCACTCCGACATGCCCCTCCCCTCCCCTCCCCTCCCCCAAGACCCCATCATCCCTGCAGAGGGTGCTGCGAGCCGAAAATCGCATCGCCACCCGGCCAGCCGACAAATAGGGCCAGCTTTCGGGCCGTACACTGTTCTCTCTCTCCCCCTCTCTCTCTCTCTCGCACTCGCGAAGCGTCCCGAAGAGAGAGAGACGGCCCGAGGGAACTGCCGGCCAGCCTGCAGGCCGAGCCTGGCCGAGCCGCCGCAACATTGCCAAAGCAACCGTGCGGATGTCCGCGCAAAGTCTCTGTTTACGACTCGGGAGGGGTGAGAGAGAGGGAGAGAGAGGGAGAGAGAGAGGGAGAGAGAGAGAGAGAGAGAGAGAGAGAGAGAGAGAGAGAGAGAGAGAGAGAGAGAGAGAGCAGACGGGAGACAAAAAGTGAAAAGGGAGACGCGACTCGCTTATTCCCGGCGAGGATGATAAAAGGGAAATGGAAAACAGCAAAACGAGTAATGAGAAATAAAATCGCTGCTGCGAGTTGCGCCCTAAAAAAAAGGGTGGGAGAGGGGGGAGGGTAGACACGCAATAGCGAGCGAGCGATCCAATAAGCGTCCACTGGGCCCGGCTGGGCCGGCGGCGAATGAAAGGGAGAAAAAGACGAGAAGGCGGTGGCTTTGCGCTGCCGGGGGCGGCCGGCCGACCGACGGACCGACCGACGGACCGACCCGACCGCGATGTCGACATGGAAGCGAGCAGAAGGGCCGACAGCGCGCCGACAGGCAGACGGCCGTCAACTGTCCAGTCTCCCCTCACCAAAATAACGATCAAACTCGACACGGCGACAAGGACCGGCAACGCCTGCTGTCTGTGTGTGTGTGTGTGTGTGCAGCAGCTAATCGCGTGGAAGCCGACCACCCCGCCGGCATCAAAACAGCCGACCCGACCCGACCAATCCCCTCCGAGCTTCGCCGCCTCCAGCGCCACGCGCCGCGCTGATGGCGAGGTAATGGGGCAGCGGTGCAGCCAACCCCTTCAAACGGCAACGGACGAGAGGGGGGGGGGGGGGGAGTGAGTGGCTGCGTGCAGACACGTGGCCACCACAGCCCGCGGCCCGCACACCCGCAGCGAGCACGCGATCAGCAGGTGCCAAAGCCGTGGCAAGCCGTGGCGCTGCACACACACACACACAGTGGCACGAAGCCAGGCCGCGCACGGGCCGGCCGGCGAGAGTAACAACGCAATCTTCCCCACTAAAAATAACGGGCCGGACAGACAGGAAAACGCGCTACAAAATCGACTCGAAAAAAGAAGAAACGGGGTGTCATCTGGACGACGGGGGAATGAGGGCCGGGCCGGGAAAGGGCAGCCCCTTGCATGGCGTTCTCAACGGCCACATCGATTACACGACGAATAGACACGCCTCGGTGGAGGGGCCGGGGCGGCAGGGCCACCCTCGAGGAGGCCGCCCTGGGGGAGGCGAGCCAGCGAGCGTTACGAACCATTTGATAACAATTACTGGTGGCGAGGGCGAGCCGCTGTGGCTGGCGGACGCCTGGCCCTCCAGGACGGCCTCCAGGACGGCCTCCAGGAGACGGCCTCCAGGAGACGGCCTCCAGGAGACGGCCTCCAGGAGACGGCCTCCAGGAGACGGCCTCCAGGAGACGGCCTCCAGGAGACGGCCTCCAGGAGACGGCCTCCAGGAGACGGCCTCCAGGAGACGGCCTCCAGGAGACGGCCTCCAGGAGACGGCCTCCAGGAGACGGCCTCCAGGAGACGGCCTCCAGGAGACGGCCTCCAGGAGACGGCCTCCAGGAGACGGCCTCCAGGAGACGGCCTCCAGGAGACGGCCTCCAGGAGACGGCCTCCAGGAGACGGCCTCCAGGACGGCCTCCAGGAGACGGCCTCCAGGACGACCTCCAGGAGACGGCCTCCAGGACGACCTCCAGAAAGCCCTCCAGGATGCCCTCCAGGAAGCTCGCCGAGTCGCAGCAGTGGCTCGCCGGTCGTAACATTTAACGGCGCGAGTCGGGGAAGGGTGGCGCTTTTCACGGTGCAGAGGGCCGTAACTTCACCAACTTCCAGATTTAAGGGGCCTCAACGTCGCTCGAGCGTGAGGCGCTGGGCGGCCCCTTGTTTCCAAAAGGCCGCTTTCCTATTATGACGTCACGCGGGTGGCGACAACCATTTTCAGTTGAGGGCGAGATAGTACTGGCCAGGCAAAGGAGGTTTGGGACTGGAAAAGAAATGGGGAGGAACTCACCTGTTTGTGCATTTCCACGTTAAGGCCGTATGACATCTCGTAATACTGAAAAACAAAACACAAAACAGAGATATTAATCGATTTTATGAAAAACTGCGCTGATAAAAAAAGTACATGTACGCATATACAGTCCATAAAAGCAAAGGAGAGGTAAGTAATCCAAATAAATGCGGCAGTACGAGTCTTTACTGTCCAAAACCTTACAAAGAAATCTGAGCATGCTCAAGGGACAAGGCATTACATTGTTGGTCGAATGAGTTGCTTAATAATTGAGAAGAATTAATTCCGTAATTTATTCAGTGAACGATTCGTTCTTTACTCATGCTCAAATTTCTTACGATAAGTACACAAGTTTCTTTTCGAGGATTTAAAAGTGAACTCCCAAGCATGGTGAAGAAAACGGTGACACAGCAAACCACGGCATGCAGGGATGGGGAACCCTCTGAGGCGACTTGGTGCCAGAAACAAATTTCCACCGGCGCAAACGAAACCCTTGGCAGGGTTCGCGCTTCACGGTCTCGCGTCAAAATCGATTCAAACTACGAGGAACGCCTCAACGAGGCCAAAACACTCTCTCTAAGGGGAGTACTAAGCAGCGTATGACCCTTCACCACCCACATCTACCACAAAAACGTAAAAAGGGTCACAAGACTCACCATGACGTAATGCCTCTGCATTTCCGTTTTCTCTTGGGCTATTTTGTCTATCTCCATTTTCAAGCTGCTTGCGGGGCGGGTGCAGGGGAGGGGGGACAAAATAAAAGTAATGTTAATGAAAGCGTTCAAAACCTCTTACCATCACATAGTGCCTCTGAATCTCAATCTTTTCAGTAGCCAATTTCTCGCACTCGAACTTGAGGCTGCGGAACAACACAGCAAGCCATCAGCCGACAATCCGTTCAGTCAACCCCAATCCGTTCATCTCAAAAAGAACAAATTGATGAAGAAATTGGTCACTCAGTCCGAGCACGCGATACCGAGCCAAGTGCACAGTGGGCCAGAAGAACGGCGGAGGCGGCCAAAATTCTAGACGCGTTTTGAGCTCCAGAGTCGCTAGACTCAAACCAAACGTGTGCCCCCACCAATGGATTGCTCGTTCGGAGAGCAATCCGTTGGTGGGTTCAAACGTTCTGTTCGAGCCCCATTTAGTGACTCTGGAGGTAAAATCGCGTCTAGAATTTCGGCAGCCCTACCGGTCGTCTGGCCCACTGTGAAGTGGTAACACGGCCACGTCAGGGCGCGGCGAAAATGCGATTCGGTAAACTTCAAGAACGAGCCGCGTCGTTAACTCACTTGTGATATTGCGCCTGCAGGAACTGGAACTCCTCCTTGATGCGGTCGCAGGACTCGCCCACCGTGAATTTGAACGGCTGCCCCGGCTGCGGAGGGCCCTGCAACAAAAACACCGCGCGGCTCAGCGACATTGTCGCAGGGAAAAAAAAAACGGAAAAAAGATAAGCTTGTGTGTTTACAAATGTTGCGCTCCCAGAGTGGACAGTACACGAACGAGTCGCGTGCAGAATTCATGGGCAGACGCGCCTGCCGCTTGTTTATCTCCCTTTAAAATGTGTCACAACGGATGTGGAATGTGGGCCCTGCTGTCGCTCGCGCCCTCGGAAAACGCCTAGTACTAAACGTCTATGAAGCCGAACCACTCAGTATAGGGAACAAAGTAAAGTTTTGGAATCATTAGCCTTTCAACACTTCGGCTCGAGTTTCCCCGCCACGAGGAAGTGCAAGCCACGTGCGCCAACGCCTCCGGAAGCAAGCGGCGTGCGTGCGTGACGACCGCCTCACTTATTTAACGCGGCGCTGCAGCCAATCCACGCCTTCCGTTCGGGACGTGTCGCGACCACCGCGTTATCGGGCCGCCACGCCGCGCCACGCCGCGCCACATCCTCAGCGGGGCAAATATTGGCCGCCACTATCAAACCACATGCCGGATATATGAATTCCCCCAGCGTTTGTGTGTGTGTGTGTGGAAAGGGGGAGGGGGGCGTACGAGACTCTTGGTGAGAGGAATCCACCACCGCCTACTGTCTGTCTATCTGATGTCTGTCTGTCTGTCTGTCTGTCTGTCTCGCTCTCTCTCTCTCTCTCTCTCACGGGGCAATCCAGGAAAGCGATGGAGAAAGAGACATGAGAGTGGCCATTCGGATTCAGGCGCCGTGCCCCATCCAAACGAGACTCCATATCCTTTCCACCTATTAGCATGGCGGCACGGCATCGCATCCTGGTCGGTCATTTCGGCCCAAAGTCTACTCACGTGCGCAAGCCCCCCCCCCTCCTCCCACCACCACGCCTCACTCAGACTAACACACACACTCACGCAGGCGTAACCCTCTGGCACCATGTACTCACTCACTCGCTCACTCTCACAGGCGGGCGCGCGCACGCTCACGCTCACGCTCACACACACACACACACAGCCACGACCAGTCTGGCCGGTCGACCGCCACGCTACCGAGCAGGGCAGTAAACGCGCGATAAATGCGTGATGCATCGAGGCTGCGTTGGCCTCCTTCCAGGCGCCGTGCCGCGCCACGCCAAGCAGTGCCCCCGCGCTGCCAAGCCTATTACCAGCTAATACGGCAAAACATGTCAGGCGCGGCCGGCCAAGCGGAGGCAACACTCCCTTTCGATCACGTCACAGTGCCGTCACGTCAAAGCTCACGTGCTGCGTCTAAGAGGCTCTCGCCCAGACCCTTTCGGCAGGGCCGCATGCCATTCAGCCAGCGCCCCTCCACAGTGGCGCGACGAAAGGGGGAGGGGCTGAGGCTGTGCCGCGGCAGCAACCGCAGCGCGCCGCGGCAAGGAACCGCACAGAATGCCGGGCCGTAAGGCCCTCTCCAAACCGCAGTCTATTCCCGCCGCCCACCGGCACGGCGGGGCGGGGCGGGGCCCGCCGCCACCTCCGTAGACCGCCACTCGCTTTGAGGAGCGCTAAGGATCGCGCGGTGCAGCGCAGGCACCACTTGCGTGCGTTCCACTCCAAGCACCGCGCACCGGGACGCGGTCAGCAGGTCTAAGATCCACACGTCGAGAGGACCTCTCTGCGGAGCAGACCCTACCCTTTCAACTCACGTCCCACACTCTCTCAAAAGAACTGCCAAGATTTCTCCACAGACCGTGTAAGCAAGCACACCGCACCTAGCTTCCCGTTCTCCAAAACAGGTGACCAAGGGTGTCAACGAGTTAGGCACAATGTGTCAAATTTATTTCAGGGTGAGTGAGTGAGCGAGTGAGTGGCGTGGTACTTACATTTGTCCTAGATATGGGTATTGCTGGCTGGACGGCAGCGTCATTTAATACCTGAAACAGGCGAGCAACACGAATTAGGCAGAGCCGGGACCAAACCGACGTCGACTCTCCGTCGTCAATCAGTTTAGCGAGGCGAGTTGGAGCGCGGGGCGTGGCGGGGCGTGGCGGGGCGTGGCGGGGCGTGGCGGGGCGTGGCGGGGCGTGGCGGGGCCAACACGAACCGCCGCGCCACGCCATTAGAGGGGGAAAGGTGGCCCGCGGGGCGGGGCGGGGCGGGGCGTGGCGGCGCCGAGTGGGGCCGCCGGGAACACGGTAGTAGTTAGCTGCTCGACACCCATGCAATCCGGGGCGGGGCGGCGCCGCGAGGCAGCCAGCCGCACAGACAGACAGACAGACGGACGGACAAGCAGCCAGCCAAGCAGCGAGTCCCCCCGCGCCGCGGACTCGCGCAGGCAGCGCAGGCACTACACCGTGAAAAGGGGGCGGCATTACTCCTGTCCCGACGGCCCCAGCCAGTGAGCCAGCCGGCAAGTCAGTCAGCCAGGCAGCCAGCTCGCCTCGTAAAGCGCCGCCAAGCGCCGCCAAGCGCCGCCAAGCGCCACAACTCTTTCCCCGCGGCCATCACAGCCACAGCCCCCACAAAACCCGTGCCATAAATTCCACCCCCCCCCCCTTTCCCCTGGTAATCGGCCAGCCATCGGTGGCAAGCGCCGGGCAAGCGCGCGCACTACAGGCGGAACACGCCAATGGTGCCACGGTGCCACCGCGGTCGACCCCCTACTCGCTCTGTGTGACGACAAAACGAACGCACGCGCCGCACGGCGGCACCGACATGCACGTGACACGATTAGAACACACACACACACACACACACACACACACACACACACACACAGAGGCCGCGGCCCGCGGCCAGGCAGACGTGGTGGTGCACCAGGGGGTCAGTGCGTAACCACATGCTTCCCATTGCAGCCCGGAGGCACGCACGAACGCACGCACACGCACGCACGAACGCACACACGCACAAACGCACACGCACGCACACAGGGCCACACCGCGCGGCGTTCCACAAACCGCAATGACGGAAAAAACACCGTCATTAAAAATAAAGAGAGGCCCGCCGTGCCGTGCCGCCTCAGTTATTCGGACCGCACGCGTCAAAAGCGAGAGGAGAGGCGTGTTGAAATTTCCGCTCTCGGCCAGGCACACCCGGTACCAGGTAGTAATAGGTCTCGAGAGAGAAACAATTGGAATGAACTAGGCACACAGTAAAATAAATTTAAAAAGAAATGTTTTTCAAAGTAAGTTTTACGTCTTAATGTTATTTTTGAAAGTATAATTTAGCTATAGAAAGTAATAAAAAAGCGCTGCAAATCTTTTTTTTTAAATTGTCGGTTAAAAGTGCATTAGTGAGCGCTCCCTCCAGACAGCACGCACTTACAGTAGCGGCCGCCACCCAGTACCTGTACTTACATAAGGTGATATTTCCCGCGAGCCAGACACACTCCGAGGCGATATGCTCTGCGAACACAACAAACAAGCACAGCGTTAGACGAGTCGCAACGCCACTCGAAAAAAAAGAACAACATCTCCATGTCGACAAGGAAAATGTCGCTCCAATTAACAACCGGATCGGCCGGCCGGTTTCTGGCGTGTTTCTGGCGGCATGGCTGCCGTGGGCTTCTTGCCGTAGGTGTCGGCGGCCAGCTGTCCACACCGCGACATCGCGCTATCTTGCGTCAACACGGGTTGCGCACACACCGACTCAACTTTTTGTGTACATTCTGTGAACATTTTTAGGGTGCGTACATAAGCGACGTCGAGCGCCGGAGGAAAGGAGTTGGTTTTGTCATTTGACTCCGAAGCAGTCAGTCACGGGTTCAAAGACAAGCCCCTCGAGATTCGAAAAATCTCAACTATTCAAAAGGGCTCACATGTGCAAGACCGAATGTACTTAGGACCGACACCCGGGCTTTATTCAACGGACGTTGCACGTTGAGCCTCGAATCATTTGATTTTTTTTTCAACTTGAGGCGAGCCGTTTCTACGAACAACTTGATAAAAATTGGATCAAGAGGCCCCATCGCGCGTTCGCGTGCGCCGCAATCGAAGGGACTTGAGTGGGCCCAGTCGGGCAAAGTACGTCAACTTAAATGACATCCACTCTAAATGACAAGGGACATTTTTGTGCCCGCGGCCGCGGATGAGTTGAGCGATTCAAAGAATGACTGGTCGAACTGAAGCGTACTTTTCCGTCCCTCTCCAAGAGTAGTGGGTGCCACGATTGGCTTGAAGCGTGCAACTCCAGTCCGCTCCTCTGCCTATCTAAATGCATGGACGAATTTCAACTGCATTCTTCAGTTCAAGTGCATGCTTCAGTTCTAGTGATTTGTGGATCGTGGAGATCTACAGCAGATATTTGGTTTACAAACACCTCAAGGCATTACTTTTAATCAGTGATAATGGGTCGTGCCAGATCATAATTCGAGTTCCAACCGGGTGGGGCCTTCCTTCGGTTACAAACTGTGTGGGCCACCCATCGCGTCTGTTCAAACAGTGACGACTGCAAAGACCTCTAGCTTTATCATGCACACGTACCGCCACTTTCACAAACTTGCACAACCTCGTGCTGTTCTGGCGAACAACAGTTAACCAGAAAGGCTTGCCTAAATCTGGCAAGAAGGCCGAGCTGAGAGCTCCCTGACCAACAATGATCATCCCATTTGTGAAATAAATGTGTTCATTTTGACGCACAAATCTTTTTCCCTTGGTAGACTGTACACATTTACACGCACTCACTGAATACATCATCTCTATAACCAGAGCCAGCGAGGGAACATGTCTCGAGTAGTTGATAAACTTGAGCTCATGCTCACTAGGAGCACACCAGTTATCTCTACAGGTCACATAGTTACAGTAGTGGAATCCTATAGCACTCCTTCGGCACTGTTATTCGATGAATGAGATGAATGCGAATTTATTCTCGTTTGTTTGAACAAGATGTCACATTCGTTGGAACGTGACATCACATTCAAACGAATGTGACAAAGTCCACATTCTAACGAATTTGACGTCACATTCGGCAAATACGTAACAGTGCAAGCAAGCCTTTTGGCTCCAAACGGTTTGGCAGGGGCGCTCGGACGTCAATCTCCCGTACAATTAACTGTGCACTTCTCAGCGTGCACTGAACCAAACCAGTTCGTATCAGTTAGAGCAATCCTTGAGATAGGGACGAGGAGCATCGGGTGTCCAACCCATCAGGTGCTACTCGGAACGAGTGTGCCACTCCACGCCAAACTAATGATTCACCTTAATCTCGTAAAAAAATACATGCACTTAGTTTCCTTATTATGATGGCCAGGCGAAAGTAAGTTCACCAAGTGCAGCATAGACCAACAGTCAGTCAAATAAGCAGGATCCAATGTCCAAAGCTCACTGCAAATATTTTACGAACTATTTTGTCCAAACAGAAGGTAAGGTAAAAAACATTAGTACTTTCATATAAGAAGTATAGCCTCGTACTACATAACAAGCAATTTTCTTTGATAGCTTAAGTCCTTAGTGAAAAATACAAAAATACTTCGTAAGGCCCACGAGGATTTAGCAGTGGCAAGTGAGCCTCTTTCACTGTAAACCTGTTGATCCGACCGAGGGTGGCGGGTTCCTATACCAAGGCAGATTTGGCACCGGGAGTGAGGTACTCGGGACAAGTGGAACTCTCCGCTGTCATTGGCCGAGCGTCCACCTGCTATCTCTTTTTTATTTTTTTGTTTTTTCCCTCTCTTTCTCCCACAAGAGGCTCGGCCGGCGCGGCGCGGCACGGGCCTCGTTCAAGTGATGGTCGCGAAGCAACGCGAAGCAAACGCGACCGCGTAACCACAGCCAAGCGACGGCCCGACCGCAACGGGCCGGCAGGCGGCAAGCCGGCACGACTGCACCGAAAACACGTCGACAAATTGCACAGCCAAGCCGCCCCAGCCGCCCAGCGCTTCCAGACACACTGTAAGACTTTGTTGTCGCTTTACAACCAAATCGAACGAAGAGAATTTCATCTCTTGAAAATGATGACGATTGCATCACGGATTGATGACACTTCCATCAAAGCCCTTAACTTGTTGCATGGCTTACAACAACGTCATCAAACTGATTTGATGGTTGGTAATGAAAGTATGCCTTGAAATTGTTTAGTGACTATAATTTTCACAGTGAGACAATAAGAAAGCACCACTTTTTAATATACTTCTCTTTGCGAATCCAAAGAGCATCTGCGAACAGAGGAGGTCTCTGAAAGCCTTGGAAGGCGTCGCCAGCAGAACAAACTTGATTACTCGACTCGAGCGTCAGCGACTCAGCGTCCCAGAGGCTAGCGGAAGTTGCGAAGCAGCGTGCGCAGAAGGCAGTGTGCTGCACACTGACGTGCGAGGCAGGTGTCTGTCGGGGAGCCCCACGAGTGCGACGGAGACGGAATGACTCTTCGCAAGCCGCAGAGCGGTCGCAGAGCCGACGGCAGCGGCAACCCAACACCGCGCCCAGAAAGCAAACCACTCGACCGCGGCACGGCCCGGCACGGCCCGGCACGGCCCGGCACGGCACGGCACGGCCAGCAGGTGCGCCCGCCCAGGCAGGGCTCAAGACCCGCTCTCGATCAAAGCGTAATCTGTCCCCACCTCGCTGGCGCGCTGGCGCCTGTTTACCGCCAACACGGATTACCGACACGTATCGCCTAGACACACCTGCTGCGGAAAAACTTGCCCCGCGGCCGGCGCAGCCACACCAACGTGGACTCGCCCGGCTCGACCCGCCTTATCGGCCGAGGCTAATTGAAAGCGACTATCGCGATGACCGCGCGGCCCGAAGCGTTGTCTCTCTCGCTCTCACCGTCCGGGACCCGTCCAGCCGCACGGCCATCGAAGATGCAGAGAAACCGGCCAAACACCCTTCCATTCATCTGATTCGAGGAAGGGGCAGAGAGAGAGAGAGAGAGAGAGAGAGAGAGAGAGAGAGAGAGAGAGAGAGAGAGAGAGAGAGAGAGAGAGAGAGAGAGAAATAAAGGGCACCACCCGCCGAGGCCACGCCAAGGAATGCCTTTTGTGACAACTTTTACAGCATTCAACAGATATAAACTTGTCCCCCCCCCCCTCTTTTCCTCTCTCGATGCTCGACCGGCTATGGTCCATTCAGTGAATCCTGTCCTCGCGGCGACCCTTTGCTATGCAGGCCTTTTCTTGGTGCCATCATGAGTGTGGCAAACAGCCTCGAAACAACGAGCAAAACAAAAGATCGAACCCTTATAACGCACCGGAACAGCACTCGGACAATGAGGCCCCCAGTGGGGCTGTGGCTGTTTAACTTCCCTTTGAGCGCGGCGAGGACAGGGTTCACTGAATGCACCATATATCTCGGCGACGTCCCTTCCAAAAGGACAAACCAAAAAAAGGAAACACCTGTCGCTAACGAGACTCCAAGTGGCCGAGAGGCAGCTGTCGAGGAGGCACACACACACGCCCTACGTCATCAGGCGCGGGTAACTACACAACTGTGGGGAGGGGGCTGAGACGTAGGCACACGGTAAAAACGATACCTGGTTTTCCCGAGGGGGTAACCACTTCAAGAAATCGTGTACGGACTACTCGGTATTACGGGGGTATTAACGTGGATTACGGCCTTGAAATACCAAAATTTGGCACATTTGACCCAAAAATGGTATTACGATCACGTGTATTACGCGTCATACACGGTTTTTGTGTACGGGGTATCACGCGGGTGGTTACCCCCACGGGTTTTTTTTTTTTCAGGAAACCCCTGGAAATCGCCTATGTCTTTCTTTACCATAGGCTTCCTGGGAAAACCAGGTAGTACCGTTTCTACCGTGCAACCATTTGCGCGTTCACACGATATTACGATCGAGAGAGATGTGTCTTTCAGTGTCCTTGATTTTGCCAGCCGTTTTGAAGTGCAGGCACGCGATGCACAAGTCATCAGTGTTGAAACACTGAACACTGCGTGCGTCAAAGAGAGCCACTCTGGGAGGCCAACACAGCACATATTTTTCCTTCTCGGATCGCCTTGAATGCGTCCTGATATCGAACGACATCCTGCGGCTCTGGACTTCTGAACCTGGTGCGACTGGGTGGGGAAGAATCCGGGGCCAGCAAGTGCACCTAGTCGGTGTCGGTCTCTCTCGCACTCCCAGGGAGTGCCGAGCGGGCCGCAGGGGTGCGAGAGAGACAGGGCGACGACACACTGCTAATCAGCCGGGCTCGAGTGCGGCTTAGCCCCGCAATCCACTCGTGTTCGCCCACAAGTGCCCTCTATGTGCGAAATGGCGCTTACAGTGCGGCGGCAGCGTGCGGCAGCCACGACGCGCGACGCCAGTCTTCCTCCAAGTGGCGAGAGGGAGGGAGGGAAGGAAGAGTCAAAAACTCCATAGTAGACCTCATGGCCAGATCTGACAAGCACCACGCTTAGGAAAAGAAGATTGCGACATTGAATTTAAAGATTTATTTATCTAAGGCATTGAAAACTGAAGACACTTGAAGAATTTTTAAATTTACGGTTTTTTTTTAGTTTTTTGGCAGTTTGCACTTTTTGATGGACACATCGACAGGTGGTTGGTCAGTGATGAAAAGAGCCTCGCGTCGTCGAATTGTGAGTCTGGGTGTAAGTGTCCATGTTCCTAATCCCCCTGACAGCCTGTCTGTCCGTCTTCGTCCAGGGCACTGTGTGCGGGGCGGTGCAGGCGGTGCGTGCGGGGACACTGCAGTGTCCACGGGTGTCGGGAAAGCCCGTGGCAGAGCCAAGGCATTGCCAAGGCATCTGGACGGGGCTTCCCCGGCAGACTGATTCCGAGAGTCTCGCTCCGTCTCCCTTGCACCCCTCCGCAACGGCCCACGAGTGCGAGAGAGACAGAGCCTGCAGGCCGAGGGCCGTCCATCGTCACTTGGTGGAACAGGGACACTGCTAAAGAAGGAACAATCTTGACAAGGCGTGCGTCGCGTGGTTTAGAAGGCCCCTCGTGTGACCCGTGCAACACGTGGTCACGGGGTCCGCTGGGCCTGCCCTGGCCTGCCCTGGCCTGCCCTGCAAGCTCCAGTCCACACAGCATATTTTAGGATCGCACCGAAAGCGTGTCATGTCGACACCAGATTCGCCGCTCCATCCCGAACGAGCCGTGACCGGCCGTGACACGTCAAGGGCCACTGGAAAGGCGTGTCACTGACGCGTCCTTGACGAGTCCTTGCCGCCCCACTCAGACCCGGAAGGGCTGCCAAGGCCGGCCCTCCGGGGACCCTTCCGAGACCCTCCGGGGACCCTTCGGGAACCTTTCGGGGACCTTCCGGGGAGCCTTCGGGGAGCCTTCGGGCACCCTTCGGACAACCTTCGGGAACCCTCCGGGCACCCTTCAGGGGCTCGGGAAGTACTCCCCGCCCTCCATGAGGGTCCCGCATGAGGACCAGATGGGCCTTGCTGATTACGAAGGGACCTTGCGCCATCTGGCCATGTGGGTCCTGGAGCCGGCCGCCCTGGAAGTGCCCTGGGCGACCGGTAGCCGGCAGAGGGATTACACTTGATACACCGCTAGAATAGGCAGACCGCCGGCATGGGCAGAAGGGGGCAGATAGTGCCACCGAGAAGCCCACCTCCCGGTCACCCCTCCACCTGTCGAAGCGGCGCGCCCTGCAGGACGCTTGTGTGTGTGTTAGTGTGTGTCACCAACGCCCGGTGGGTATGCAACCCGCCTCGCATAGTCTCTGCAAGCAGGCAACCCACATGAAACAGCCCCCTCCGACGCATGACCTGACAACCACCCCTGACCTCTCCAGCAGCAACAAGATTGCCTCCAGCATGGACGGCAGCAACAACACCGAGTCTAGGGTTCGAACACAGAAAACCCTTTCATGCGTGTTTCTTTTTGGAGTAGTAACCTTTTTGGCGGGGCATTCACGTGAGAGAGAGAGAGAGAGAGAGAGAGAGAGAGAGAGAGAGAGAGAGAGAGAGAGAGAGAGAGAGAGAGAGAGAGAGAGAGAGCTGTTCGTTTCCCCCGATTAAACCCCATTAGACCATGACGGTGCCGTGCCGTGCCGAGCCTACACCCTACGCGAGGGACAAGAGGGGGCGGAACGAAAGACGAAGAGGCTTAGCCCCCCCCTCTTTTTTTCCTGCCCCCGACTACCTGGAGGCCGTGGCCTTCTGGCCGAACTAGACAGAGAGCGAGCACGGCGTGGCACAGCGAGCCACGAAGGAGGGAGAGAGAGAGCCGTCATTATACGGCAACAAGTCCCGATAATAAAGCAAAGCCCGCACCACGAAGGGTCGCCGGCCGGCGTGGCAGGGCGAGGCAGGGCGAGGCAGGGCGAGGCAGGGCAGGGCGAGGCAGGGCGGGGCAGGGCGGGGCAGGGCGGGGCAGGGCGGGGCAGGGCCGGCCCATTCGCACCTCCCGGCAGTTACAAAATACCGGGAAGGAAAATCAAAAGGAGGGGGAGGGGCTGCATAGAAAAGGCCGCCATTTCGGTCCAGACGGGATGGAGGTCGACGTCCGACCGTCCGCCGCACCACGCCGCACCGGCGTCCGACTGTCCGCCTCCGTTACGGTACACTCCGGGCCAACAGTGGCGGAGTGTCAACCTGGCCAGCCGTCCGGGACCGGGCAGCCGCAGGCTGCTTCCGAGAGTCGTTTTCGTCGCCCTGTCTCTGTCTCGCACCTATACGGGACGGCTTGTGAGTGTGAGAGAGACAGAGTGACTCTGAATCGGGCTGCCGGCCGGCATGCCTGGACCCTCGGCTGTGTTGCGTCGGAGGCCTGCGCGAAAACCACGCCGGACTGGGGTTCAGAACGTGCACCTGGAAAAGGGCGAAACGCTGAGGAAATTAGTAAAAGCGATTGAAAAATACTAACCGGGTGCCTGGCGGCGGCAGCGGCTACCGCGGCCGCATTCATGGGTGCCGTGGGGTACATGTCGCTACGATGCAACACACAACATTACACTGACACACTAGCACACACAGACACTGCACTGCACTGGAGTAATCCACAGGGCGACGGTGGCGGCGAAGGTAATCCAAACTGCGTTAATCCATTCTGGGCGGCGAGGAGGCGGTGCACACAACACTATCACTTTCACAATTCACTGCACTGATGAGTAATCCACAGGGCGAAGAGAGGGCGGCGCCGGGAATCGAACCGCGGACACAGCGAACGCGAGGCGACGTGGTTCGGGCCAGCGGACGAGAGCGAGGACGTGAGGGCGACGCGCAGCGCTCCTGCTCCGAGCGGGTTCACACACCAACTGAAGCGGCAACGCAACGCCAGCTCGCCGGCCTTCCCCCTCCCCTCCCTGCCGCCGCCACTCCGCCACTCCCCGCCGGCTTCCACTCGGGTCAGCGCCCGCAGCGCCGGCCGCGGCGTCTCTCTCGCACCCCCGGCGCGGCCCGAGCGCGACGGAGACGCACGAAGGCGCGACCGGCGTTCCCGAACGCTCCCCGCCGCCCCCTCCCGCCACCCCGCCGGCTCGGTCGGCTACGTCTCTTCCGCTCCACGCGAACGGCGCGCCGGGAACGGCCGGGAAGGGGGAGGGGGGCAGATCCGCCACCGCCAACGCCGCCAACACCACCGGTACCACGGCCAACGCGGTTGACACTGCCGGCAGCGCGGTGAGCAGCCATGCAGCCAACAGCGGCGTAGCCAAGAATACCCGCAAAGTGGTCCTATTAGCGCGCCTCTTGGCCTCCCTTCAGCTACGCCCCTGGCCCTGGCCGGCGTTCCGGCGTTCCGGGCTGGCGGCTCGATCGACGCACCTCAACCTCGGGGCCGCGAGGCGCGCAAGCTGCCCGTGACTCATCGCCTCGCCGACATGGGGCCGTTCAGGAGGTGTCCCACCGTGTCCCACGGCCTGCGCGCCGCGCCTGCCGCGCCTGCCGCGCCGGGAGCTTGAGTGGGTGTCGGGCTGCGTGCCTGCCTGCCTGCCTCTTAGCCCGGCGGGCTGGCAGACGCGGCGCGTGGCTCGGCTGCACTCCGCTGTGGGGCGGCGCTGCTCGGCTCGTCAGCCTGCTACAAACACCAACACCACCAGCCAGCCTCACGCCGCGCCGCGTCGTCGTGCTCACGGCCCCCTGGACTGTCGCTCGCGAACAAGCACGCCCTCCCCGTCCCCGCGCCCCCCTCTCTCTCTCTCTCTCTTTCTCGCGCGGCGTGCAGGGCTGCCAGGGCAGTGCCGGCGTCTAGCCAGGTATTTTGAGGCGCAAGCGGCGGCGCGAGCAGAGCTATGCGTGGCGCGACGAGCACGAAGCAGAGCGCGAGGCTGCCCGCCGTGCCCGCCACTCCGTGAGCTCGCAGTGCATCGGCACTTCCTTTTGGCGTGCCTTTCGGCGTGCAGCCGAGCGACCGGCATTCATTTTTCCAGCCGAATATGGCAGACGTATCAGCAACAGCCCCTCTCCGCCACCCCGGCGGCCCCGCCCCAGCCTAACCCAGCAGCCCCATGTGATTGCCAGTATCACCCCCTACTTCTACTTCCACAAGCAACGTTTCAGAACCGCGCTGCCGCTGGCTGCCACTGCCGCCGCCGCTGCAAGACAGCGCCCCTCGCCCCCCTCGCCCCGCTCGCCCCGCCGGCTCGGCTCTACTCCACGTGGACTGGGCGGCCAATGGGAGGCCGCGCACGCCGCCACTTGGCCAATGGCGGCGCGCCGCCGCGCTCCGCCCGCGCGGCTCTGGGGAACGGCATCATAACGCGGGCCGCGGCGGGGCGCGGGGAGGCGCGGGGCGGGGCGCGGGGGCGGCGGGGAGGGGGGGCCGCGCCGCGCGCGCCAACCACGGCCGGCCGGCAGCCAATGGCAGCGCGCCTGGCAGCCTTGTTGCCCGGCAACGACCGACTCCACGTGGAGTCCGGCCGTACAGCCGAGGCGAGGCGGCGAGGCAGGCGAGCCGAGCGCAGGGCTGCGGGGCGCTGCGGGGCCGCGCAGGGCTCGTCGGGCAGGGCCGGCAGGGCTCCCTCTGCTATGGCCTGCGCTGGGCGGCGCGGGGCGGCGCGGGGCCGCGGGGGGAGGGGGCCCTTGCTCGCTTGCTCTGTAGAATAAAAGTAGGCTGTATACACCACACGAGCTGGGATAGCTTGGCGAGCAGAACTAGGCACGAGGAGGAAACGGGGGAGAAAGGCGTAAGGGAGTCCTCGCCGCTGGAATTTCGTATCAAGGATCAAGGATACGAGGCGCGACGCGGCGACGCGACGTCCCGTCTTTTTTCGCCACCTCGCGCGGTCGCCCGACCCGACAGACCCGACCCCGGCGTTGGCGTTGGCGTGCTTTGGCTCCCGTGTCGCGCCGCCTCCTTCACTGGCCGCCGAGCCGAGTCGAGCCGAGCCGAGCGCAGCCGAGCCGAAGCGAGCCGGGGCGGCGCGGCGTGCGATCGTGAGCCTAATTAGCAATTAATCCTGGCGGCACCGCGTTTTATTGTCTAAGAGTGTGTCACTGTCGGGAAGGCGATTTAATCATTTCTGTTTCTCGCACTGCGCACGCCTCTCTCTCGCTCTCTGCGAATTAAAATATAAAATTTTACTCTTTTTCAAAATGTCAAATTTCTTTAAAGTGTCTGTGGGTGTGAGTGTGTGTGTGTGTGAGTGTGCTAGTGTGAGAGTCGCGTCGGCCCCTCCCTGTCCCAGCGCTTTCCTCCCCGGTCTGGCTCGGAGGAGTTGGCCCTTATATTTCGCATAAATGATGTCTTTTTCAAAGTTTGCAAGAGGTTCGCACTCCCCTTCCTCGGCCGGAGCCTTCTTCGCCTCGAGGGCGACTGAAAGGGTTCCGCGAGGGGTGCGGTGTATTCACCCTGTGTTGCCTGCCTCGGCCTGCCTCGGCGTGCCTCCCTCCGCGGCGCCCTTCGCGCCATTTTATCATCTCTTTTAATCCTGCCTGTTCGCTCATCCTTCGTAATAATTCGATACACTCCTCTCTCTCTCTCTCTCTCTCTCTCTCTCTCTCTCTCTCTCTCTCTCTCTCTCTCTCTCTCTCTCTCTCTCTCCCCCCCCTCCCACATCACCGGCTCCGCGACACGGAAAATAAGGCGCCTTCTTTTCCTTATCTAATTCTGCCCCTTCTCGCTGCGCGCGTCTCCGCAGTGTCTCCGCAGTGTCTCTTCCCTCCTCGCCCCATTCGACTGCGTTCGGTCTTCTGATGCCCGAGAGTCGTGTTTCGTCACTCTGTCTCTCTCCCACTCATTGGGGCGTGTGCCCTAGGTTGAATGGGTGCGAGAGGGACAGATTCGGCGCCTCTAAAACTCTGGGATTACCACTGAGGAGTGTCGGCGAGTGGTGGCGGCGAATGCCACAAACCGCTGCGGTCCTACACTGCACTGGGACACTTTACTGGGACTCTGCACGTGCCTCTCCGCTTATCTCGGGGTCATGCATAAGTACCTCCTCGTGATAATGTGACCCGGTGCGTGGCACTGCTCTGTCTCACTCGCACTCGTGGCGCGTTCCGAAGAGAGACAGAGCGACGAAAGCGCTGTTCGGAGCGAGCCTCGTACAGTCCGTCGGGCCGCGGACGCCGCAGTGGCGTGCCGAGACCAGCCTACATTACTTATGAGCTTGCCTTGCCGGCCCCGGCGCTCCACCAGACTGATTCCGAGAGTCGTTTTCGTCGCTGTGTCTCCCTCGCACTCCTGCGGCGCCGCGAGAGGCGCGACAGAGCGACGTAGACGACTCTCGGAACCAGTCTGCAGTGGCTCTGATTGGTGTGTTCTCGTGTCAGCGAGTGTTCGCTGGCTCGCCACGCTATCCACCCCGCAGCACCGCGACAGCAGACAGCAGTGCCACGGCCACCTCCTCTGTCATCCGGCGACCCGGCGCCACCCCGGCACGACACCACCAGAGGCCATGACCAGGAGGCCTGCAGGGCTCTCCTTGGCCTGTCTGTTTACGCCCATTACGGTTTATCTACACCGAAGGGCGCCCGGAGTCCCGGACCATGAAGAGGGCAGGGGAGCTGCTGAGTCACGGACACGTCGAGCCATTATTGCGCGTGTCTTTCTATTATTTCTCATTACTGTCGAGGATAAGAAGAAGAAGAAGAAGAAGAAGAAGAAGAAGAAGAAGAAGAAGAAGAAGAAGAAGAAGAAGAAGAAGAAGAAGAAGAAGAAGAAGGTGGATGAGGGGAGGAGAAATGCCCCCAACTCTTTGGCCGAGCAAGCAAACCGCACAGGCAATCGCGACGTGATTATCGGAAATCAGCAGACCCCGCCAGACCTGCCCCTTCCTGCACTGTACTCGCTCGTCTGGGAGCAGGGCTGCAGGGCTGCCAACGGTAAAGCAATCTCGGGCTAATTGCAATTTATTCACGAGCATAAGTTGCCCCGCCTGGAGCGCGCGGTACTAACGGCCGGGAACCGAAAGCGGAGGAGAGAGATCATTGAAAAGACTGGAAGTCGCAAATTGGGATCTCTGAAGGGATGGTTAGTGTCTTCGGGGACATTTCGACTAGCTGGTAGCGGTGAACTAAAGGATTCAATTGATGGATTGGCACAAACTGGGTCGGCAAATTTTACAACACAGAGGACCAGAAGGAGGAACTCATTGAACCCACAGCAAGCACTACGCTTTGAAAGTTGCATAAATCTTCTACAGCTTGTCGCTGAAACTACTGATTAGAATTGATCATGTTGGGAACACTCGTACTAACCTAAACCACAGTGATTGCTTCTCTGTGCAGTAAAGTATGGGTCCCCTGCAGTGTGATTTGTTCCCATTGGATTTCTGCACGTGTGTGCGTGGAGGGGATCGAGATGTTAGGTTCGCGTACAGCACGCGAAATGCAGTCGAGTCCAGGTTTGGTGCTGTCCGAGATAGCATCGTCGCAACAAGGAGTCCCGAGAACAGAGACGAGAGAGATTCTGCGGCGCGATTCAAGATGAAGAAGGGAGGGTAGGAGCTGTCTGTAGATTCCGCCAGTCCGGCAGGGCAGCCAGGCAACAAGAGTTTGCAAGCTACCTTTTCGAGCACCGACACAATGGTACAGTGGCCTGCCCAAGCAACCCTGCAGTATTTGGATGCCCACTGGGAAAAGGCACGAGTAGCACCGAAAAGAGACCTGTGAATAAAATGCGGGTTCGTGTCGTAATTCAGGCCTTTGGAGGCTTTATATAACCCACCTGCCCGAACACGCCCCATGCCAAATGACTATCAATTATTTGCTCTGATTGCTTGTAAACTCGCATAGTCACACTCCTGCAACACCATATCTATCGCGGCGCAGTGTATCATATCCACTCATCTTTACAACCTGCCCCGTCGGTGTTACTTCACAGCGGGAGCCTTGACCG